CTGTTGTTTCAGTTTTAATTTATATTTTAACGGAATTTCATTAACGAATAGGCAGAGTGACAATAAATATAAAGGAAACAATTATGATTTGATAATGTCAATACCATTTTTTATTTTCAGAATTAATATGAAGATCACAATTTTTGTCACTGTCGCTTTGACCGCCGTCGTCGGAATGGTCTTTGCCGACGACAGATTCAATAACTGGAACAACAATAATGGATGGGGAAATGATGACAACGGATGGGGAAATGATGACGGATTCGGCGGTGCATCGTTCGGTGGCGCTTCATTTGGCGGTGCTTCACTTGGCGGTATCGGACATATCAGCGGAGGTATCGGCAGTGGATACGGCCCTAGCTACGGTGCTGGATACGGCAGTGGATACGGTGCTGGATACGGTATGGGCTACGGATCTAGCTACGGATCTAGCTACGGCAAAGGAATGGCACAGGCTGCATACATTCCAGTTCCAGCTGCACCAAAGGCCGCCGGAGGTCTTGGAATGTCCATCTGTAAGTTCCTTTACCTGTAGGAATGATTTGAATAATTTTAACTTTACTTCAAAAAAATAAATTATTCTACCAATTTTAAAGAAATCATTTTCACAATAACACAAATTATGATAAAAAAGGATTATGAACAACAGACAAAAACGTTTTATTTTAAAAATTGACAGAAGAATTTCCTTTTAAAACCGGCATTTATAATTGTAACTTCTTTAAAATTTCAGTGCCCCTGTTCTTCTTGTTGTTCCTTCTGCCACAATTGTTCAACACCAGCGCCAACCAAGACCAGATTATTCTCCTCAACTCAACAGTTTCTGGAAAATAAACGATAGTATGTAAGTATATGTATTTTTATACACATAGATGTAATGCTGCAAGTATGTTACATCGATTTTCAGTGACGATAATAATGTTTGCATTGTCTGTAAAATATAATATTCCAGTGCTTTCAGTGCTTTGATTATTCCAATCGAAGGAAGCAAGATTTAATGCAGCGTTACTCAAACATATTGCCGTTTAATAATTTCAACTGATGATATGATAAACTTAGAAAAATTTAAATGCTGAACGCTTCTATATGAGTAAAAAATTTGACAAAAATCAAAATAGAGGGTATATTCCAAAATACATGTTGTATTTTTGCATATTTTTAATGGAAAATAATATCGCATACCATATATTCATACCTGGTAACAAATGGTGGTAAAGGTAATTTTCTTCCATATTTAACACAATTAATGTATAATTGTTAGGATATTATAGATACAAATTTTTCTGACGGGAGTTAAAACCAGTTCGAAAAATTTCCCTACATATTTAAATGGAATTTTAAATGCGAAAACTTGATTTCTGTTAAATAGTTTATAATGTATTTCATTATATTCTCCATAAGTTTTTCAATATATTGTTCATGTGTGTTCATGTGAATGGTTTTATTTTTACTTCACAGAGTTCTCCTCAGTCTATGTTTTGAGATGTTCCATCTATTGATACAAAGTCTAGATATATTTTGACGTTCCTACTATCACCACACAGCCTAGATGCATTTTGATCAGACAGCAACAGTTCTACAAATATGTACATGTTATTTATTATTGTTATGTTAGACAGAAAATAAAACAAATACAAACAAATATAATATTCTCGTCTTTTCTGAAGCTTTAATTGGCAAATAGCATGTATTTTAATACATTGTAGTCCAGCATGGCGAATTGACATATTGTCAAACCCTGTGTTAAAGACCACCTCTGAATATAGATAGCCCTGCAAATAAAGACCACTTGTCTTGAACATGTTTTCAATAGCCAGCATGGCGAGTTGACATACATACAAAGATCTTTGTTAAATACCACCTCTGAATACAGATAGCCCTGCAAATAAAGACCACTTGTCTTGAACATGTATTTCAATAGTCCAGCATGGCGAGTTGACATACATACAAAGATCTTTGTTTAATACCACCTCTGAATACATATAGCCCTGCAAATAAAGACCACTTGTCTTGAACATGTATTTCAATAGTCCAGCATGGCGAGTTGACATACATACAAATATCTTTGTTAAATACCACCTCTGAATATAGATAGCAGATAAAGACCACTTGTTTATAAATACCTATATCTGTATTTCCTTTGGGTGGCCTTTATTCACAGGTTTAACTGTATTTAGATTTTAATTAACTAAAACACAAACATACCCGTTATATAGCTTTATATGGTACCATAATTTGTCCTCATAAGTTCCCCACCAAAGGTTTTAGATTTCTTTTAGCATTTTGACACAACAGACAAAAAATAATGAAATAAAGTAAACCATTAAGATAAATTTGGATAGAAGATATTTAGGGGAAAAACAACAAAAAAAAACGAGACAACACACAAAACATAATAAGCAATAAACAAATAAAGTAAATCATTATGATAAATTGAGAGAGAATATAGATAAGAATCGCTCATATGAAAATAAAGTTATTCTGTGATCGGAAAAGGCCGGTGCCAAATAATTAATTTCATTATTTTGCTGCCTATATATAATATTTTAAACGTTCTAGGTAACTTTAGAATGAAACAAAACTAATATTTTTAAAAATATTTATTGTTGTCAATAATAGTGCCACAGCAAAATGATATCTTTTTAATAAAATATTCAGCAAATTATGTGACTTCTTTGCTTAAACTGCAGTACATGTATGCGGGCCTTCAATAATAATAATAATAATAATAATAATAATAATAATAATAAATAAATAAATAAATAAATAAATAAATGATAATAATAATAATAATAATAATAATAATAATAATATAATTTTCAGATTCACGTCACGTCAAGTGACCGCCTCAGCCTAGTAGCAAGTGACCTAACAGTTAATTAGATCGTTGGTCCATATATTGATTGGCGAGCACTTTTATGCTAGATGGCCCTCATTCATGTGTAATACTTCTTACTTGTGATTGCAAAATTGAAGATATTATGACAGCAACATTTTGCCTTTATAATTTACACATTTGCTGAATAACAAATTTTTTCCTGTATGATATTTTTTTTCTTTAGATTATTCATCCCGGTTTTCATGAGATTTTATAATCGCCACACAGTGTACGAGCGTTTTGATCATTTGAAATATTTACATTGTTGCTATTGTTATTAAATCGTGATGAAATGGAAAACAGTCTGATATGTATTTCTGTGTTCATGTAGTTACTTCGTTGTTATTGTATAAACATATCTATAAATATTGCTTTAATTATTGCAATAGGTTTTTTTTATGTCCATTTTTATACTTTCTCTTGCCTTAGGGACAATTTTTTTATTTTTCGACCTTTTTGTGCCAGCCACTTCGCTTGATTGGCTAGGTTCGGTTGCCTTTGAGTATAATAGTTCCAAACTTGAATCGTGACCAGAAATTCATAGCCAAACCCCAATTTCGTTCATTTCCAAATATGGGCGGGAAATTGCAAGAATCCGTCTGCTACAAACGACTGCTACATAATGGCCGTGAAGTACGCGGGGTAACGGGCAAGCGGTGTGGCGGGATAACAGTGTGAATTGGGCGGGATAGCAGTCAAGCGGACTGGGCGGGCTAGCAGTCAAGCGGTCTAGCAGTGTGAACTGAGCGGGATGGCGGGCCAGTGGGCTAAACTTCAATTTTTTAATTGAATCAACATGACAATGTTATGATACATTACTTGGCAGTGTGAACTGGGCGGTGTAAAGTGTAGCGGGCTAGCAGTGTGAACTGAGCGAAATGAGCGGACTGGCGGGCCAGCGGGAAAAACTTTAATACTTAATTGAATCAACATTAAAACCTTATGATACATTTTTAGAGTTTAATCCGCTGGTCCGCCATTCGCCTAGTTCACACTTCTAGCCCGCTACACCGTCAGCCCGGCCACTTTACACTGCTAGGAAATGTATTATGAGGTTTTCATGTTGATTCAATTAAGTAATAAAGTTTATCCCGCTGGCCCGCCAGACCGCTCATTTCACACTGCTAGCCCGCTACACTGTTAGCCCGCCCACTTCCCACTGCTAGGAAATGTTTCATAACGTTTTCATGTTGATTCAATTAAGTATTAAAGTTTAGCCCGCTGGTCCGCCAGCCCGCTCAGTTCACACTGCTAGCCCGCTACACTATTAGCCCGCCCACTTCACACTGCTAGGATATGTATCATTACGTTTTCATGTTGAATCAGTTAAGTTTTAGAGTTTACCCGCTGGCCCGCCAGCCAGCTCAGTTCACACTGCTAGACTGCTAGCCCGCCCAGTTCACACTGTTACCCGCTAGACTGCTATCCCGCCCAGTTTACACTGTTATCCCGCTAGACTGCTAGCCCGCCCAGTTCACCATGTCAGTCCACCACACCGCTAGCCCGTTACCCCGCGTACTTCACGGCCATTGCTACATGCACGTTTATCGACAATTTAACTATTCATGAAAACTTACAATTTATTTGCTCAAAGACAACAGAGCTCTCAGCTTTTTTGAAGGGAATTTATCTTAACCATAACTGTTTTCAATTTTTAAAAACTAGATAGTTAACTTAGTCACACTTCACTGGAGCGCTACTTTCCCTTTTAAGTGATAACGAAGCAGTACGCATGCTCATGATCTTGAAGGTGCCTTTATTTGATACAAGTTTTAACATGTATAAGACGTTAAAGGTATATATTATTATTATTTCATACTGTTGGTTTACATAAGTCATGAACTTGGTGTTGATGATAAAAGACGTGATGTTCATTTGTTGACAATTTAACTTGTTATTACATTACATTACATTTCATTACTGCGTCAGCTATTATAACTCAAAATAACTTGTCATTCAATACTGGAATGAACAAAATTCAAACCTTACACCGACTTTCACTGTTGATGCAGTGAAATGTTTCACTACAACAATGATAATTTATAAAGTAATGGTTTAAACGGGGGAAAAAAAAGAAAATTATAACAACAATCACGTGTTCTGTACCTGTGACATTATGAAGGGTAGGGGTAGACTGTTATATCACTTCCTGAAGGCGATGTCAAATTTATTTTTACTATAAAAACTTCAAACATCCTTAATGAAAATCACATCTACTCTGGATTGTCAAATTAAAACAAGTAAGTATATCTTAAAACCCATAATTAGAAATATTTACAAATAAAAATTATTTTCTTAAATTGTTAACATGTACTCATATTGCAGTATATTGATATAAGATGCGAACATGATTATTTGTTAACTATTCAAATTATAATTTTAAACGTTAAATTCATTTTAGAAATAAACGTTCGTATCTATTTTCAAAATCGGGAGTCATTTTCGAATTTGACATTTTTACCATTCGCCTTTCTAAAACCATTAAATGTATAAGCGTTGCTGTAATTTTTGTTTAACCCTGCTGGAACCAATAGTGGCTAGTTTTTTCTACCAGTATAGAGCCAGAATAGCCTGAACATCCGGGCAGTCTAACCAGGTTCCAAACTTTTTATCAATGTCATCTTGATACCCCCGAAAATATGATAATGGTCAGTCCAATAATAGAAGCTGGACGAGTTCAATTTAGAAAGTGTTAAATGGTGCGAACATCATGGTATTTGCATAAATTTTGTGTGAAAAAATAACGCAACATGTTTCATTTTATGTTTCCCTGCGTCAAATTGCCTGTTGTTTCAGTTTTAATCAATTTTAATTTATATTTTAACGGAATTTCATAAACGAATAGGCAAAGTGAAGTAAATATAAAGGAAACAATTGTGGTTTGATTATGTGAATACCATTTTTTATTTTCAGAATAAATATGAAGATCACAATTTTCGTCACTGTCGCTTTGACCGCCGTCGTCGGAATGGTCTTTGCTGACGACAGATTCAATAACTGGAACAACAACAATGGATGGGGAAATGACAACAATGGATGGGGAAATGATGACGGATTCAGCGGTGCATCGTTCGGTGGCGCTTCATTTGGCGGTGCTTCAGTTGGCGGTATGGGACATATCAGCGGAGGTATCGGCAGTGGATACGGTCCTAGCTACGGTGCTGGATACGGCAGTGGATACGGTGCTGGATACGGCTCTAGTTACGGCATGGGCTACGGATCTAGCCACGGCAAAGGAATGGCACAGGCTGCATACATTCCAGTCCCAGCTGCACCAAAGGCCGCCGGAGGTCTTGGAATGTCCATCTGTAAGTAACTATATGCATTAATTTATAAGTGCGTTCAAGAATAAGGTGTTTTTAAGTTTTTTTGTTTTGTTTTTTGTTTTTTTTTATTGATTTTTTATTGCACCACTAATAAATTGATAATTTGATTTAATTTGATTACCGTTTTCAATATTTGTCTTTTATCTCGAAGTAAAGGTGTTAACTTATTTGGTTATAGTCAATTACAAACATTTTATAGCATGTTCTTTCTTTCTTAAAACTTTCAGTGCCCCTGTTCTTCTTGTTGTTCCTTCTCCCACAATTGTTCAACACCAGCGCCAACCAAGACCAGATTATTCTCCTCAACTCAACAGTTTCTGGAAAATAAGCTATAATATGTAAGTATATGTATTTCTATACATGTTGGTGTAATACTGCACGTTTGTTACGTCGATTTTCATCGGACAATCATAATGTTTATATTGACTATGTAATTTTAGAACCTTCCTGTGCTTTCAGTGCTTTGATCATTCCAGATCAAAGGAATCAAGATTTTGTGCAATATTAACATTTCGTTGCTTAAACATATAGATTGTGTTATACAGCTTATGATATGATGAACTTGCAAAAATTTAAATGCTGAACGCTTCCATATGAGTAAAAAATTTCAACAAAAATCAAAATAAAAAAGTTTCCGAGTATATAATCCAAAATAGATTTGGTATTTTGCATGTTTTTAATTCAAAAATGCTTCCGAAGTTAATAACCATTTTCCTACCGTAAAAATAATTTTCTTTTATATTTTAACACAATAAATGTATAATTGTGTATAGTTATATTTTCGAATGGGAAACAAAACCGAAAAATTTCGCTACATATTTTATTGGAATTTTTGTTGTCGCATGATTGTGGAAACGAAAATTTGCTTTTCGGGTTAAATGGTTTATAAAGTATTTAAATATATTGTTCCTGTGTATTTTATTATATTGTTCATGTGAAATGGTTTTATTTTTTTCTTTACAGAGTTCTCTCCAGTCTATGTTATGTTATGAGATGGTCCTTCTATTGATACACAGTCTAGTTATATTTTGATGTTCCCACTATCACCACACAGCCTAGATGCATTTTGATCAGACAGCAACAGTTCTACTAATATGTACATGTTATTTATTATTGTTATGTTAGACAGAAAATAAAACAAATACAAACAAATATAATACTCTCGTCCTTAAATAACAAATAGCATGTATTTTGATACATTGTAGTCCAGCATGGCGAGTTGACATACAGTCAAACATGTGTTAAAGACCAACCCTGAATACAGATAACCCTGCAAATAAAGACCACTTGTCCATAAAGTCCATTATTTATATTATCCTCGGGTGGCTTTTGTTGACAGGTTAGACTGTATTTAGATTTTTAATAACCGGGTTAATAGCTTTATATGGTACCATAATCTGTCCTTATAAGTTCACCACCAAAGGTTTTAAATTTCGTTTCGCATTTTGATACAAATAATAAAACATAATGAGCAGTAAATAAATTAAGTAAATCATTTTGATAAATTTAAATAAAATATATGCAGGGGAAAAACAACAACAACAACAAAAATCGAGTCTAGTGACTTAACAGAAAAATCTGTGTTGACCGCCTGTTTCTAAACAATTGGTTCCTCTCAGGCAGATGAAAAATTACAAAGCTTAATATTAGTCAATTGTTGTAGAAGATATTCTACAGGGTGAAACTGCTTCAATGACTATGTACGAGGGGGCATTTCAGAAGTATTTAAAGCAACTGGGGTAATATAAAGCGCGTGTTTAATATTTTTTAAATTATTCAAGCGTGATGCCCTTCAAGTTATCCCCTTTGTTACGTACGTACACAACATTTCAACAGTCATCATCCTACTTACTTAAAGATAAACCCTACATACACTGTTAGTCCCTTGATTAACTTCATTTGATATATAAATATAAGGGTTAGTATGTATAAGTACAGACAAAATAGAACATAATTTTATGTGTCACAACAAAAAGTAATTCTAATTTGTTTTTTAAATCATTCCAATCATTACAATTTAACAAGATTAGTCTTCATTTTATCTACAACAATGGAAAATGCATGATACTAACAATAAATGAAAAACACATTTCTTATATTCCAAATCATAATTTCTAAACAGTTGTTCCTGATATTTAATTTGGTGACATGAAATTTATGACGTTTATGATATTCTGAGACCCAAACAAATTCAGCGCCTTCTGTGTTTTGATTTTCTATGATACAATATCTTCAGTTATTATTAGCAAGGTTTAAAACAATTTTATCAAAAATATTTTTACAACTACTGCACTGCATTATGTGTTCTCGAAAAAAATCGTTCCGTTTCAAATGAGCAAACTATTAAATAAGATATTTCATATATAATTGCAGCAAATTTGCACCAAATAACCCGAGGAAATAAAATAACAAATACTAATCTAAAAACAAATGAGGTGTTTCAAGTCACAGTTTCTACTCCTGAGAGAAAAGAAAATATCTTTCAGGGACAGATAACTCAATAAAAAGGATTGTGAACTAATTTTCCATCTATTTGTTTCATTTATTATTTTCTAGTTTAAGATTTTTTTGTGCGCTTGTTTTTATTTTCCTTCTATTTTTCTTTTGTTAAAAAAACCGCTATAATTGCAATGTAGATGCCATCTACGTTAAATACAAATTGTCATTTATACTCCTCTGATGATACTGAATTTTGAAATTGTGTTTCAATGGAACCTTTCTAGAATACACTTCCTGATGTGTTAGATCTATCGTAATTGGAACCCACATGTAGGTTGCTACTTGTATATGGAGCATAAATTATGGCCGTTGATTTAAACAACTCCCATTTCAGCCTACTACTACTTTAATTAAAAATAAATTTAAATCCTTTGTTTGTGAGAATCGCGCGACATTTAATGCAAAATATTTCGCGATATTTAGCGGCGTTGAGAATATAATAGCGCGCATGCAGAACTACAACAAGTCACTTAAAAAGTACGCCTATTTTTGAATGAAATGATATTTTCTTGAGATTTTACAGAAACAACAAGTGAAAAACTTAATGGTATACATTTATTTCTAAAAGAAGAAATATCGGCAACACTGCGGTGTATCGTTGTGGTTAATCAGTGTTATATGAGTGGTAAAACTATATCCGGCACTGAGCATTTTTGGTTTACCAGGAAAATAGGAGTGCTTATTTCACACCTTATTAACTATAATAATTGAACTTTCAGCATTTGCTTCACGTGATGTTCCAATAGAAATCATTATTGGATCCAAAACTTGGTCAATTTAGCTTCGTTTAAGATTTTCAAAAAGTCCTTATCAAATTCATATCACAACCCCATATAAGCTCGTTTTCATTTTCAGAGATTAAAAGGTTCATATCAAATCTATGTCACATTCCATACATCTTCGTTTATATATCCAGAGTCCAAAACTTTCATATCATAGCTATATAGCATCCCATCATTTTCAATTTTTGAAAGTTCAAAATCAATATCAAATCCATATTGTAATTAAAGTAACAAAGTTCTGTTAAAATGTCAAAAAAAAATTGTGTTGTGAAATAAAGAGGTCATTTAATATGCTTATGTTTGAGAACAATTCTGATTCTATTGGACTCGGACACAGCTGTAAAGCCTATACATGACTCGGCTAGTGCCTCGTACAATATAGGTTTGACAGCTGTGTACTCGTCCAATAGAATTCAGTATTGTATTGTCTATAATGTATAATAACTTCATAATATACTATATCCAGCACATTTCTGATAAGCCAGTGAAATAAGAAATATTGTTTGCATCATGCTATAAGATGGGAATTGAAAACTATAACAATACTTAACATAGCCATTGTTATTATATGCGGATACATAGCAAAATAATTGTTTGTATGTTTTTTCTGTTTTTTACGCCACACATGTATTTGGTTATAAACTCGGCGATCGATCCATCTTATCGGTAAAACTGGATAATTTGCCAGCAATTATCAATTTCGCTTTGGACCGACCACTAATTCCACATGATTTCTGAATCAGTTCTTAGAGACAAAATGTAATATTATATTCACTGTCCGAGAACAGTTTTCACGGAGAATTTTCGCAATCCCATGCTCTCTGTATCGAGCTCAACGGGCGGACTTAAAAAAGTTCAATTCTTAAAAATAGTCATACAAACGAACAAAACAGGCATTTATAAATTGAATGGTATTGGCGTTATTGGCCGGAGGGATTCAGTTTATACAATATATTTTTGTACATTGTTTTTTTTATATTTATACAAGGTGTGTCACTTTTGAGTCCGCTTCTTGGAACTTGCCTGTGCCGAAAATATGACCTTGACATGGGAAGAACCAAAGGGGATTAACTTAAGATAATAAACTATTTTAGTTTTAAGCCTTTACATAGCATTTCGAGCAACATATGTGTATATAATTGTAAATTTTATATGAGAACATCAGGACTTATCATCCATCATAAGATGTAAACTCGGTACAAAACTACTTGTAGAGGAAATTTTCATTATGGTGATATTTAATTAGACTATAAATCGAAATATAAACATAAACTAAGTATATATTTTATTTCAAGAAAGTTTTCTGATTAAATAGTTTGCATTAAAGGGATTGCTGTGGGATTTTCCCGTTTTTGTCCTCATTCTACAACTTATTTTCGCTTTAATATGTTCTTGAACATTTTTTTTCTCTTTTTTCCGTTTTTTTTTTTATATTTTTGTCTAATACAGCGTGTGTTTTTTACTTATATAACTCCTTAAAATTTGATTTCATGATTTAGCCACATATTTCATGTTTATTGTATGTTCGTGTTGTTGAATTGGGAGTAAATTAAATAACTAACAAGTATCTTGCTTTGTAATTCAAAACCGAAAATAAAAGATGTACTAAATATATCAAACTTCAATATCTGTAAAAAAATTAATAGGATGGATATTTTTACATATTCCAGGAAAGAAATACAAAATAAACAAGAACTGTGTGAAGCCTTAGCTATAGAAAGCAGGCTACAAACTAATCACTTTCTACTGGATGAGATTTTAAACCGTTGTTCTTTGAATTTGTGTATTAAATAAATTATTACTTCTTCAATCGAAAATCACTTTATCTTACATTCTACTCCATTATCTTTATTTTTACATAAATTTCTATGTTAAAGGCACATTATGCCTCAGAAGTCCATATACTTTCAATTCTTTAAAAATATTAAACATGTGTTTTTAATAATGTTTAAATAATGGATCAAGTGCATTTAAGATTTTTTACAACTAAAAAAGTAGCGCTGAACGCACAGTTATGTGTCGTAAGGGTACCAAAATATAAACAAAATAGTATTTTAAATACTAACTCACTAAAATTAACCAATTGCCAACAGAACTAAAGATGCAAAATATAGTTTATGTACATGTATAAAGTAAATGGGTATGTTTTTAGAAACCATAACAAGATACAAAAAAAAGTTTTTGAGAAATAAAACTGATAGCATTTCTGATGCATAATTGGCCTTTAATGAGTTTTCGATATCAACAGAAAATGAAAATAAATGTATTTAAAACATAATAGAGATAATGGTAGAGAAAAAAGTATTTGTTTGTTTTTCCTTACCAAATCGATATCAGTCTTAAATGAAGAAAAAACAGTTCGGTATATTTTTTTTAATTCAGATGAAATCAATTACAAAGTTCGGCATATTTTCCTTTTATTTAGATAGCATACAATTACGTAGCATTCCACAATATACACTATACATGTACTCATGTCTAACTGTCATAATATTCATGATAAAATAACACCCGACATAAGACCCTCTGCGCCGATTTTCTTTAAACATTTAAATTCGGTCAACTACAATTTAAAATGTTTTCATAGTATATTTCAATTTTTTTTCTAAATGAAAATTAAAATTTCGAGCAGACATTACTACGGGCGTAAAAGCTGTCAACGTGATTTAGAATTACGCCATTATCGTTATTTATATCCGGTTGTCTGAAAGGTAGGGTAAGTTACGTTACGCCGCGTTAAATACGTTACAACGTTACGTCTAAACGTCTTGACTGTTTGAAATTTCGTTGGCTATTTAAACACGAAAATTTATACTCATATCACTCTTCCTCAGAAAGTCAAACCAAAAACAGTGTAAGCATTTTTACAGAAAGTTAAACAACAATTTTTATTTTTACGAAAGTTTTTAAAGCATTTATATTTTCACCTATTCGATTAACTGTTTTATAACATTTTCGTAAGTTAATTATCACTATTTTTCCTTCTTTATTATTCGTGTTATTCGTATTATTCATGTTATCATTATATTCATTTTTGAAAACATTTACGACAATAATATAGAACAAGCTGTTTTCATCTTTTACTATTTTTTTTCAAGAATAATCATGAAGATCACAATTTTCGTCACTGTCGCTTTGACCGCCGTCGTCGGTATGGTTTTCGCCGACGACAGATTCAATAACTGGAACAACAACAATGGATGGGGAAATGACAACAACGGATGGGGAAATGATGACGGATTCGGTGGTGCATCGTTCGGTGGCGCTTCATTTGGCGGTGGTGCAGTTGGCGGTTTGGGACATATCAGCGGAGGTATCGGCGGTGGATACGGTCCTAGCTACGGTGCTAGTATGGGCAGTGGATACGGTGCTGGATACGGTATGGGCTACGGATCTAGCTACGGATCTAGCTACGGCAAAGGAATGGCACAGGCTGCATACATTCCAGTTCCAGCTGCACCAAAGGCCGCCGGAGGTCTTGGCATGTCCATCTGTAAGTATAGTATAGTTATCCTATTATATATCTATATATAGTTACCATTTTCTATTTCTATATCTGATATATTTTCTGAAGTACCTGAATGCATTTTAGGACAATCCATAGTGAAGGAAGCTAGATACATTAGTTGTTTTTAAAGTGTTAGGTGACATTACGATTTAATTGATGAACATTACCTGCCCTATGTCTAACCAAATTACAGATTGCTCCGAAACATTTGAATTCCTTACGTTAACTAAATGATTTTCCTATTTTATTTCAGTGCCCCTGTTCTTCTTGTTGTTCCTTCTCCCACAATTGTTCAACACCAGCGCCAACCAAGACCAGATTGTTCTCATCAACTCCACAGTTTCTGGATAATAACCTATAGTATGTAAGTATAGAACAAACCTATACATGTAACAACGTTACGTAACCTAAGATTAATTCTTTTAACAGCTTTAGAAATGTATCTATCTATCAGTTATAGCATTCTGAACAACAAAATCCTAATAGAGTTAGTATTTAAATTGAATAAATACTAACTTATTCAATCAATATTCAAAATATCACAATTTATGATAATGATTTGGATTGATAACAGAATCACCTGGTGAAAATATATTGATAAAATTCTTGTATATTAAATTGTGACAGAAAAATGTTGTCTTTATTGTGACAGCAAATTTAACCTTACATTATAACATATTTGTTTGATAACATTGTAGCGCAGCGCATATGAAAAATATTTTATTTTACTTTCAGATTATTCATCACGTTTTTCACGAGATTTCCTAAATACCACACAGTGCACGAGCGTTTTGATCACAGCGCCATCTTCTACAATATCTATATTGTTGTTATTGTTATTTAATGATGAAATAAAAAAAATGGAAAAACGAAATATTTGTGTTGGATCTTTTTTTAAACTTTGTTTTGTATTTTCGTCATTTATTTATTATTTAAATTATTCGAGAAAAAATCAATCGGTAAATTTTGTACAAATCAGATTATAAAAAAACTCGTATTGCATATACCTCACAAAGAAAAAAAAAACAATAAAAACTAAGATTACATGACAAGCTATGATCATTTTAAAGGATTTTCAGTGTTATTTTTGTATTTGCTTGTAAATCCAATTATGAATTTAATGGAACACTTACCCGATTACCCGTTTATTATACCTTAAAATAGTAGCATTATCACAATTGTTAAAATAATCAATGGATACACCAGAGGCTTCAAATGAAACCCCTATATGTCGCTTAAGATGCATGCTCAGCTTGATTTTACGGCAGTGGCCAATGCGAGATATTTTGTCGAAAAATATTAAATTATAACACAAATGAATGGAATATATCTATAAACTAGATAAGATTTAATCTCCATTATAATTACCCCTATTTACTATGTAATCAGAATGTTAATGCGTGGATATATACTGGTGTCTCATATTTCCGTGGTACTTAACTGTTTACACAGACAATAATAGTTAGAAGAATAAAATTCTGGAAAATATGTTGAATAATGTAGGAAAGACATGTCAATTACATCATAGTTTATTCCATTTAATGTTTGCATGTACACAACATGACAATTAACCCATCTGCTGTCTAGTGAGTAAAGTTGTGTTCTCGTATTTCAAAGGCAATTACATTTTAAGAGTTTCAAAAGCAAAACCAATAGTAATCTTTATTTTTAGTATATCTATAAATAGCCTCGTCTAAAAGTGGGAATTTTCTCCATAGCAATTATCAAATAGCTCAATGGTTGTTTAACAAAGTCAATTGTTTTGAAAGGTATGAAGAGTAAAAATAAAATAAAATAGCGAAATAATTTACTTTGCTCTAAATCTGAATAAAATAATAAGTTTTCTCGGTTGTATATGTAACATTTTGATAAAAATACAATAACAAAGTAAAAATGAAACTTTTGGCAGGTGCATAATGTCTAGGAGGCACTTGATACTGTCCATACCTAATACCTTTGAAATATGGGTACCACGGAAATATGAGGCACCAGTATACTTTATTCTGCACAGAACATTACTGCTTCATAAAACCAGTGTTGTTTACAAACAATGAATTGTTATTGATACCGATTAAAGGCACATTATGCCTCAGAAACAAATAAATTTTTACTTCTTAAGAAAGGCCATGCATGAGTTGTACATCACTTAAACAATGGATTTAGAGCATGTTAAATTCTTGGTGTCTAAAGGAAGTTGCGCTTAATTTGAAATTAATGGTATAAAATTAGCAAAATACGAAATCACTACGTAACTGTACAAACTGCCAAAATGCAACAGAAGAAAAAGGATGGTTCAGGTACTTTGGCCAATGAGCAACATTTTGCAAACTGTACAAGCACGCCGAAAAATGAAAAGCTTTTGAGAAGTAAAAATAAAAGCGTTTCTGTGTCATAATGGGCCTTTAACTAAATATATAAACTATATAATGTGTACTCAGACCATTACGAACAACATATTCACAACTGAAATTTGATACGAGGATGAGACAATTCCCCATGTCAACTTGTTTTTATACTTACTAAAATATACATTTTTGATGATATTTGATTATAAAAGATGTAAGCATAACCATCTTAAATATTGACATGCATAAATGTTGAGATAAGTTTTTCTTATTGATAAGTGAGTGGTATATTAAAAGTAAGTGTTAAACGAATGTAAAACAAAAGCCGCTCGACCAAAAGTTACAGGATTGAATTTTAGAGAGAAACAAAACGACCAAAAGCATCTCACATTACTATAATCAGGCCTGGGAATCAAAACTGCGTCGTATCCTACAAAATGTAAACAAACGCCGCCATCTTGGAACGAAAAATGTATGTTTTTGTTTATAACTCTTTTTGTTGGAAATGACTGAAAACAAGATATATGTATTAACACGCTACACTATTTTCCGCTTCGTTCAGTATATGTTGCTTGCACAACTATTTTGTAAAACAAAAGTTATAGCGAACTTGCAACTCGAAGCGGAGCAGAATTTTTAATAAAATTCTGGAAAATATGTTGAATAATGTAGGAAAGACATGTCAATTACATCATAGTTTATTCCATTTAATGTTTGCATGTACACAACATGACAATTAACCCATCTGCTGTCTAGTGAGTAAAGTTGTGTTCTCGTATTTCCAAGGCAATTACATTTTAAGAGTTTCAAAAGCAAAACAAATAGTAATCTTTATTTTTAGTATATCTATACCTAGCCTCGTCTAAAAGTGGGAATTTTCTCCATAGCAATTATCAAATAGCTCAATGGTTGTTTAACAAAGTCAATTGTTTTGAAAGGTATGAAGAGTAAAAATAAAATAGCGAAATAATTTACTTTGCTCTAAATCTGAATAAAATAATAAGTTTTCTCGGTTGTATATGTAACATTTTGATAAAAATACAATAAAAAAGTAAAAATGAAACTTTTGGCAGGCGCATAATGTCTAGGAGGCACTTGATACTGTCCATACCTAATACCTTTGAAATATGGGTACCACGGAAATATGAGGCACCAGTATACTTTATTCTGCACAGAACATTACTGCTTCATAAAACCAGTGTTGTTTACAAACAATGAATTATTATTGATACCGATTAAAGGCACATTATGCCTCAGAAACAAATAACTTTTTACTTCTTAAGAAAGGTCATGCATGAGTTGTACATCACTTAAACAATGGATTTAGAGCATGTTAAATTCTTGGTGTCTAAAGGAAGTTAAATTTGAAATTAATGGGATAAAATTAGCAAAATACGAAGTCACTACGCAACTGTGCAAACTGTCAAAATGCAACAGAAGAAAAAGGATGGTTCAGGTACTTTGGCCAATGAGCAACATTTTGCAAACTGTACAAGCACGCCGAAAAATGAAAAGCTTTTGAGAGCGTTTCTGTGTCATAATGGGCCTTTAACTAAATATATAATCTATATAACGTGTACTCATACCATTACGAACAAAATATTCACAACTGAAATTTGATACGAGGATGAGACAACTTGTTTTTATACTTACTAAAATATATATTTTTTGATGATATTTGATTATTAAAAGATGTAAGCATAACCATCTTAAATATTGACATGCATAAATGCTGAGATAAGTTTTTCTTATTGACAAGAAAGTGGTACATATTAAAAGTAAGTGTTAAACGAAAGTAAGACAAAAGCCGCTCGACCAAAAGTTACAGGATTGAATTTTAGAGAGAAACAAAACGACCAAAAGCATCTCACATTACTATAATACCTTTCCTCGGCGGAATAAAAAAAAACAACTACAAAATAAATTAATACTAGTATAAGAATATCATCTCTTGCGTCATTATAGTTTTGCATTTTTATGAGAGAAAAAAAACAACGACCAAACGCTTCTTAATGAGTATTGGTATACATGACCATAATCCCTTTTATAGGCGGTATCAACATGAACAACTTACTAAATAAATTACATATAAGAATATCATTTGTTACGTCATTACAATTTTGCATGTTTAAGAGGATGTGATGAACTATTCTATCAGCGGTCTTGTGTTTAAATTGTATGTTAAAGGAAAAGAACAAAGGTTTTGAAAAAGAAAACTGACATGTTTAGTTAATTCAAATTTGACATTGACCTTTAAATGACCATGACTTTCAAGGTCAAATATTGAATTTAACATTTGTATATGTAAGTTTGACTGGAAATATTTAAAAAAAATACTTCTTTGTTTATACTTATTTAACGTGTAATAGTGTTAAATAATGTATAAAGTTTATTAACTAAACAAACCTTAAAAAGAAACAAGAATGAACCACATCGGAAAGGGGGGGGGCAATATTGTAGTACAGTACTCCTAGGAAACAATGGAATTCAATTTTATAAATGACCTTGACCATCCTGATCATTCCAAAGTCAATGTCACATCTGAGTAAATAATCATGCCAGTTTTGCCCAAGAATGAATATCATCCATACATAAACAATTAATATATGACAATTTAAGGAAATTTCAATAACTTGATCTTGATGGTAAAGTTCAAGTAAAAGTCAAAGTCATATCAGAATAATTCAACATTTCAGTTTTGTCATGTGTTCTTGTGTCCAACTAATAATCAAATCTGTCAATAATTAACCAAGTTATGACCAGTTAAGGAAATTTCAATTTTATTTTTACCTTTTTACGGCCACGGTCAATTAAAGGTCAAGGTTATATTTGAATTATTCAACGTACAGGTTTGTTATAAGGGTACTTTTGTTCAAGTTCAAATCCGTAAATTAATAACAAAGTTATGACAGTCTTCGCTAAATTCAAAATTTGACCTTGCCAGTCAATGCCATTTGAAGGCCAATGTCAAATTTGGATAAGTAAACTGAACATGTCAGGTTTGTAACAAAGTTCTGGCCAATTGGTGCAAAATTCATTAATTTGACATTTAGTGTTAAGGAGAAATTAAGATCAAGGTCACGTTCAAATAAATCTTCTTTTATATCTTATTACAATAATTGTTATAGCCAATTATAGCTAAATTTTGAAATGACAATAATTTGACCTTCAAAGTCAATGTCATTTATGATTCAATGTCAAATTGAGTTAATTACATTAATACATTATCCTTACTGTACTTGTGCTCAAGTTTGAAGATAATCCATTCATATCCATTCATAAATATAAAACGTTATGGACAATTAGAACAAAAAACAAGCAAACTTCATTTATTTGACCTTCAAGGTTAAGGTGGCTGATGAGTGAAGGTCTTAATCAATTTAGTCTACTTGAGGATTGTTTGATCTAAGTATGAAGACAATCCATTCAAAAATAACCAAGTTAATGTTATTGTAGATTATAGTCATTTATTTCACGGGTTATAATATTTGTTTAGTTTAGATTGAAAAGTTATGGAGAAATTCTCTATTTCTACTCATTCATTTCTAAATCTCATATCATTAAAACCTTTAGTTAGACTTCTTCAATTTAAGTAGTCAGTAAGTCTCAATATTTGACACCTTATTCTGTTAAAATTATCCTATTATTATTATACAAATTTCACCTTTCCCTATCTAGGCACTTTCGTTCACCTCATTAAGCGGCTTTTGTTTATTTAGCAAATCTAAAAGAGGTGCATTTGTTCACCACATAAAGGGGCTTTTGTTCATTTAGCAAATCAAACGAAAAGACTTTGGTTCTCCACATTAAGGGGCTTTGGTTCATTTAGCAAATCTAACTGAGGGGCATTCGTCCGCCACATTAAGGATTTTTTTATTATTGAGCAAATCCAACTGAGGGACATTTGCTAACCTCATCAAGGGCTGTTTGATCATTTAGCAAATCTAACGTAGGGGCATTTGTCCACCTCACAGAGGGGCGTTTGGTCATTAAACAAATCTAACTGAGGGGCATTTGCCCCCCACATCAGGGGGCTTTTGTTTATTGAGCAAATTCAACTAAGGGGCATTTGCCCACCTCATTAAGGGGCGTTTGGACATTTAACAAATCTAACGTCGGTGCATCTGCCCATCTCACCAAGGGCTGTTTAGTCATTTAGCAAATCTAACGGAGTGGCATTTGTCCATCTCATTAAGGGTCGTTTGGTCATTTAGCAAATCTAACTGAGGGACATTTGCCCACCACATTAAGAGGCGTTTGTTCATTTAACAAATGTAACTGAGGATCCTTTGTCTATCTCATAAGGGGCTTTTTGTCATGTAGCAAATCTAATTGAGGGATTTTTGACCACCACATGGAACACGGTGCATATCCATATCGGTACCCTCTTTGCGAAATCTGCTGAAACGGTACCCTCTCTGAACATGCACAGGTCATTCTCTGCTAAAAACAAACCAGCGATGGATACCAATCCAGTAAAATTTCATTGTAATAAGGAAAGGAGGTATGTCACGTAGAAAAGATGTATACCACGGAACACTAGGATGTTTTATTTATGTGCTGATTTGTCATGTGCCCGATTTTCATGTACTGCAACTTCACAATAAGCTACAAAAAATCGACATGTCTTGCTTCGCCCATCACCTCGACATATTTTTCGGGCTGAAATGAACCTATGGCTTGATTATATATGCATCATACATATTTAATATGTTCATATACATATCATCTTCGGACAAATGGCAGTATATTGTCAAAAATAAATGTAAAATTCATAAAAACACCCTACTTTCGGTTTTGCAGCGGCACGGGCTACCTCTCTTCATTTGAATTTTTATATCACAGGTACCCTCTCATTATTGAACACATTGGAACCCTCAAAGCACGACATATATTTTTATTTGCGTTAATCGTTAAGTGTGTATGTAATACTTTTTACTTTTATGTAAATATTACATACTTAACGATTAACGCAAATAAAAGGATATGTCGTGCTTTGAGGGTACCCATGTGTTAAAAAATGAGAGGGTACCTGTGATATAAAAATTCAAATGAAGAGAGGTAGCCCGTGCCGCTGCAAAACCGAAAGTAGGGTGTTTTTATGAATTTTACATTTATTTTTGACAATATACTGCCATTTGTCCGAAGATGATATGTATATGAACATATTAAATATGTATGATGCATATATAATCAAGCCACAGGTTCATTTCAGCCCGAAAAATATGTCGAGGTGATGGGCGAAGCAAGACATGTCGATTTTTTGTAGCTTATTGTGAAGTTGCAAGACATGAAAATCGGGCACATGACAAATCAGCACATAAATAAAATATCCTAGTGTTCCGTGGTATACATCTTTTCTACGTGACATACCTCCTTTCCTTATTACAATGAAATTTTACTGGATTGGTATCCATCGCTGGTTTGTTTTTAGCAGAGAATGACCTGTGCATGTTCAGAGAGGGTACCGTTTCAGCAGATTTCGCAAAGAGGGTACCGATATGGATATGCACCGTGTGGAAGGGCGTTTGATCATTTAGCTAAATTAGCTAAAGGACATTTGCCCACCTAATTAAGGGGTTGGGGGATGTTCATTTAGCAAATTTAACAGAGGGGCTTTAGCCCATCTCTTTAAGGGGCGTTTGATCATTTTGCAAATCTGATGGAAAAGGCTCATTGTCATTTAGCAAATCTTAATCTAAATCCAAACTGCTCTGTAGTAGATTCATTTTGGTTGTAACAATGTTATTGTCATTTAGTATGATAGATATTACAGAAAAGAGTCGCCTGTTACTGTTGTAAGTTTTACAATTTTTACAATTGTGTTAGCATGATCATACAGATGTAGACATACAAAGTAGCAATAAAATGTGTTTAAATCATATCATCAGTCACGTGATACAAAGTTATGTTATGAAAGAATTTAAATAAAACGTTATACTTTTGTATTTTATTGTAACATTAATTTCAGTTGTTGTTCTTTTTTGTTGTTCTTTTTCTTTTCTTTTTTTTTTTTTTTTTTTTTTGGGGGGGGGGGGGGTGATGTTTTTAATCAATATTTTATTTCAGTTCATTTATAATTTTACTCTTTCCAAAAACATCTTAACATACAATTCTGTGTTTTCTGCCGGAAGGCACTATGTCGGCACAAACTCACAATATATGTACTTTGTAACCAACACAGCAAAACCATTTAGGCATACTACATTGTATGATATATTTTATGCAAATTACGCCTTTGTGGATTTGAAACAGAGAGTGCTAGTCTAATTTGTACAGTTTACATTAGTTTTACTTTTTTTAAAGACATTTCTTTATTCCCAACAATGGTTAATGTTAACATTATAACCAGACAGACTTTACTTCACTGTATTGAAATTAATAAACGCCATGGGTGTCAAATCTGTCAACACGATGTAATCGTTATATCGCTACGTCCGGCTGTCTGAAAGCTTCGGGTACGTTACGTTACGTCGATTTAAGTTCGACGTTAATTTTCACTATTTAAGCTCGAACATGCCGTGTTAAAATTACTTCTGCCAAAGAACGTCAAGCCAAAAACATCGTAAGTAGTGTGCATAATTAAAGTATTTTCATTAATAAAGTCATATTTAGAAACAACATCTTATTCATTTTGTTGATTTCTATATACGAATTTATTTGTAATATAATGGTTGGAAAAGGATATTTTTTTTATATTTTTTTCAGCATTTACATTTATTCTAAATTTTATTGTCGTTTAAAAATATATATATTTTTGTTTGTTTTTGTTAGATTTTGATAAACATGTAATTCCATAGAAAGGAGTATAAGCAATGACTTTAAATTTCCTTCTGACTGATGAAAAGATAGATATATTTTTGAGAAATTGATTTGAGTTTTAATACCAGTTTTCGTTCTTTATTACCGACAAGAGTGAAGTAAAAAGCATATATTCAACTCAATATATATCAATATATTCAACATTGTTGCACATTGAACCTGTACCAATGCGCGCCGCTTTTCTTATTATGTTGTCTGTCTAACTTGGGTTCTGTTCTTTCTGTATGATAATTTGGTAATATCATGTTCATTTGATAAAAAATTATCTAAATTTTAAATTTTGTAAAATTTCAGAACCCTAACCATGAAGATCACAATTTTCGTCACCGTCGTTTTGACCGCCGTCGTCGGAATGGTTTTCGCCGACGACAGATTCAATAACTGGAACAACAACAATGGATGGGGAAATGATGACAACGGATGGGGAAATGATGACGGATTCGGCGGTGCATCGTTCGGTGGCGCTTCATTTGGCGGTGGTTCAGTTGGCGGTATCGGACATATCAGCGGAGGTATCGGCGGTGGATACGGTCCTAGCTACGGTGCTAGTATGGGCAGTGGATACGGTGCTGGATACGGCTCTGGTTACGGTTCTAGCTACGGATCTAGCTACGGCAAAGTAATGGCACAGGCTGCATACATTCCAGTCCCAGCAGCACCAAAGGCCGCCGGAGGTCTTGGAATGTCCATCTGTAAGTAACTATATGCACTAATCAAGAATATGGTGTTTTTAAGTTTTTTTTTTTAAATATTGATTTTTTATTGCACCACTAATACATTGATAATTTGTTTAATTTGATTACCGTTTTCAATATTTGTCTTTTATCTCGAAGTAAAGGTGTTAACTTACTTGGTTATAGCCAATTACAAACATTTTATAGCATGTTCTTTCTTTCTTAAAAATTTCAGTGCCCCTGTTCTTCTTGTTGTTCCTTCTCCCACAATTGTTCAACACCAACGCCAACCAAGACCAGATTATTCTCCTCAACTCAACAGTTTCTGGAAAATAAACTAAACTTTGCCAATATTATTCTGTGATATGTAAGTATTAAAATGTTACAATAGAAGTTATAATTTAATCAATATTAATCACATTTCAAGAAACTTTTTTTTTTACAAATTTCACTAAATCTTTTAGGATCACATAATTTATGCATCCGAAAAATGAACTAAATTCTAAGGCTTTAACAAAAAAATGGAGACATGCTGAAGAATGCTAAGGAGACGAGAAAACGTTTGAATACTACATTACAATTTACAAGATTTGTAAAGATAATTTGTTTTTGCTTTTATATTTTTAACATATGAGCAGGATAAATACATGTAATACAATTCCTTCCTACTACGAACCTTGTAATCTGACCAGGTGCTAAACTGATCCCTGACAAACATATTCATTATGAAATTATGAAAATGATATGTTTATTTTAATGGAGGTTCGACAAGTTCACTCAGGGTTTTCAGCCTGTCATACTATATTACTCTTTAAATAACGAACGTAACTTATATTCGGTGTCTAAGCAACATAACATCCGTATTTATTATATTCTGAAAAAAATATCCTTCGAGAGAAAACAACTGATAATTTCTTTATTATTATTTTTTTTTTACTTTCAGGTTCCTTTTCCTGTTTGACACATACAGTACCTGGTGATGTGCAGTGCATTTGTAATCTTGTCACAGTGCTAACATCTGTTGTGTTTTGTATTATATTAACTTATAAATTATTAAAGAAAAAATCTAAACAAAACAGTCGTCTGTTATTATATATATATATTTTTTGTATTATTTTATGCCGTATGAGGAATTAACTATACGGCTAATCCAGTGCAAGAAAATTACTTCTGTTAAGATGCAGAAAGTCAGTTCAACATCAATCTTTAACCTTAAAGATGTTATCTACAAACTCTGTATAGTCGCTCTACACACAGTATTATGCGAAACTTATTTAAATAAAAAAAAAACACCGCTGTCCCATGCTTTTTACATAGTAAAATACAAGTAATTCACATTTACATGATTTTTAAAATTATCTGCAGTATTTACAGCTATACATTGTATACTAAAATTACAAAAGGCTGACAGAAAAGCATAAAGAAAAAAATCAATTTATTGAAATTTGTCCGGGCCTTGGTGTGATAAGAACCTTGCTACTGACTGCAGGCCTATTTTCTCTTTCAAAATTGATATTACATATAAATATTTTATGAAATTTAAATTTATTGTAGCAGAAGACTTAAGTCATTATTATGTTTATTTAGATGCCAGAACAGAAGAGTTACTTTACCTATCTAACTATAAATCTCCCAAAATAGCAAAGGCCTAACAAGAATTGCAAGAAGTTTATAAGGATTGTTTAAAAGAGGAATCAAAGAAGATAAGATTAAATGTTAACGTCATAGACCTGGAACGATTATACAGACTATTTAACCCACTATCCAAGCCATTTACACAAAAGAAATTTAAATCCTCCGGTTATGAAATTCACCCTCACAGAAACCTTCTTTTCATTTAGGTAAATTCGCTCAACCATGGAGCTAAATATGTTTATATATCAGTGGCTCAACCCCTATTTTGGTAATGTGTTTGAAAAAATATTTTAAAAACTGACATTGCAGACGATAAAATAAACCTTTACATGATAAATTATAACAGAGCTATTGACATTCTATATTTCTGGGACATTTTTGTCCAATTAACTGCAAAGTGTCTGAAATCGTGTAATGTTGAAATGTTGTAATAATAATAATAATAATAATAAAAGTTGCAACTTTCATCAAAGCAACTTTTATAAAAAATTACTAAGAATAAATTAGATTAACAGGTAAAAGCTTTATTTTGTTGTTGAAATATTTAAACTTGAAAAATAAATCAACTGTGATTGATGTTCAAAGAATGAATTTCAAACAAAATTCTTCATTGTAGTTTTCATTATTTGGGGCTGTTTCTGGAACTCTTCAAATAGGAGATTTCACTAGTAAACAAGGGGAAAAATGAAACGTGGAAAATGAAGTGGAATCATATGAAACATTCCATCATTTTGATATTTTTTGTTTGTTTGATTGGGTGTGTGATTTGTACAGAGAAAGCAGAAGGTCTTTACAGCCCAACGAGCTCAGTTTTTATACTGAATCAAAATAATTTTCACCAAAATGTGTTGAGATCTGACAGCGGTTGGATTGTGGAATTTTACAACAGCTGGTGCGGTCATTGCATTAAATTTGCCCCAACTTGGAAGGAATTTGCAAAGAAACACGAAGGTTTGTTTCTAATAATATACGAAATTGATCTAAATTTCAATACTTCATTTGGTATGGCTAATTTTGACTTTTTGAGTATTTGGATATTCGGATAGTATCAATGTTCGGATAATATGAAATTAGGCAAAGCCTATGAACGGGGAAGTCGTTAAAAAAATCCTTTCATTCTTTCTGTTTAAAAGGTGTCATTCGGTATTACATGCACCGCTTCCGTTTTCACTCGGAACACTAGACGATCATTATTTATCTGAAAAGTTGAGATTTGTTCCGTTATCGGAATACCCCGCCTATTATCATTGAGTTACATTGTAAATGGCGGCGCCCGACTAGAACTGACACTTAAAAATTTCGTTGATAGGTATAGAATTCTATATAATTTTTTAATTGTTTTTTATTTGATTTTCTTTTACATATACACGTGCAGTCTATAGCCGGGCAAGCCAAAGCCCGGACCCGCTTTGCGGGCCCGGTCTTTGACTTCCCCGTATTAATTAGAATTTTGCAAGGAAAGTAGAGTGGTTTTGGTCAACTACAGGTTTGTCAAACTTAATTTATGAAGACATCTGAAAGTGATGTCATGGATCTTTTTGTAATTAACAAATATTGTTAATTAAACTTAATTAAAAATTGTAATATTATTCAGTAGAAATGAATATTAATTATGATACAGTGTTGTATATCTGTACTAATTGGGACAGGCAACGTGCAAACGTTGAGTCGGTTGACTGTTTTAACTTTAAAAAAAAACAACAAAGTGTATACTGCCGGCTTTTTTTTTTTTACTTTTATTTTTTACTTTTTTTTCCTATTAAGTATTCTTTTAAATGTAAACTATTATCTATGGATACATCATATACCTTTATATTTATTATTTTCAGATTGGTGGCCGTTGCTAAGAGTAGGGGCAGTAAACTGTGCAGATGAACTCAACGTTGAGTTGTGCAGAAGTTTTCACATTGAAGGGATCCCAGCTTTTATGGTAAGCACATGATACTATCTTCCATTTTTTTCCATTATCAGTTTTGGGGATATCAAGACATAGCCATCAGTATAGCTAGAGCCTTGTACATATGTGCAGGCTGGCCTTGCTCAATGTCTGTGACAAGGGCCAATCACTTTAGAGCCTTGTAGGATAGGAGTTAAAACCGTTAAATTGCATTAGAGAAGGACCGGTATGCACTGTACAGTTCTCATTTTTTGAGGTGCTTTTGATTAAATGTTGCCTATTCATGTTTAATACAGATAATTTTAAAACAATCTTGAGTTTAAAAATTACATATTTAAGTTAGATTTTGATGATAGCTTGCAGTTTATTTAAATCACTCCTGAGTTTTCTTCCCGGACCAGGACTGGTAATACTTTACCCACAAGATTGGCACTGCTTGTTAAAAAAGCATTTTTAACCTTAGTACCATTTATGCCTTGAGTCATCCATCCGTCCATCTGTCTGTCCTTCCAAGTTATGTAGATTTAATAGGAGATCATCTTATTGTTAACAGGACAAAAGAAAATAGGGCTTGACTCTCAATACAGCCAAAGAAAATAACAAAACTGACCCCTTAGTCCAATTAAATGGGACATCTGTCTGTCTGTTAGTAATTCCAAGGTCTGCTTTATTTTTTAAAACTGAAAGGAAATTAAATCTCTTTGCACATACATATGGAGATTGGAGAATGCATATCTCCTTTCTGATTGCACAGTAAGATGATTTTTTTATACCTCATGGGGTGTATAATCCCCAAGTGTATTGCCCCACTTCTTTGCAGTGCTCTTGTTAAAACATATACCCCCAATTGGTAATATGCTCAGCTATTAGCTATAAGAATATTTATTGATGTGTTATATTTTGACATGTTTTTCAGTTGTTTCCACCAGGTTACAAGGGAATAGAGACAGGTGGTATATTCCATGACCAAAATAAAGAATTCTTAGAACACAAAGCTCTGGACTTCATCTCTAACTCAACACTGTTTCAACCACCAAAGTTCTGGCCACGACTTTATCCAATTGTGTAAGTCAATTTTAATTCTGCTGGAAAAAAAGAACAGGAATAAAAACACAACAACAGAAGGATTTTGGTTTGATAGTTTCATGAAGCGGTTGATTAAAGTGAAAGTAATTTAAAAAATTGATTTAAGTTTTGAACTAACTTTGTGCTTAGTTCTGTAAACATAAAGTTTACTAACTTCATTAAAGTATTTGTACTATATTGATTTTTATTGAAGCTTTTGGCATGTTATTATTTCAATTTTTGAACTCTCTTGACTTGAATAAACAGTATTTTTGTAGTGTTAAGGTATGAGAGAATATTTCTATGCATAAAATATGACCTTAATTCATAATTCATTGGTTGAAAGATAAACTTCTGAGCTGTTGGTTTCAATATTTTGTTAATTTACACTGTAAATTCTTTTAGTCATAGAATTTCCACTTTTGCAGCAATTTTGTTAAGATTAACCTAGTACAGATGTTTTGAGTTCAAGCTCTTAAAAGTGATGCTATTTTTAAATAATATTAAGATTTTAAAAAAATTCTAGCCAACTGGTACATACCCACAGTGACAAGTTATGCATGTTTGAATGTGCTTTTGGATATTTTTTTTTTCATTAATTAAACCTTAAAGCAGCACGCCTCCAGATTCAAGCTAATTTTCATGAAAATTTTGAAATGTATCTAAAAGTATAATATTTTAAAGTGACCAAAAAGAAGCAATTTACACATGATCAATGGCACTTGCAACCCACGTTACTGAAAAGCGGTCAAAATATGCAAAAATAACCCTTATTGCATTAGTAACGTAGTAGAAATATAGTTATAAATACAGAAAAATCAGTCAATTATCCCACATAATATTTAGATTATTAATTGAATATATCTTATTTACTTTTCCTAATTAGATATAATAAATACTAGAACATTTTTCTCAAGTTTGATTTTATTAAAATATCTTGGCTCATCTGGAGGCATGTAGCTTTAAAAGTTTAATTTAATGAGACTATATTTCTTTCGTAGTTATTATTGCAGGGTGGGTTTTGTGTAACATGTACATGTATATATAATATAGCTGTTGTTTTCAGACAGTTTTTATTGCTTAATATATATACATAAAATTTTAACATATACTCTGTGACTATTTATCTTACACATTAAATCTGATGGTCATTTGAGATTTAGAAATTATGAAGGCTAAGTATTTGGGAAGAAATTGGTAATTGCTGGTTAGTTATCTAGTGGACTAACTGCTGAGGTATGAAAAAAAAAATGTTGAAATCATCATAAAACCCAGACAAGCAAGCTATAATACATGCATTTATATATGATAGAACAATGTATTGTATTTTACTTTTAAATGTTTACATAGATTAAGCTTGATCAAGTGTTTACAATATTGCAGGTCAATGCAAGATATCTGGAATGAAACAAAAGATGAGCACCATTTTGTGGCATTTATATTTGAAGAGCCCGGCTCTTATATTGGTAGACAGGTACATATTGTAGTACTTAACATCTTTTTAGTTTGAGTTGTTTTAGCTGGTGCTAAGGGGCATGAGAGATGTTGCACTTTTTATGCCCCCACAATGTGGGAGCATATAGCGTTGCACTTGTCTGTCCGTCCGTCAGTCAGTCAGTCCATCCGTCCGTACGTCCCGAAATCTTGTGAATGCAACTCCTCTTAAACCGGATGGCAGATTTTGCTTAAACTTCCAGGGATGAACAACCTTAATGTGTAGATTGTAGTAAAGGAAGGAATTTTTGCTGCGACCAAATTTAACAGAATTATGGCCCTTTGTTGAGTTTTTCACTATATACTATGTAGAAATTTTGTGAACGCAACTCCTCTTAAACCGGGTGGCAGATTTTGCTTAAACTTACAGGGATGAACAACCTTAAGGTTTAGATGGTAGTTAAGGAATGAATTTTCGCTGCGACCAAATTTAACAGAATTATGGCCCTTTGTTGATTTTTTCATTATATACTATGTAGAAATTTTGTGAACGCAACTCCTCTTAAACCAGATGGCAGATTTTGCTTAAACTTCCAGGGATTAACAACCTTAATGTGTAGATGGTAGTAAAGGAAAGAATTTTTGCTGCGACCAAATTTAACAGAATTATGGCCCTTTGTTGATTTTTAGTTTTCAACTTGTGGCACATGTAGTCCAAAAAATATTTGACCTAGACTCATAATATTGACAGAACAGTGGCGTGTGGGGGCATCCGTGTTCTATGGACACATTTCTAGTTTAATTATCGCTCATGTACATGTACAGACTCGTATCTGCAATATTGCAATTTTCATATACATGATATTTTGCTGTTTTTAAAATTTTAATGCTATCGAGGAATCACTTTGTTTCCTGATATTAAAGTTTGCGTAAGGTCATACATGACTTTTTTACAACATTTTAGAACTCCTTCCAACACTGATAGTATAAGAGAATATCACAATTTTGGAAATTTGAAAATATGGAAGCTGCATATAAAATGAAAAAGAACCGTTAATATATATAAATATCTCAGCTGGAAAACAGAAAAATAAAAAGTCTTTTTCTTGTGCTAAAGTGCCCAGTCGACCTCTACAAAAGTTACATAAATCATTGTCCTGGTGTAAAGTTAAACATTGTCCTCGGTCACTTTCTACATGGACTAAAAATCTTCTCTACAGAAACTACAAATGGCTAGAGTTAATATACATGTATTTATGCCATAGCATTTCCATATTAAGACTCTTTTGTTTAATTTTGAGCTAATTTGATTACTTTCAGAGTATACTTTCTTGAACTTACAAGTACTAATGTCAGATGAGGTAACATGGTCCATGGTGTCGTGCTTACCAAAGATGTTTGGTTTAGTTGAAATATGCCACCCTTCTCTTACAATTTATGTAACTTATTCCCTATGAGAGCAGGGTTGATCTTTATAACATGTTTATTTGTTCTCACCTACAGGTCATTCTGGATACAATTGGCTATAAACCTTTACTTGTTAGAAGAATGTTAAAAGAATCAGTACTGAAGTTTGGTATCTTGAAATTCCCGTCACTGTTCCTCATCAACAGAGATGGTACTTTCACCAGACTTGCCAAGTAAGAACCATGATTTGTTTCAGTTATTAATGGAATTCTTTTTATGGAAAGCCATGTTAGCATTCTTGTCAAATAGATTATGAACATTAACATTCCCTAGAATAAACTCTGTATTTGGCTTTTTAATGTGATAAACTCTATGTTTTGGAACTCTGCATTTGACTTTTCACTAAGATAAACTCTGTATTTGGCTTTTGAGTATGATACACTCTGTATTTGGAACTGTGCATTTGGTTTTTCACTATGATATTACTGTATTTGGTTTTTCACTATGATAATACATGTATAAACTTTTTTTACAGGGATGATAATACTAGAGATGGTATGGTGGCTGCTTTGAAAAACTTACTGTCACCTGCTCAACTTAAGGCCGGGGAAAAGTTCTTAAATCAGAGACCAAGGAACCAGCTCAATGACAGCAAGAAAGAAGGGGAACCAGCAGATAATAGTAGTAAAGTTATAAGGTAACAGAGTAAAAAAAGTTGGGTACAAGATATGTAAAAAAGTTGTCTAAATAAGCACAAAAAGCTCCATAGGATAACATGTCATGATAGGAGTTGTCTTTAAAAATGTTGATTGTTTTGTTTTACACATCATACAATGAAGTTTCATGTAAAATTTGAAACATCAATTTTGAAAGCCTTATGCTTTATGGTGGAATTATATAACATAATTATTATCAATGGTAATGAAAATTCAGTGTGAATGTCTGCAAAGATAAACCATAGAGTGTGATGATGATATTTTACTAACAGATTTCCTACAACAGACTTGTCTTGTTTATAATTTGCAAAAACTCATGGAGATTGCGGTTGATTTAATATCAAACTACATTGTATTTAGAAAAAATATGCTCATATTCTGTTGTCAAGCTGAGCTGAATTACATGTAGCTACATGATTATCTTAAATAAATTCAAATTTAATTTTTATTGATCAATGAGGATTTGAAGATTTCAAATGTTTAGAGAAAAATATGAATGTAAACACTGTCCCCCTCTTTTTATCGCTTAAACTTAACAGGTAAATTCTAAATAAAATAGATTTAATATAACATAACAATATAATTTCTATAAGTCAAATAGATTATTGATTATTTATGCAAAGTTGAGTAAGAAATTGAAACAATTATGGCAAAATGTGAGGTTATTTTAACTTTAACCTGTTCACTCACCACATATACTTGGATTGGTTCCACTTTAATATTTAAGCATAGATACCAGAAAGTTTTGTGACAGAAATGAACTGCTGTAGTAACAATTCAGACCTGCCAAATAAAATGAATCAAATCACTCTTATTCTGTAATACTTTATCTGCAACAATATTATTACAGACCTGCAGTTTATATGAAGGACCTGGAATCTACATTACATTACGCCCTTAGACAGGAGATAGCAATATGTCAGGCATTAGATGGAGACAAACTTACTGCATTGAAAAAGTTTATGAATGTTTTATCTAAGGTTTGTAATAAATTTAAAGTGGCATCTGTATGTAGGGGTCCTCTAAGTCATTTTATTACAGATTTTCAATGGTTATATTTCCAATGGAATATGATATCTGTGATTTTGAATTGTTTGACAAATATTCTGTTATAGAACAGTTATGGTATGTTGTGTATGATTGTAAAATATATGAACTGCTTTTATGGTTAGATACAAACAAAGTCTCTTTATACTTAGTCAAGGTATAGAGTAGTCAAGGGAACAACCTGGCATGTTGATGACCAATGTTAAGAATAAAACTAACGAAATTGCCTGGCCAAGGGGTATGACTCCTGTTTCCAGGCTACTGAAACTAAACTTGATATGCATAAGGAAATATGAAATTATTTATTCAAATGCTATTTCTTTTGCAAATGTTGTAGATTTTCAAACGTTAAAGGAAAACAACCACATACTTTTCTTAAAATGTAACAGAGTTATATCCCTTTCCTGTATCAAAATTTTAACATATTTTGTAATAAGAGAGTTGAACTTTATAGTATATTTGCCTCGATGTTTCACAATATTGAAAAGTTTCTTTGTTACATTCAATATTTTTTGGCTTTGTTACAATATTTAGAACTTTTTCCCTTTGTTACAGTATTGTTAACTTTTTGCCTTCGTTACAATATTTATAACTTTTTCCTTTGTTACAGTATTTCCCTGGACGAGAGGAGGTTTCTGATTATTTGTTTAGGATATCTGCATGGTTAAGGACAACCAGTACAGAAATTACTGGAGACCAGTGGATAACATCATTAGATGAGAAACAGGTATGAAGAATTTTTCCAGCTAAGTTGAAATTTGCATCTGTCCTTTGTCATTGTCAGCTTTTGTGACAATAATTAAGTGAAAATGGAGTTTAATCACTTTGATGTATATTATATATATCATTATAGCATAAAGTCGGCTATTTTTCCCTCGTTTGCCTATGTTATAACGGGACCAAAACCATATGTTAACATAGTCACGCGCTCTTGTTATAGCCCGGTTTTACCTATGCGCAATACGAAACAAGGTCCGGTAAACAAACAAACAAAATACGATTGGGCCTGTTTGCCAAGGAGTCATGCGCTATTGTTATATTGAAATTATTGTTTCGAGGGCCTCAATCGCATAACGGCAAGCAGCATTCAAGCAACTATGCCGGAAATACGGCATATAGACATCGCCGCTAATCTTGGTTGTCGCCCTTTCTAAGAAATGGACAGTTGTCAATGTAAACAAATATTTGTCATTCAGTTTAACTTACAAACAGATTTACAGATTTACTTACAAACAAGATAACACAAAATGAATATGAAAAAATATTTTTTTGAGTTAATAAATCCCCAATGTTAAGCTTTGTTAAATCAATTGAAATCAAAATTTCATTTGGTTCTGAGCATTTGGTATTTTATGCTATAATAGCGTCAACGCACATTTATTTCGTGTTATAAAGTCTGCAGAGTCCCTCAGAACTGTTGGAGCCCTCGCCCTACCAGGCTCAGGCGCCAACTGTTCCTCGGGACTCTGCAGACGTTATAACACGAAAAAACGTGCGTTAACCCTATATAATCATTTATAGTCACATGGACCAAAACTTATTATCCTTTTTTGAAGGCAGAGTAATATAATTTTGGCATTGTCTGAATTTGTCAGTCTGGCTGTATGTCCTTCAAACCGTCCTTTTGTCACATTTTAACTGTAACATAACACTTAAACTATATAAAGTATAAACCTAAATTTTATATTTGTTTACATCTCATTGGAGAGAAGTGAAGTTCCTAAGAAACATAACTCTTATTCATAGTTTTTGAGTGATGGCCCCTTTTGAAATGCTTGTTAGGGGCAGAACTGAAAAGTTATTGAGATATCAACTTGAAACTTTATATAAATGGATAGATCTCATTGCAGTGAAGTGCAGTGCCTAAGAACCATAATTCTCTTTTAATTATTTTTGGAATTTTTGCCCATTGTTCTTTTCATACTAATTATTTCCCTTTGTTATTGTTCATACATGATTTATGTTTACAGTATATTATAAAGTCAATATGATACATCAACAATTATATGTAATTGTAATGTTAAAGACTATAAGATCTTAATAGTGATACTATAAGTGAGATGCTTTGTTAAATCTTGATTTATACATGTCCATTCGTATCTATTTTTAAGGAATAATTATATTTTCATGTCATTATATTTCAAAAGGGTTCCTTTTTGTTTGACACTGGTCAATTTACTTGACTTTATATCATAATAATACTCAGAGGTACATAATGCAAGAAGCTACATGATTTATATCAGTTTGTTGGAGATAACAAATTTATTTGTCTATAAATAAATTATATATTTTCCTTATCCTCAGTGTTTTCTAAATTTGAAAAATTTGTCTAGTTTACAAAATTTAGCAGGGAAAGACTTATAGAAAAATGTTTTAAATCTTTCAATAGAATTCTTTACATTCAGCTATTTTATTGCCTTGTTTAAATTATTTATGTATTAATATATCTTATCTGGTTAGAATTACCCTGTTGGAAATTTTGACTGACCCAGTTTGATTTCATATTTCAGAGAAAATAATTGAACCTTTTTGATAACTATGACAAAATTTGGAAGAATTGCAGATTGTGGCTTAAACTACTTAACCTGTTTGATTTGGTTTTTCAGACGATGGAAGAGTATCTTCCTGAGCATGTTAAGTGGGTTGGATGTAAAGGGAGTGAACCACGGTTTAGGGGATACCCATGTGGCATGTGGACACTATTTCATACTCTAACTGTGGCAGCATTTCAGAAAGAACAAGCAAGTGAGTATAGTTTTTGTCATTTCTGGATATCTCAATATGGGGAGATATATGTCTATAAAACACAAGTTCATAACTTTTTTTCCAGGGAAAATGCCTTTGACAATTTAGTAATATGACAATTTCTTTGAGATGTTCATCATGATAAATTCCAGGGATTAATATGATTAATATTGCTTTTAATTGTTTATACTAAACACAAAGTCCATAAATATATTGGAAGTGCATGCAAAATAAATGAAAGATTAAACCTAGTAAGTCCCTATGTAATTTATTTAGATTGTATTTATGATATTTATAATGTTTTCATATTTTTAGATCCTAAAGATGTACCTCTTGATGTCCTTGATGCAATACAAGGCTATATGAAATATTTCTTTGGTTGTCAAATTTGTGTTGAGCATTTCCTCAAAATGGCTCACAAGATTACTCCTGCTGACAAAACGCCAGAGGGCGCAGTTTTGTGGTTATGGCGTGCACACAATATGGCTAACAGCCGACTCCATGGAGACCAATCAGAAGACCCTAAACATCCAAAGATCCAGTTTCCATCCAAAGAATTATGCCCGGAGTGCCATAATGGTGGGAAATGGAATGATAAGAACGTTCTTGAGTTCTTACTTTCATTTTATGGCAGAGTTAATATTGTGCCTGTAGCAGACGACAGTAAGAATGACTCAGCAGAAAAGACCACCGCAGCAAATGAGAACAAGAAACTTGATTGGTGGGAATTACAACAAAGGAAAAATGACCTGGAAAAAATCAGGTCGTTACGAAATCAGAAGTTAGAGAAGAGACAGCAGAAAAAGGTAGAAAAGTTATCAAAAATAGCTGTGATAGATAAAAATTTAGATCTGCACTTTGGACATCTGTCGAGAAAAGATCGTTTAAGGATGACTGATGAGAATAAATTAGTTATATCTGGGTGGGGATTTAGTAATTTAGACATGAGTATGTGTGTAACGTTCTATGTTTTATGTACGCTTATGATCTTAGTTTTATATTATCATTTTATAGTGAGGAGAAAATACAGACCATGTTCTGTATTTTGTTGATTTAATTTTTACATATTATTGAGGCATAGGTGATAAAAATGATTTTTATTTCATGATCAGATTTTCTGTTAAAGATAGTATATATTTTTATAATAATGTTACTAAAAGATGAAAGATAATGAATGTTTCATATTGAAATTTTATAATTTGTTCATCATGAAATAATGAAATATATGAAGGTCAAGGGCATTTGACCGAAAGAAAAAGTTTAAAATTGTAGTTTTGCTTACCATACTATTAGTACATTTAGTAAATAGAGAATTACATTAAAATTTGTTACATTATTAAAGATACTCGTGTATTATGCCACTTAGACTATTTGAGTGTCTATTTCTATCTATCTAATTTCTGTTAATGTCAAACCCCTGACGGGGATGTAGACTTTTCTAATTTTACCTCTTTAATAACAAAATCAAAGCCTGGAACCATTTAACATTTAAAAAGGAACCAGTTCACATTCTAGTTGTCAGTTATGTTCTCATTTTTTCTCATTACATATTTAGATCAGGGGAGGTTACTCAGTCAACAAGTTGAGCCATACTATTTCTTAGACTTTAATTTTGTTTTTTCAATGTAAAAAAAATCTGTGCAAAAGATTGGTTGTTAAGAATATTGTAACTAATCACTGATGATGTTCCTAAAATCAGAAAAGATTGTATCATACACTTTGCTTTTAGTAGCAATAGAATTGATGTGTAAATTGTTTTGATTTGTTTTGTTGTTTGTTTCTTTACATGGTAAGGGTATAAGAGAAATATTTTTGTGTCAATGAATAGAAGATGTGAAGATCTCTGAAGAAGATCTAGTTTTATTTCCTGTGATTTTAGTTGCCATAAGTAAGAGCAAAGTAGTAGATAATTTTTTTTTTACTTTTAGTTTTTGAGAATTTTTGTGAATTGTATTTCTTGTATTTTTGTTTTCAGATATAATTGACAAGCTTTATGTTCCATGTAATTATGTTTTTGTATTCTCTGCTTGATGGTGATAAGGGTTCAAATTGATCTGTGCGCATATTGTTTTTCTCCTGTTTGACTGCATGTCTGTCGGCATGTGTGAATGTGGCTAAAACATATTCATATTATAAGTAAGAGTTGTATAGCACAACATAGCATACCTTTGAATGACAACATCATTTTTGAACTATTGAAATATTCCTCGATGTAAATGATACTGACCTTCAAGATTAAATATTCAAAATTTAAAGAAAATTTGCAATAATTTTGTTTCAGATTTACTGTTTGTGTATGGGGCATTTACAATTTACAAAGCATTGTCTGTCCTGTTTTGCATTTAGAACATTGTACCAGTAGAACTTTGGCATGTGTGTTTTATGTGTATGCCTTGTTTTTTTCATTATTTCTCTTTTTCATATGATAAATACTTACTCAGTCTAAGTAACTTACATATCTTTTGATTTGTTTTTGTGTTATGCATGATTAATGAATGAATCATATCATTTTCTGAACATTCTTTGTAATTGTTTGTTATTTATTATTCTATGATACATATTCTTTTTTGCCCGACCAAAAATCTGCTATTATTATTATAATATTTAAAGGTTGTTAACCCTGACGCAGCAAAATTTAAATAATGGATATATGGATATGTCCCACAAGTGGAGCCGCCTATTATTGATTACAGGGGTGTCAAAATACTAGACTATACTGTAAACAAACAAAACCAATTTGTCATTTTTGTTTTGAAGCCCCCTTAGATTTTACAATAGAAAGGTCCTGATTCCAAGCTGGACAAGTCCATTATACAAATTTATGGGTGTTAGTGTGAAAATAAATATATTTTAAGAAATGAAATTGGTTTAAGATTTTTATCAGTGTCTGTGTGTAAAATTTTATTTTATTAAGAAAGAAAGCTAATAAAACAAAATCTAGAGTGTGGTGCAATAATGAATTAATTCAGCATTAAAACATTTTATATTTAACTAACAGAAAGTGATCTACCATTGTGACAATGATCAAGGCCAGCCTGTACATCACTGCGGTCTAACTAGGCTCTATACTGTTGGTAGCTCACATTTTGTATGTGAATATTGACATCCCTAAACTGTGAATGGAATATTCCAAATTCAAAGCTGGACAGATCCATTACACAAATTAGAAGGTTAAAAAGTTAAATGATTTTATTTAATATCTCTGTGGAGTTTTCTTGCATTTTTGGAATGTTTAATGTGTTTAGTAGTTTGCTTTAAACATTTGGATTATTGGACATGGTTTAAAATGTATTGTTTGATGCATTGTAGGAATGCAGGTTGTAGTTTATATTTTGATTTTTATTATTGATATGTTGTTAGATAAATTATACTTTTATAGACTTTGTTGGCATAATTCTTTTTGGCATTGAGAAATAGTTCCCAGGAGAAATATTATTTTAGTGTGCATGAACATTTTTTTTAAAGAACTCTGAATTTTGAAACGTTCCCTCACAAAGGCATCTATGGCAAAGTTGTTAAGGTTGCCAATATTAAACCACTTGCCTCTCCACAGCTGTTTTTTTAGTCATGTGAGCATTGTTGGTTTCTATATATGAGAAGACTATCCAGCTAGCATATGGAACATGATTCTACTCCTGCGCCCGTTTATATTTAAAATAATGAACAGAAGGAAACCTTGTTCTTCTTACACCAGTTAAGCTGGAATGTCACAATATCACTTATACTGTGTTAGTGTGTAGAAAATGGCTTAAATATAGCAATTGTTTTAAGTAATGAACTGGCAAATTAGCCAAATGTCAGTAAGTTTATGTCATTTGATACTAGTTTTAATATCTAAAAGTTGTAAGGTTTAACATAATTTTGTTTTATTTGTGTGAAGAAAACTTAATTGAATCCCTCTAGAGCCGTTTTTCTAGACTACTTGGTATTCAATCAGATGAGCATGGCAAGTGTCAATCCCATGATTCATGTAATGAGAGGCAGACAACCAGCCTGCTAGACCATATCTCCTTCTTTAAATACGGGTAGTCGGAAGTTTTTTTAAAGATATAAAAGTTTCATTTGATGTAAATATTAAAAATTACAATAATTGCAAGTCATTGCAATGTTTACAGATATGTGTATCTTATTAAAAGATATATTATCATTTACCAGATATGAGATAGTTGGTAGCTTTACTTGGGTGCCTAATTTGTGCTTGTAATTTAGAGCACATACGAGAACACAAGGTTGTCCTTAACCAATTATATATGTAAAGTCACCATATGAACTTTATAGTTTCTATGTGACTTAAAACCCAGCCCAAAAAAGCTGCCCAGATATACTCTTGTCACAAACTTTATATCATGAAAGAATTTAACCGTTTATTGCTGTATGTAAGTGTTATTATTTTATATGAATATTAAATGTCTTACATTGTTTGAAAATGGGACTTTTTATTCAAAATTTATTACATGAATTAAAAAAAAATCTCCATTTTGTTTTGCTTTTTTTTTGTGATAATAGATGTTTTATCTTGTATCATGATTTGGGAAGATAACTTTTTCAAGGTAATTTACTTTAATCTTGAAAATTAAGTAGATTTATCTCCCCTTTGTTAACATTGGTAAAGATACCATTAAAACAATTAATCTAGCATAATAAATAAATTGTAAATTATATATACCTTATGCATGATGTAATTAATGTGTTTTTAATGTATGTTTAGTTCCTAGTCATGTGTAATTAATTACTATATAGTGCAATCATTGTTATTTTATATGTTGGATATTCATATATAATATGTATATCTTATTTTATGTGTTAAACTCTTGTAAATGTGACAGAATGAAGGTAATACAAAATGTATTTGTAAAAAAATAGATGTAATTGTGAAGATATATGTGCAAATAATGATCTGATCTAGATAAGAAAACAATATGCAGGGGCATACATTCAGAAAACATTTTTCCTTCCATACTGGTTTTCTGTACAGTTTTCTCCCAGTGAAAGCTTGAAAAAAAAATCTGGAAAAAAATAGGTATCCCTGAGAGCATTAAATTATTGATCCAACTAGAAAAAAAACACAGTATGAGGCACATGTAAATGTAATTGACAGTCTGTATTGTTTTGTTGTTGTTGGTTTTTTTTGCTTGTAGCATGTGATGTTTTATAATTACCCTTCTTCATTTGTCATAGGAATGGTTGACATCTTTTCTTGTCCAGTTTTAATGCTTTTTTATGCTAATTTTTTTTACTTTACTTTAAGACAGGTTTTATGTTCTTGTTTTGTCATATTTGTCTATTACCTAGATTGTCAAATATCAGTTAAACTAATGTTGGCGTTACAGTAATTTATGGCCAAACTTATTCAGAAATATTTGCTCACCAGAAATTTGAATTTTTAGCTCAACTATACGAAGTATATGGAGAGCTGTTCTACTCGCCCCGGCGTCCAGATTTCAGATTAAAGTGTTGGTGCAGTAAAATATTTTTCACTATAACTTTGTCATTTCTTAAGGTATCAACTTCAAACTTCAAATATATGTTCCTTATCATCAACCACATCTTATGTGACAAGGTTCATAACTCTAGCACCAATATTTTCAGATTTATCTCCCCTTGAACTTAGAATTTTCCTTAAAAAATACTATTTTTTACTGTAACTTCTTTATTTCTTAAGGGATCACCCTCATACTTCAAATAAATGTACCTTATCATCATCCCCATCTTATGTGACAAGGTTCATAACTCTAGCACCAATATTTTTAAGATTTATCTCCCTTTAAACTTAGAATTTTCCTTAAAAAAATATTATTTTTTACTGTAACTTATTTATTTCTAAAGGGATCAACTTCATACTTAAAATATATGTACCTTATCATCATCCATATCTTATGTGGCAAGGTTCATAACTCTAGCACCAATATTGCAAGAATTATCTCCCCATAAACTTAGATTTTTTTACTAGAAAAATATTATTTTTTACTATAACTTTTTTAGTTTTAAAGGTATCTACTTCAAACTTCAAATACTTATTCCTTATCATCAATTTCATTTTATGTGACAATGTTCATAACTCTTGAAGCAATTTTCACAGATTTATCTCTCTTTGAACTTAAGATTTTCTTTAAGAAATATTATAACTTCTTTACTTTTTAAGGTATCTACTTCAAACTTCAAATATATATTTCTTATCATAACACACATGTTGTGTGACAAGGTTCATAACTCTAGCGTGACTATTTCTAGAATTATTTCCCTTGATCTTGGAATTTATGTTAACAAATGTTATTTTTTTACTATAACTTAATACATAATAATACATAATTGATTTTTCTATCATAGTTTTGTTCTCCATACTGAGTCCAGTATTTTATTAGTCGAGCTTGGCTGTCTCCTGTGACAGCTCTTGTTGATATACCTTGTAATAATAAGCAACATATGTTATAAATTTAAGATACATTGTATGTATAATGCCTGTTGTATCTTTAAATAGATTAAGAGGATTTTTTAAGATTTTTAAATAGGATATGAAAAATGATGTTTACCGGTAACTAATTTGTATGCCCCCACTAATTCCTTTGCCTGTTTGTTAACTGGAAGAAAAGAAAACAACAGTGGATTGTGGGGGCATCTGTGTCCTATGGACACATTTCTAATTTAGTTTAAGATATAACAATTATTACTGACTAATATATACTTTTGTTCTGACATGATTTTGCTTGTTTAAATACTCATTTTATTCCCATGACAATCCTAACATTATCGACTATAGTAGTAAACGGGCAATATTTTGGGTTATTGCATATATTTTGACGAGATATTAAGTATTAATGCACTATAAAATTATGTATATATAAATTAGTAGATACTTGTTTCTTATGAATGAAATATAGGATGTATCTTACAGATTATGTAAGGTATATATTCATATTGCATACAAAGCATGTAATAGTTTAAGCTTTATGGTAGTACACTTAACAAAATTTTCTATACTTATATTATATGAAATATTTTTATGTTAAGATTTTATGTAACTTTTACAAACCAGTCACCGATTCTTGCAGTCAACCATGAAGGTAAAATGTCACTTTCTTTGTGAATTCAATAAAACAATAGACTTTCATGTACTCCTGTACAGTTTCTAATTTTGAATTGAAAAGTAAATCTGTTTTTCTTAAAAAGTAATTCTATATAAAGTTTGGAAATATTGTTTAGTGTATTTAGTACTAGATTTAATAGTTTTTTTCTTCATTTGAAGAAAAAGACAAGATAGTAGATTATAGATATACAATTCTTTCAAAGGCACTAGACAAGATATGACATTAGGTAATAGTATTTCAGGGGTCATTGGTCTCTGTCTGAGGATTGGTCAGATTTACAGTTGTCTCCCTTATTCCAGATATTCTATTCATGGATCATTTAATTGATACAATACTGGTCTTATAATTGTTGTTAATTATAATTATATACAGTATAATATGTTTCATTATTTCAGTTCACTGAATTCTACACGTGTGGCAATATTACGCGGAACTAACCTGAATTTTTGTGGTGTGTTTTATGTAAGATATTTAACATTCCAGTTATGGTATAATTATAATACTGCAAGCTGTATTTGTGTGTGTTGTTATTGCTTATCATGTTTTAATAACATTACAAGAAATATGCGATCTTTGTCTTATATAAGGAATCATATAAAACTATTATATTTCTGGTGTACTTAATAACCTAGTTTCATTCAAAGACAAGAGGTTACTTATATTTTTTAGTTCTACAAAGAACACCTACATATTCTTTACATCAGTAAAGCTGGACATTAGACATGTCATTATTTTTTCAAAAATTCTGCTTTTTCTGATACTTAATAAATATAATTATGTTATATGCCATGATACAATACATGAACGCCTCCTTCCCCCCTTTAACCTTGATATTGATATTGTAAGGGGGAGAACTGATAAGGAATATAGTTAACCATTTTTTTGAGTTACTTCCCTTGCACTTAAGCAAATGTTCCTCTGTATTTTATTTACACATTTTTCATGGTTCACTGTGACAGGCTGGTTACTGTCAAGCTTATTGCCCATTACTGCTGTGGATTTAAATCCAGCAAGGCACCTAGAAATCTTTCATATGAGGAAGCTATCCAGCTAGCTTATTTAACATTGGTAGTTTCTACTCTGGTGCCCATTTGTGCCTAAAATAATGAAAAGGGGCACCAGAGGTCTTTATCCTCCCTTAAAGCCATATGACATTTACAGTTTTGGTGTGACTGAAAACCTAACCAATCAAATCCAGTCATACTTGCTTGACACATACTATACAAATATAGAATATAGGCTGAATTAAAAAAAAACTCTTCTGATAACAGTCTTGTTTGAGATATTTTGCACTTCTTAATTCATCAAACCATTGCCATTTTTTTATGCTTTTAACCGGTTTTGAATTGTTATATTTTAGGATATCTTAATGATCTGGGCTGGCATTCTCTTGTCAATAATTTTGTAAAATTCTGTTTTTGTGATTTACAGTAAAAAAATTGCTTTTGAGTATCTATAATTTAAAAAAAGTTACCTTGCTGTAAATGAAAATATTAAATGCTTCATCCAATGAAGACTAACTGTTCCAACCTGTGTTTTATGTAATGTTAGATTATTTTTATGATAAAAAAAAGTACCAAAATTTACAGAAAAAATAAATGAATATGTGTTGTGGTAAAATGTTGTGTTTGTTTTTTTTTATTTCAATATTTGAAAGTTGAATTACAAAATTATGAAGACATTATGATTCAAGATAAAAAGAAAAGAGCAAATTTTGGATGCTTGTTTTCTGATAGAATTTATATTGCATATGAAAAAGTGATTAAAAAAGACAAGCAATCTGTCAATGTTTCTACCCATGTTGATCTTTATATTCATAATTGTATTGGTCAGACTTTAAAGTAGCCAGAGTTTTTAGTGTATTCAACCACATACTTATATTCTCACCATTTCTTTATAACACTGTCATTTTATTGACAGATATTATGAGGTTAAGATTTAGAAGGTCAATATCAAGGTCACTTTGGCTAAAAATAAAGATTTTTTCTTCTTTTCCTTATAAAGCTTTCCTTTCTTGAGCAATATATTTGATATAGAGAACCTTGCATAGACTTATAGTCAGAGGTCAACCTCGCCGAGTCTTTAAAAAAAAAAGTACTCCCAGCGCTGCATTTGTTGATCAATATCTTTTTATTGTCTTCTTGAAGACCTCTATCCTTCGGGTTAATGTCACTGAGGGTAAAAATAGATTTTTCCTGTGATTATAATTTGTCAATAGGTTGAAGCTGTGTTGGGACATTTAAAACTTCCATTAAATTTTAACAGTTATGAAGGTTTGAAGGTCCTGAATCTAGGGGTAATTCCCTAATCATATGACAAGATTAGCTCTAAATGGCAGAGGTGTTCATGGCAGAGTAGTTTAGGTTGTTGACTTCAAACCTCATGCCCCACACCGGTTCCAGTGTATGTCGATTCTTTATATGAGGAAGCTATCCAGCAAGCTAACGCAACTTTGGTTGTTCTACTCAGGTACCCGTTCATGCCTGAGAGGCACCGAGGTCTTCCTCAACCAGTAAAGCTGGAAAGTCACTATATGACCTATACTGTGTTGGTGCAGCATTAACCCCAACAATAGCAGGAAGAGCTCTTTTTAGCTCACCTGTCACAAAGTGACAGGATGAGCTTTTGTGATCGCTTTTCCTCCGGCGTCCGTCCGTCCGTAAACTTTTACTTTAAATGACATCTCCTCATAAACCACTAAGCCAATTTCATCCAAACTTCACAGGAATGTTCCTTTGGTGGTCACCTTTAAAAATTGTTCAAAGAATTTAATTCCATGCAGAACTCTGGTTGCCATGGCAACCGAAAGAAAAAACTTTAAATATCTTCTTTTAAAAAACCCTAAGAGCTAGAGCTTAGATATTTGGCATGGAACATCTTCTAGTGAGTGTCTACCAAGTTTGTTCAAAAAAAATCCCTGGGGTCAAAATTGGCCCCGCCCCAGGGGGTCATTGATTTTCCCTATATGCATATAGTAAAAACTTAAAAATTCTTCTTTTAAAGAACCCAAAGAGCTAGAGCTAAGATATTCAGCATGAAACATCTTCTAATGAGTGTGTACCAAGTTTGTTCAAATAAAAGCCCTGGGGTCAAAATTGGCCCCGCCCCAGGGGGTCATTGATTTTCCCTATATGCATATAGTAAAAACTTAAAAATTCTTCTTTTAAAGAACCCAAAGAGCTAGAGCTAAGATATTCAGCATGAAACATTTTCTAATGAGTGTGTACCAAGTTTGTTCAAATAAAAGCCCTGGGGTCAAAATTGGCCCCGCCCCAGGGGGTCATTGATTTTCCCTATATGCATATAGTAAAAACTTAAAAATTCTTCTTTTAAAGAACCCAAAGAGCTAGAGCTAAGATATTCAGCATGAAACATTTTCTAATGAGTGTGTACCAAGTTTGTTCAAATAAAAGCCCTGGGGTCAAAATTGGCCCCGCCCCAGGGGGTCATTGATTTTCCCTATATGCATATAGTAAAAACTTAAAAATTCTTCTTTTAAAGAACCCAAAGAGCTAGAGCTAAGATATTCAGCATGAAACATCTTCTAATGAGTGTGTACCAAGTTTGTTCAAATAAAAGCCCTGGGGTCAAAATTGGCCCCACCCCAGGGGGTCATTGATTTTCCCTATATGCATATAGTAAAAACTTACAAAATCTTCTTTGAAAGAACTCAAAGAGCTAGAGCTAAGATATTCAGCAGGAAACATCTTCTAATGTGTGTCTACTTAGTTTGTTCAAATAAAAGCCCTGGGGTCAAAATTGGCCCTGCCCAGGGGGACATTGATTTTCCTTATATGTGTATAGCAAAAACTTAAATAATCTTCTTTGAAAAAACCCAAATAGCTAGAGTTTAGATATTAAGCATGAAACATCTTCAAAGTGTCTACAAAGTTTGTTCAAATAATAGTCCTGTGGTCAAAATTGACCCGCCCCGGGGGGTCTTGATTTTCCCTATATATGCATATAGTAAAAACTTAAAAAATCTTCTTTGAAAAAACCCAAATAGCTTGAGTTAGATATTAAGCTTGAAACATTTTCTAATAAGTGTCTACAAAGTTTGTTCAAATAAAAGCCCTGGGGTCAAAACTGGCCCCGCCCCAGGGGTGTCACTGTTTTTAACTATATGTGTGTAGTAAAAACTTACAAAATCTTCTTTTAAAAAACCCAATGAGCTTAGATGTTTAGCATGAAATATCTTCTTATGGATCACTACTAAGTTTGTTCAAATAAAAGCCCTTGGGTGAAAATTGGGGGGGGGGGGGAGGGACAGGGGATGAGATCATTGTTTTTCATTACATGTGTGTAGTAAAAGCTTAACATTGTGAAACATCTTCTAATGAGTGTCTTCCAAGTTTGTTCAAATAAAAGCCCTGGGGTTTAAACTGGCCCTGCTCCGGGGGCCTATATACAGGTGAGCGACCTCAGGGCCATCATGGCCCTCTTTTTCTATGTCAGGCATTGTATTTCTTTTCCTCCTTATGAAAAAGTCAAAGCTGAGCAATATGAACATCATGTCTGGGATATGGTTGGTACATCATGTCTGGGATATGGTTGATACATCATGTCTGGGGTACGGTTGGTACATCATGTCTGGGATATGGTTGATACATCATGTCTGGGATATGGTTGGTACATCATGTCTGGGATACGGTTGGAACATCATGTCTGGGATATGGTTGGTACATCATGTCTGGGATATGGTTGGTACATCATGTCTGGGATATGGCTGGTACATCATGTCTGGGATATAGTTGGTACATCATGTCTGGGATATGGTTGGTACATCATGTCTGGGATATGGTTGGAACATCATGTCTGGGATATGGTTGGTACATCATGTCTGGGATATGGTTGGTACATCATGTCTGGGATATGGCTGGTACATCATGTCTGGGATATAGTTGGTACATCATGTCTGGGATATGGTTGGTACATCATGTCTCGGATATGGTTGGTACATCATGTCTGGGATATGGTTGGTACATCATGTCTGGGATATGGTTGGTACATCATGTCTGGGATACGGTTGGTACATCATGTCTGGGATACGGTTGATACATCATGTCTGGGATACGGTTTGAACATCATGTCTGGGATATGGTTGGTACATCATGTCTGGGATATAGTTGGTACATCATGTCTTGGATACGGTTGGTACATCATGTCTGGGATATGGTTGGTACATCATGTCTGGGATATGGTTGGTACATCATGTCTGGGATACGGTTGGTACATCATGTCTGGGATATGGTTGGTACATCATGTCTGGGATATGGTTGGTACATCATGTCTGGGATATGGCTGGTACATCATGTCTGGGATATGGTTGGTACATCATGTCTGGGATACGGCTGGTACATCATGTCTGGGATACGGTTGATACATCATGTCTGGGATACGGTTGGTACATCATGTCTGGGATATGGTTGGTACATCATGTCTTGGATATGGTTTGAACATCATGTCTGGGATATGGTTGGTACATCATGTCTGGGATATGGTTGGTACATCATGTCTGGGATATGGTTGGTACATCATGTCTGGGATATGGTTGGTACATCATGTCTGGGATATGGTTGGTACATCATGTCTGGGATACGGTTGGTACATCATGTCTGGGATATAGTTGGTACATCATGTCTGGGATATGGTTGGTACATCATGTCTGGGATATGGTTGGTACATCATGTCTGGGATATGGTTGGTACATCATGTCTGGGATATGGTTGGTACATCATGTCTGGGCTATGGTTGGTACATCATGTCTGGGATACGGTTGGTACATCATATCTGGGATATGGTTGGTCTTGTGGAAAATCACGCTACAAATCTAGACATCACATTAGTGATGCCCCACTATTTGACTTCAAATAAAATTGTTGAGTGACACACAAGAACAGAATGCTATTCACTGTTCATTTGTGTGCCTACTTGGGGCACATAGTGACTGCCTACCTGAGGGACATAGGGCCTCCTTTTGGCATGATCCACTTGAAAAAAGCTTGAAAAACACCAATGAGCAAAGCCATCCTTCATGCTGATAATAAAGTTTTATTGTCATGCATTTACCTCTTCATATCAGAACTAAGACAAGTAAAAACAGGGACAAAGTCAACAGTTAGAAAATTCTATTTATATAAATGTATAGAAACAGTATTTATCTCATAGTTCATAAAAAGTCTACTTCCTTTTGTAAACTTTACTTATAACACAAAAGTAAATTTAACAGATAATTCATTACTGCATAACTCAAGATTCGACACTGTTGCATATCTTGATAAGAATTTAGACATTAAGAAAATTTTTAGATGGAAGACTGTAGTAACATACTTTCCGATAAAAGTCATCAATTTTATCAATGGTCCATAGAAAAACTCGTATTTAACTTATGCTGCCCCATATGCCTTTTGCATATTAACCATTGTGATTGTAAATTAAAGGGGAGTGGTGGCCTAGTGGTTAAGATGTCTGCCTCTCAACCCATTGATCATGGGTTTGAGCCCTAATTGGCAATGATCATGTTTCTTCATAATTATGACACCAGTACTGGTTGGTTCCAGGAAGCTTACTCAAAAGAGATTAATATAAGTTGCTAGAAATTGTTTTGCAATGAAGCTTATGTTAATATGTTTACACCAATTATTGTGATTTTATTTATATAGAAAAATTGGAAAGTTTTATCTCCTGTAAAATTTTGGTAAACATAGTTACTACAGTGTTGCTTTCAGCACTCATACTGTCTCATTGCACTGTATGACACAAGAAATCATGACCAATCCAGAAAATGACATGTCAAAATTAGACTGTGCCCCCCTTATCAGATTGTGAGTGCGTAACATTTCCCAATTGAACCATTGGTGACGTAATGCCCTTTTGACCTATTTTATGTTATACAAATATACTTCCTTGGGAAACTAACAAATGTTATTAAAGTTATTCCAAAGTTGGTTACGTAGCTCTTAAATCTTGAATATTATAACACTGTACCAACATTTCTTTTCTAGGGTGGCATTTATATAAACAGATGCTTTCAATTTGTCAGAGACTTAATATATTACAGAAGGGATAAGAAGCTCCAAAAATAGAGAAAAAAAATCCTATAGGCCTGACCCACAATCCCTGGTATGAGATTCATTGACCCTTGGAGTTGATCAATTTCTGCCATTTTGTTTTATGTAACCAAATGTAAACACATTTTCCTCCATTACTGAGAATAATTTACATCTTCTTAATCTTAATTGCTCTTTTTTACATTTTTTTCAACTTTTTTTTTTAATATCCTGTAAATTATTACTTGACTTATGTTGTCTCAAGTTTGATTTCTTGAAATATTTTAGCTCAATCTGGAGGCATGCAGAACAGCAATTTTAGCAAACTAGATCACAGACATCTATTTACAGACATTATATTGATCAGGACTGGTAGAGTTCATGAGAAGACATTAGATGTTATCACTTTTTCAAGCTCTTGAGTTCCCTTTAATTGTGACTGAATTTTTTTGCAAACATTTGAAATGAATATTTTATGATTCGTGTACAGGATTTTTACATTATTTTCTATTCCGAGCCCTGGTGAACCCTAAAAAGGAGCTATATGGTATAGTATGATCTGGTTAGGAGTAATGGTGGTAGTGGTAGTAGTACCAATGCATTATTGAATCCAGAGCATCCCTACTTCTATACTACTAATTATATATCACTCACTGAACTGTTTGTATTGATGACCGTAATTACCAACTTTAATTTTTTTTCCCTTCCAAAAGTTATTCTGCTCTGGGCCATAGTGACCTTGACCTTAAATAGCCCCACCAACACACTGAGTTGCTGGTCAAGTGATCTGTACGGCCACCACACTGTGTTTTTTTTTTGTACTAAGTTTAAAATAAACCATATCTTGGTAATTAAAAATACACATTTTATAGCAATAATCTAGGACAAAATAAACTGCTTTGGCAGATATTATATAAACTTTGTGAACTTTCTGTGACAGCTTTGTTTCATAAAAAGGTGACAATGATAGTGAACTTTTAGTATAGGTCATAATTATACTAAAGAGAAAATAAAATATTTTAAACCACCTTGTATTGTACAGTCTACATTATCAAGTTTGACCTAGATGGTTGTGTCCTGTACATCTTGATCTCCTACTTACTTATAATATCAACATTTTATAATTATCCAATAATTTCTTACTTTTCTCTTTTTGTATTCAACACGTACAAATAAAACAAGACCATTGTTGTGGCAACAATATTTATTTCAAAATAAAAACAAGAATGACTAATGTCTATAATATAGAGTGACAATGAACAAGTTGAATAGCAAAAACACCTTCCCTTATAACATGTGACGTTTATGAGATCCACACCTTTGTAACACTCTCTCTAGAACTGCAGTTAATGAGATCCACCCCTCAGTAACATGTACTGTTTATGAGATTTAGAAATGACATTAATGAGGTCCACCAAGTTGTTACAGTTGATGTTTATGAGAACACTCTCTAGAAACAAAGTCACATGTTATGAGAACAGATATTTAGTAACAAGCAAACCTGCTTGTTTTGGTAATTTTAATAAAACCCATCCCCTAATAGCAGTCAACGATAATGAAAACCTCTCTCTGTAAACAAGCAACATGAACAAAATACACTACCCCCTGAATACCCATCCCCTCCATACAACCCCACTATTAATAGGCAATTTTAATGTGATCCACTCCTTAGTACAGAACTACATTGTTGTACTTCCTAGAAACAAGCAAAGGTTATGAGACCATCCAATAGTTACAAGAACAAGTTATGTTAATTGCAACTCCAAAGAGATTTGTCCCTTTATTTGGTGATGTAAAAGCTTCCACAAGAAATCAACTCTGTTAATGAGGAGTTCCTTCTAGGTATCAATAACCAATCAATATTTATGAGGACAAGGATTGAAGGGCAATGCTTATATACCCCAAACCCCACCCCACCCCTCAATTGCCCTGTATCAAATGATGTTTATGAGAATGACCTCCTAGTGACCTGTGATTTAAATGAGAATAATCCCCTTACAACCGGGTTATATTAAAAATATGAGACAGTGATTAAAAAACATGATACATGTATACTTCAAATTAAATGGTATTTTCTGAAAGTGTTATCTGTTCCAAGATGACCTTTTCTAACTTAGGTCACATTTCTCATAACCCTGTTCTCACTGTACTCACAATTTAAAATTTTCCACATCATTTGCACAAGAATAGATAAAAACTCTTTCTTTAAATATTAATAGACACATCTCAAACAATTCCACTGATAGTGTTCCTATATAAATATCCCTATGACCTTGAAAAGGAAGGTCAATCTTTAGTAAATGAATTAAAGTTTGAGCGCGTGCATCATATGGGAGACATAACTGGAATAGATTACTCTCCAAAAAATAAAAATGAATTGATCTTTATGCAATAATTTTGTCATGTAATGATGTATTAGGATTTAAAAAAAAAAATAAGTGAAAATAAATGAGTGAAGAAAGTGTAAAATATAAAATACATTTCAAAATACTCAGCTTTTGTCATTTTGATTTGATAAAATGGAGAATTGCAACAAAATTTTCATGTATTGTTATATAAGGAAATGAATTATAATACATAAACAATGTGATATTCAGTGAAACAACAATAATTATGATTATCATGAATATGAATGAATATTAACAGCATATTATTTCACCCTTAACCTGCCTAACTTATGTAATGAATCTGTCCTGCCTTGAATTTGGAATAGTTCATACTATGTTTTAAGGAATTTCAAAATGAACGTACAAAAATAAAGCTAACAACAATAAAGAGCCTGTAGGTCAGACTGTATAGATGTACAGGCTGGCCTGACTCTATACTAGTGGCAAAGGCTACTTACAAGACGGCTATGGGTTAAAAGAACATTTACATCTTATCATTGTATGATCCCGGGGCCATCTATATTTCTTTAAAACTTTATGTCAAATAAAGAATTTGCATATTCCATCACATATTTTATTGTTTGATCAGGGAATTTCATGTTCCATATTTGATCAAGGAATTTAATGTTCCATCACAGAAAATCAATGTTTGACCAAGAAATATAATGTTCCATCAAGGATTTCAATGTTCCATCAAGGATTTCAATATAAGACCAATGATTTTTATGTTCCATCTAAGATTTCAATGTTTGACCAAAGATTTTAATGTTCCATCAAGGATTTCAATGTCTGATCAAACATCAACAATTTTAATATTTGATAAAGTAAAATTTTGTTTAATCAAAGATTAATCAAGGATTTTAAGAAAACCCAAAGCCTTCAAATTAGAATTAAACAAAAATGACTATATTGTATATAAGGATATTGTGGCATAAAGGTGGATTTTTTTGCAAACTTATCAAATAATCATTCTTTAAAACCTCTGAACTACTTTTTATAAGGTGGCCATTTCATTTTATTGCCTTATATCACAATTAAACAAAGAGTCCATGCTGTATACCTCAATACATATACTGTGTTTGATATGATGGGCATTGCTTGGACCCTCTTGAAACTTAAAATACATGACAACACTTAACTCACAAACTGGGATTCAAAAATATTGCAAGCACTCTAAATTAACGGATCAACATGTTTTATATACATATGTAAATATAGTAGATATATACATAATTCACTAACAAATTTTATATAATTATCTAGTCTAATCACTAACAAGTATAACGTTTTTCACTAACATAAATATAGGTTCATTAATATTTTTAAACATAACAATTATATATCATCTCCCAACAATGAGAATCATTCATGGGGGAAAAAGTAATGCCTAAATATACATATGTATAAAGAATATCTCTTTATAAGCTAAGAAAATAAGCAGATAGCTTAAGAACTTGCAGAACAATAAATACATAAATAACATGTGTATACACTCTTGGCAATTTTATATAATTTTACATTCTAATAATTCAACGCTATCCATTTTTAAAATTATATTTGGAAGGTTCGTCAGCTAAAATAACCCTGACTATTTCAAGATATCAAAATTGATTTCTATATTAAAGATTCTTCGATTTAGATGATTAATTTGCATTTTGTACTTATCAAAAATGTATAAATTTGTTTACCTTGAGATTTATCGACACATACTTTTCAAAAGGTTTTCTTTTGATACAGAATAAATAATTGGAAAATTCATTAATAAGCTTTCTTATACATCATAACAGATCAATTTCAGAAAAAAAAATTTCTTTACAAAACATGACTGAATTCATTAATCAATTTCATTAAGAAGCTTCCTTTACAAAACATAACTGAATACATTGATCAATTTCATTAAGAAGCTTTCTTTACAAAACATAACTGAATACATTGATCAATTTCATTAAGAAGCTTCCTTTACAAAACATAACTGAATACATTGATCAATTTCATTAAGAAGCTTTCTTTACAAAACATAACTGAATACATTGATCAATTTCATTAAGAAGCTTTCTTTACAAAACATAACTGAATACATTGATCAATTTCATTAAGAAGCTTCCTTTACAAAACATAACTTATAACATTAATAAATTCATTAAAATGTATTGACATTTATGTATTAAATATGCTGTACCATTACTAATTAACTTTTACATTTACAAACAGCTTTCCATGTCCCATAACAAATTTCTTGTGATTCAAAGGGACCATTCTTATATTATAAACAGCTAAACTAAACGACAAAACCTGCTTCATGGCACATTATGTAAGACATTTGAGACAATATTAATATGTACTCTCTATGGTAAAACCTGGGGATTTCTATGAAAGAACAAGATACGTTTATAAAGATATAAAAACAAATTTAAATGCTCCAGTCCTCAGAAAGAACTAAAGAACAAAGAGTCACAAAAAGTCATGGTCAAATTTCCTATAATTTTCATACAAATGATATTGCAAAATGTTACAATGAAATGTCCTATATTTGAAAAATTATATCTTTAATGTACTTATATGAACTATTGAGGATATAGCTTGAAAATTTAATTCTAAGATAATAGCTAGACAGCTAGACAGACAACAAACAGGAGAACATATTATGCCCCTCTGATTAAAAAGGCAGAGTTTTCACTGTTTCTCCCTTTAACTATGTAAGAAAGACAAATCATGACATACCTACATCAAGACTGCTGTAGAATAAATTTGTTTTTATAGGTTTCAGTGAACATTCTGCATATAATATAATGCAATCAGTCATTTGATAAACCTCTCAAAAATACTTGTATAATTCTCGTATATTCAATACATATTAATAATAGGTGACACCAAATTTGGACGGAGACAAGAGAAAAAAGTGGAGTAAAAAAAAGCACTTTGTGTACAAAAGAATAAAGTCATTATGGTACATAAAAATTAGTGTAAAGTATCATTTTTATTGTGATATGTAAATTGTACTATGGACGGATATATTTACCCATGACGGAGATTTAAGACCCAAATAGAGACATTTAAGATAAAAATAGGTGATGTTTAAAGGACAAAATAAAACATAGAGATAGAGAAGAATGATTGATACAGTTATAAATAATGATCTTTACCATTTCAGCAATATATTTATGAAATTTTTGGAGATACAATACAAAACTATTCATTTTTAGACAATCAAATATTAAAGTATGTAAGTCAAAAAGTGTCCAACAGAGAGATAGACTTTAGTTTAAAATTACAGAATACATACTAAATTTAGGTCTTGAATATTGAAAATGAGACCAAAGGACTTAATATTTTAAGCTTAAAGAAAATTTACAAACTAAGACTTTAATGTAAGGTAAAATATATTTAACTCCAGAGCAAGAAAGACAATTTTTTGTAGAATTCAAGGAAAGAATTGTTATTTTATAACAAATACTCTAGTAAATGTAATTTGAGACATGTTATCCTATGAAAACATTAAGGTTTTGGTGCTATAATACAAACATATATACAATATTAGATGTAATCTTCTCCATAAATATACACTGGAATGTTGGTAAATAAATATACAATTACTATCACAGATATTATATGTGTGTACTGGCTTTCACCTGAAGTCTATCTTAGCCTTAGTGTATCACAATTGTAACTGTTTCACTTTCTTGTTCTACTGTAACATCACCAGGCTACTTTTTAACTTTACTGAAAGACCTTTTAGTGGTAGAGGAAGACCTCTGTGCCCTTTCATGAAATAATTTTAGGCAAATCAGGGCAACCAAATACCACAGTCCTGTAACACAGCTGGATTATTTAGAACCCAGAGCAATGACGGTGAAATTCTAAAGTTAATTATGAAACCGAAATAGTTACAACTGTTTCACACATGTGTGACATTATTTCTCTTGATCATAAATATGCAGCAAAAACATGACATGTACCTTCTTTAACACAGTATCTAAATATGTTTGTTTGTTTGTTTATATACAGAAAAGAAACACAGATATTATATCATAATAAAATTTAAAGTTTCCGAAAATATTTTTTACTCAAAATTTAAGGCATTTATCATACAGATAATATGTTGTTTGGATAAATCAATTTGATGAGACGAGAACAGGATGAGAACAAAGTTACTTCATATGAGTTACATAATATATATATGTATATATATATAAGATGCCAAAATTTCATGTAGTACACAAAGAAGAAGGCATATGACAGTCTGCATTTATACAAATAATATGACATATTCCAAGATCAAATAAGAAAGACATTTAATATATACAAGTAAACCATTCAAATACAAGCTAGAGACTGTAGGGAGCAATGCAACAAGAATCACTCACATCCTTCCTGAAGGACCAGATTCTAGTATGACAAGTCCATTGCAGCAAGTTTAAGACTAAGTTATAAATCATATAATGATAAATTGTAGCAAGAATTTCATTGCAGGCATGATCCTTATTTTATATATTCAAGCATTGCCACTCATCTAACTTTTATTGCATATCTATGTAGAAATTCTAACAAAAATGAAATTAAAGAGAACTACATAATATGATTATGTACATATTAAAATCTGGGCTTACCTGTCAACATATGATAAAAATATCATTTTGTCATAGATAAAATCTTGTAATAATGTAAACATTTTCAATCAATTACATAGCAAAAAGATAATATCATATATAGAATTTTCAAACTTATTAATATTGTTAATTCCTTGAAACTAAAACAAAAATCAGGTTTTCAACACTTAAAGATACAAAAAATTACTCTTAAATTTAAGACACAAACATGAAATTGAAATGAAAACAATACAATGTAATCCCCCAAAAAAGTGATTCCATGATATTCAACTGTTAATGTGGATATACATTATCAACTGCAAAAACTACATCAATGTGAGATTATACGAAAATTTTCATTCAGTAAACATTATCTTGTGGAAAAAAAAACATATTATAGTATGTGTCAATGTGTTTAAATACATGGGACAAACATGTGAAGGAATGGATAAATGACATATAGGCCTGCCTATATCAGATTATGCATTATTCATTGGCATATTTACAAAAAAATCATTGGCTGATAACTGGTCTAAAAATAACATCTCACCCATTGGTTCATTTCAAATCTATGCTTTTAAAATAAGCCAATCAGGTGATGAACTATGTGACTGGTTCTAGACTTTGTTTATTTTATAACCTTTAAATACATCAAAGAGCATACTTCATAAAACAATTCTGTCTGCGATGAAAATTTTGTTTCAGAAACTCTTTAATTCATATGAGGGTATAAAGATAATTTACATTTTTCAACAAAATCTACAATTTGTAGTTCTTTAAATCTACAGAAGCTTGTAAAATCTAGGCTTACAAAAAGGATCATGTGTTTTAACATAAAAATTGTTCATGACCCTTTATAACTTCAAAAGTCCCCCAATATTATTCAATGGGTCATGGTGTCCCTCAAGAAGCTACACAGCCAAAATATGTAAAGTAAAATAAAATTTCCTTAAGTCACAAGAAAAAACTGCGTAAAGTACAAATGTCATCATTCACAAATTTATTTGATGAATGATAATACCCGATTTGATCCATTAAGCTATTTCACGATATACTTACAATAGATGAAAAAGCATATGACTTGTTAATGCAAGCTTACTTAAAATATAGACACAAAAAATGTCCACTCTGAATTCAAGACTTGCATATGAAGGAAAATGAATTAAGTCAATCCCCTTTCAAGTAAAACTTATTTAAAATATTGGAACGCATAAGGTGTGAGCGCAGTGCATAAGAAAGATATATAGATTAACAGTTTCTTTGTATAGTGTGAATTTCTCATGAAAAAAACAACACAAGTTATGTTGTTGGCATGTGCAGTGCATGGATTTTAAACACACAAAATAATTGCTAGTATTCTGTATAACTCATAGACCCATGTGATAAGTTATGCTGACTTTCTGTACAGTATGTGCATTTGTGTACAGCAAAACATGACTACATTTTTTTCATTCATTGACATGGTAACATACCCAGCTGGTTGTGTTGTGTATAGATGGTACAATAAAAAATCTACAGACTGATGGTTTCTGTGCAACAAAAGTATTTAACATGTTAATGTGCAGTTACAGCTGTGTTTTTTACATATCATGACATTTCTTTGTGGCAACATAGACAAACTTAACAAGTGCATTGTTCAAATTTTTTGTATAATAGCATGCTTTTTGTTCAATGCCTGAAAAATCTTATGTAGAACATTACCATGTACCTACATCACTATGATTATTCATAGCTTTGAGATATCAAATAAAAAAATAACATCAGAGCCTGGATTTCCGACGAGAATGAAACACATCTGATTTCTTTATACAGTCCTCTAGTGGAAACACAGATGATGTTGGCTATGTGCGGTGCATGTGTCAGTAAAATCACAGTTATGACTAAAATTGACCATTCATTTGGCACAGTTCTTGTCTTGAACAACACTTTTATGTTGTTTGTTGTTGCTCTTGTTGCTGTTGTTGCAACAACTGTTGCTGCAAAAGAGCCTGCTGTTGCTGCTGGTATTGCTGTTGCTGTTGTTGCTGCATCTGCTGCTGAAGCAACATTTGTTGTTGAGGGGTTAACTGCTGAGCATTTACAACTTGAATATTCTGTTGTTGTTGTTGAGATAACATCTGTTGTTGTTGCTCTGGTGTCAGCTGCTGGAACTGTTGTTGTTGTTGCTGTTGTTGCATGAATTGCTGTTGTTGTTGAACCTGACCCTGGAAGTGAGCATGCATCTGCTGGGCCACACTATACACATAAGAGATGTCAGGTCGCTGTTCTGGTATAGGGTTGATACAAATGGCTACCAACTTCCGTAACTGACCAAAGCAAAACAAACGTTTCTATTTAAATATATCCTATGAAACTGATTTTTACGATTATCTCAGTTTGAAAACATAAGATATCAATCTTAACATTCTAATAGTCATTATAACTTGTAGATATGTAAAATTTTCAAACTAATTACTATAACAAGGGCAATCAGTAATCACATGTGTCGCCCCATGATGGCCAATTTCATGTTGGGACAAATTTTGTGACAGACGGACAGTGCACAACTAGACTTGGTACTGATCATTCCTGTAAAGTTTGGATAAAATTGCACCAGTAGTTTATGAGGAGTAGTCTGGACAAGCTTTTGTGTATCTGGCAACACACAGAAAAAAACACCTTTTTATCAAAGGGCCATAACTCTGCCAAAAATCATTCAACCGGAAAACCCGTGCAATATGCGCAAGGACTTGAGCTACAGATCAATCCTGTAAAGTTTCATTGAAATTGCATTAGTGGTATAAGAGAAGTAGTCCGGACAAACTTTAAAAATAAAAATTATTAAAGGGCCATAACTCTGACAAAAATCATTGAACCAGAAAATGCTGACAATATGCACAACTAAACTTGGTACTGATCATTCCAGTAAAGTTTGAATTAAAAATTGCACCAGTAGTTTATGAGGAGTAGTCCGGACAAGTTTTGTGACATACGGACAGATAGACAGACAGACAGACAACGGAGAAGTGATCCCTATATGTCGCCACTACTCCGCGACACAAAAATGAAACTTTAAAACTTACTTTTATCAAATGGACCTAGAAATTGGTCATATCATTTACTGTATTTTCTACATCAATAACTTGCCCAACACATGAGTAGAACAACCAACCTTGCACAAGTTAGCTTGACTCACATGGAAATATCCCAAGTCTGTCCCAGGATTCACACTGAATTTGACAGGCAACTGGTTTGAAGCCAGCCTATTTTACCTTTTTGCCCAGAAACAACAATATAATACAAATTGGCAAAAGTGATGATCTCCATATAAAAAGAGATAAATGCTATATTGTAATTTGCTGCCGGGACTTAATTTCGTTTCACATAAAGTATGTGTAGTTTTATTTTGGAAACAATGTGTGCATGACCTATATTTCACTTAATTTTCATTTAACATTTGAAGGGAAGCTGTAGCCTTGTGGTTAAGGTGTCTGCCTCTCAACCAAGGGATCATGGGTTTGAGCCCTAATCGGGTCACAACCATGTTTCTTCATATGCAAAAGTACTGGTTGGGAAGTGGACTTAATATTAAGATAAGTTGTAAGAACTTGCTTCGCAACTGAGCTTAAATCAATATGTTCAAACCATTTAACATTCAAGCTAAGGAAACTTACCTGTTCAGAGTAAACATCAGAGGGTAAAGGTGGGTAATCACATTTGTCTATCTTCTTACACAGAGAGTATAGATTCATCTTGTCACCATAGAATGGAGATTGTAAAGCTGCCATCTGTAAGATAGGAATATTACAAGAGAAAAGGAAAAGCTAATTGCTGTTGTTTTCAAGGGTTTATAAAGACAATGACATACCATAAGTGATATTAACACACCTCTGTATCATTATAGTGATTGTTGAAGAATCTTCACACATAGAACAAATAACACTGAAATCACAACCATAGATGTGAAGAGTATCAGAAATAAAGTCAACCACTTTGATCAATTAATAAATATTTCATCACAATAGAGATATCTAAATATTGAACAAGTCTAAATGGTAATTTCTACCATACAAATGGTCCTATTAAAATGTTATGTATGAACACTTCAGGGGGGAAAGTAGAACTAAGATTCAAGGTTTGCCTTCTAAAATACCAGATAACAGTACATTCTGTATACCAGATAACTGTACATCCTGTATACCACATAACAGTACCTCCTGTATACCAGATAACAGTACCTCCTGTATACCAGATAACAGTACCTCCTATATACCAGATAACTGTACATCCTGTATACCACATAACAGTACCTCCTGTATACCAGATAACAGTACCTCCTATATACCAGATAACAGTAACTCCTGTATACCAGATGACAGTACCTCCTGTATACCAGATAACAGTACCTCCTGTATAACAGATAACAGTACCTCCTATATACCAGATAACAGTAACTCCTGTATACCAGATGACAGTACCTCTTATATACCGGTACCTCCTGTATACCAAATAACAGTACTTCCTGTATACCAGATAACAGTACCTCCTGTATACCAGATAACAGTACCTCCTATATACCAGATAACAGTAACTCCTGTATACCAGATGACAGTACTCCTATATACCAGATAACAGTACCTCCTATATACACGATAAAAGTACCTCCTATATACCAGATAACTGTACATCCTATATACCAGATAACAGTACCTCCTATATACCAGATAACAAACTCCCTTATACCAGATGACAGTACCTCCTATATACCAGATAACAGTACCTCCTATATACCAGATAACAGTACCTCCTATATACTAGATAACAGTACCTCCTGTATACCAGATAACAGTACCTCCTATATACCAGATAACAGTACCTCCTATATACCAGATAACAGTACCTCCTGTATACCAGATAACAGTACCTCCTATATACCAGATAACAGTAACTCCTGTATACCAGATAACAGTAACTCCTTTTTACCAGATAACAAAACTTCCTGTATACCAGATAACAATACCTCCTGTATGCTGGATAACAGTAACTCCTGTATACCAGATAACAGTGCCTCCTGTATACCAGATAACAGTACCTCTCTTTACCAGGTAACAATACCTCCTGTATACCAGGTAATAGTACCGCTTGTATACCAGATAACTACCTTCAGATGTATACTGAATTACAGTACCTCCTAACAATCTAGTAACATACATGTATATTCAAATATTACTTACCTCATATAGGAGACAACCTAGTGACCATATATCAGACTTGAAATTATAACCATTCTCATGTATTCTTTCTGGTGACATGTAGTAAGGTGTACCCACTGAAAATAACAAATGTATTTATTTAAAAGGCCCATCATGCCTAAGAAAGGATTTAATTTTTATTAATCAAAAGCAGTCTAAATTTGGTGTACTTTTATGGTATACAACAAGTAACTCATTGGCCAATTTCCTGAACCATCTTTTTCATCTGTTGCTTTTTGGAAATAAGTACAGTTATAGTGAATTAGTATTTTGTACAGATAGCGATTCTATACCTCTTGTTTCCATTTTGCTGCTTTTGTTACAAATGATTTCACATTTATCGCTACTTTTTTCAAGTAACATGCATCAAACATTCTCTTAAAACATTATAAAATTCCTGTTTGCACTTTCTAAAGATGTAAAATGTATTTTTTCTGAGGCATAATGTGACTTTTATAGCATTTAGATCAACTGCTCAATGTAATAATGCCAATGTTCTCAATTAGAGAGAACTTAGAACCGGACAAGAGTTACCTAGTGGCATACTGCTTTCTTCATTGACATAAGGGTTGGAATCACAGTTTTACACAAATTAAGGTACAGTTTCTAATGTATCCCCAAAGTTAGGGTTAATTTGTACACTTGCTGACCCATGTGCATGATGTTAATAGTGTAGACAGAGTCCTGAAGTACCCTAATCATGGTGTCAAACAGTCATTGGTTTATGTCTATGTGTTGCAGTAAAGAAAAACATATATACCTAATGAATGAGCAGCTGTTGTTTTAGAGCTGAAAAATCTCCCGAGACCGAGATCTCCCAATTTTACAACACCCTGAGCTGTGATAAACACGTTGGCCGGTTTAATGTCTCTGTGCATAATACGTCGGGAGTGCATGTGATTTAGGGCACTACATATCTGAATGAAATATTTCCAAATTGTTTTCTCTGGAATCAATCTATTCTGCCTCTTAAAATGCTGAAAAAAAATACAAGTATGCATATAAGTTTTACAACTATTTATTTAAAGTTGTTCATATTTACTTACACTATCCTGCCCAGCTAAAAATCCATCACGATTAAAGTCAATATCATTTTAATTCTCATAGCCATATATAAGAAGTATGACAAGTTAAATGAAAAAAAAAAGCATACATTATATTATCATAAATTAAATTCATAGTGGAAAACACAGACAAAATTTCAGCACAAATTTGTTACAGAAACTGCAATATTGCAATGTCTTCTAAAAAAAAATATTAAAACAAGAACTGTCGGAGGACAGTAACGCTGGACTATTCGAAAATTTGTCACAAGGGTGTTTCAATGAGTATAATAATGCTTACCTATATGAATACATAAAATTGTCCGATAAGGTACAAACTCTTCAAGTTTCAATACATTCCCTTCAGTAGTTATGGAGATACAAGCTTACATGCAAAAACTTAACCAAGAATTTCTAAGTCGAAAAAGGGGCATAATTATGCAAAAAAGCAAATCAGAGTTATGGGAATTGTACCAATCATCTTAGATAATCACAGAGACCAAGTGTGTGAAGTTTCAATCCATTCCCTTCAGTAGTTATGGAGATACCAGCTTACACACAAAAACTTAACCAAGAATTTCTAAGTCGAAAAAGGGGCATAATTATGTTAAAAAGCAAATCCCAGTTATGGGACTTGTGCCAATCATCATAGATAATAACAGAGAACAAGTGTGTGAAGTTTCAATCCATTCCCTTCAGTAGTTATGGAGATACCAGCTTACATACAAAAACTTAACCAAGAATTTCTAAGTCGAAAAGGGGCATAATTATGTAAAAAAGCAAATCAGAGTTATGGGACTTGTGCCAATCATCTTAAATAATCACAGAGAACAAGTGTGTGAAGTTTCAATCCATTCCCTTCAGTAGTTATGGAGATACCAGCTTACATACAAAAACTTAACCAAGAATTTCTAAGTCGAAAAAGGGGCATAATTATGAAAACAAGAGCTGTCGGTAGGACAGCACGCTCGACTATTCTAAGTGCTTGATAGTAAAAGAGCCTTTATAATGTTAAATTTTTTAAGTTCACAAAAGAGCTAATTTTCTTCATAAATTTATGTTATAGGCCTTAGAGAGAGTCTAATTATACAGTATTGGCTTGACTATTCGGAAGGTAATGTCACAAGGGTGTTTAATTGAGTAAAATAATACTAATTACCTATGAATACATAAATTTGACAGAAAAGGTACAAAGGCTTGTTATTAAGATGTTTTATCAAGTTAATCACTGCTTTATTATTATGAATGCATAAAATTGTCCCAAAAAAGGTACAAACCCTTCAGTAGTTATTGAGATAACAGCTTACAAGCAAAACTTTACCATGAATTTTTAAGTAGAAAAAGGGGAGAAAAATCAGCCTAAATGCAAGATAGAATTATGGATCATTGTCAGTGACCTACATTATGACCCTAAATGCATATGTGAAGTTTTAAATAAATATCTTTAATAGTTATTGAGATATGTAAAACTATCATGTTAACATTAACCAAGAGACTAAGTAGAAAAGGGGATATGAATCAGCCTTAATGCAAGATAGAGTTATGGAACTTGGTCAATGACATACAATTATGACCCTCCAATTATGACCCTAAGTGCATGTGTAAAGTTTCAAGTAAATATCTTTGAAGACCTTTAACCAAAATTTCTAACTTTCAAAGGGGCAAATAATTCTGCAAATATTGCAGGCAGAGTTATGCAATTTTGCAAACTGATATACATTGTTACTATAAAAGAGTATTTTAAATTTCAATTGAATATCTCACGCAATAATTAAGATGTTTGACTTTACAAAAAAAACTTTAACCAAAATTTCTAAGTTCCAAAGGGGTATAATTCTGTCAATATTGTAGGCAGAGTTATCCAACTTGTCAATCTGATGTACCTTGTTACTATAAATAAATATTGTAAGTTTCAATTGAATATCTCAAGCAATAATTGAGATATTTGACTTTACAAAAAACTTTAACCAAAATTTCTAAGTTAAAAAGGGGCATAATTCTGTCAATATTGTAGGCAGAGTTATCCAACTTGTCAATCTGATGTACCTTGTTACTATAAATAAGTATTGTAAGTTTCAATTGAATATCTCAAGCAATAATTGAGATATTTGACTTTACAAAAAACTTTAACCAAAATTTCTAAGTTAAAAAGGGGCATAATTCTGTCAATATTGTAGGCAGAGTTATCCAACTTGTCAATCTGATGTACCTTGTTACTATAAATAAGTATTGTAAGTTTCAATTGAATATCTCAAGCAATAACTGAGATATTTGACTTTACAAAAAACTTTAACCAAAATTTCTAAGTTAAAAAGGGGCATAATTCTGTCAATATTGTAGGCAGAGTTATCCAACTTGTCAATCTGATGTACCTTGTTACTATAAATAAGTATTGTAAGTTTCAATTGAATATCTCAAGCAGTAATTGAGATATTTGACTTTACAAAAAACATTAACCAACGCAGACGCCGACGCGGATGCTGACGCCGACACCGGGGCGACTAGAATAGCTCTCATATTCTTCGAATAGTCGAGCTAAAAAGCAAATCAGAGTTATGGGACTTGTGCCAATCATCTTAGATAATCACAGAGAGCAAGTGTGTGAAGTTTCAATCAATTCCCTTCAGTAGTTATGGAGATACCAGCTTACATACAAAAACTTAACCACAGGGACGCCGACAAATGGGTGACTGCATTAGCTCGATTATTCTGCGAATAGTCGAGCTAAAAATGGCAAGAATATGACCCTTACACTGCTGATGCCAAAAGTATAAAGCCTAATTCATCAGTATTTGGCCAGGCCTGTCTGCTATGAAGTGCAGGCAGATTAATTTAAATTTTTATCTCGATATCCCCAAATTTGATAATGAAAGCTGGACAAGTCAATTTATGAGATTCAGCAGGCAAAGGGTTTAATCATTGAATATGAAAATCATATTTAAAAGTTACTTTAATCATTCTGGAGAGATCACCAGCATCAGCTAATTCCAGCACAATGTTTAACTCATTATCTTCAATGAATGATTCAAGGTACTTGATTACATTTGGATGGTTCAATTGCTGAAGAAAAAAATATAATAATTGCTTTTACAAACACATGTCCAAATGTATGTTCCTAATTTATACACTAATTGAATGGTAAAAGTAATAAATAGAGGATATTGAATGTGTGTAGGTTCAATACTGAATTTATTGAACAAGTTGGATAAAATTATGTTATGCAAGCCTCTGGCGAGCAAAATATAATTTTATTCAACGAGTTCAATAAATTCAGTAATAAAGCTACCTATTAAAATAAAATATTCTATTTATATCACATTCCCAAAATAAATACTGTTTAAAGTGCAAAAGAATCATTTTCATTGAAGCACCTATAGTGTAACGCTTACATTAAGCGCGTCTTTACACTATGTTTGTATAACGTAAACGACGTCAAGTCAAAATATATGCATGACCATGCAAAACCATTTTCATGGAGTCGTAAAAGCAGCTTGGGTATGGGATAAACTTTAAAAATAAACACATTAACATGTTTCTGCACAAAGGTGCTAATATGTGACACAATGTTATATAATCAAATTAACACATGATAAATGATGTCATACTGACACAATCAATATCATATTATGATGCCTTTCCAGGATTTCATCAGGTAGCTCTCTCTACATTATCTACAACAACCAACCTTTTGTAAGCTAGTAAGATACCGTAAAATTCCTATTAAACGCCCCTGGGGGCTAAACATTTTCCAAAAGGGGGGCTATTATTACAACACAGTTTTTCCTAAATCCAAAAATTATTGTAAATACATTTAGTGTTAGCAAGTTTTGGTCATAACATTAAAAAGTGTTAAGATTTTAAAGTTCATACTATAAAATAAAATGGATTCTGAATGATTTGAATGAAATTATGGATTTACTCACGAGTTCAGCACTGATGAGTAGATTGTTTTTCTTATCAAAAGGCCTGGGGGGGCCTTTATTAGGGGAGGGGCGTTTATTAGGAATTTTACAGTAGCATCCTCACTCCCTGGCAGCGACTCAGCACAGACACATCAAAGGGCTAGAAAAAAGTCTCATATATATAAACAAAATGTTGTATGTTGAAAATGTACACACATAGCACCACTGTTTATTATTCTGTTACATTGAATTACCCTTCAAGTAGTTTAAGATACATTACCTAACATAAAAATACAAGTACAAAGTTTGTAAGTTACCTTTAAGAGATCAATTTCCTTCTTACAATCCTGCCTGGCCTTTGCATCCATCATTTCAAATATCTGCAGGGAAAAGCATAACTAATATTAGTATTCATATAGCTTCAGTTTATAATTTCATTTTCTTAGAAACCTAATTATTATTAATAACCTTAAAGTCAAATATCCAACTTTTGTCAGTGTATTTACTAGCTATACTCTATTTCAAAAAGAACAGATCAGATATGTGAAATATAAAGATTAGTGAATACTAGCTGCCAAAGCGAAAAACAGATCAGACACTGAGTGACTGACATGTAACTTTGATATGACCTTCCGATTGTTCTTTAAAAGAAATATGTAAAAATAAGAATAATATTAACATGTTTTAAGCCACATATTAAGTCACTTTGGTTGAATACCTACTATATTACCATGACAGAGAATCTGAGAGATGATTGCATTCAAGACACTTTTCTAAAAACCCTTAGCATTGTCACAGGTATATATTATTTCAAATTTAAATTAATCTTCAGCAAGTTATGAAAATGTTGCAAAATCAAAAAGCTAGTGTTACCTGCACTTTCTTTAGGGCCAGAACATTTCCCGTAGCTTTACATATCACTCTGTAAACTTCTGAAAACTGCCCCTTTCCAATCTTTTTATCAATGTTAAAAGCTGCAAGTGTTCCATACATACTGTTACTATCCACCTGCTCACACCCCTCTGTGTCCATTGTTTCAGCCATCCTTAAAATAAAGATAATAAAGATTAAAATGTTAGTTTAAATAAATGTACCATCAGCTACATGTACACTTTCATTCACTTTATTAAGTCATTTGCACATAAAATAAAGACGGCAAAGTGATGACAATTTTGTGATAATTTGGACAAATAAACTATTATAGATGCAATGATATGATACTCTGCTTGAAATCATAATCAGTACAAGATCTAGCAGAAGGAAACATTAATATTTGCTTTCAAAGTACGTCACAGTATATAAATATACATGCTGAAGACCTTAAGCTAGGGTACATCTACCCCCTTTTAAAAAGGCCTGTCGGCACCCTGCAAATTATAGTTACATGTACATCTACATCTTTTTAACAGGACCTTTTCACTAGTTTTGGGGAAGGCGCCCTAGCCCTATTTGTGGAAAAAATGTGTGCGATTTTCACATTTTTGGGGAAAATATTTTATTTTCACAATATGTAGGAAAAATCATCATCTCTTTGCTTTTTTTTCCTTTAAACACATTTTAAGTTTAGTTTATTCCTTAGATTTCTGTCCAAATTAAGTTAAAGGCATTTTTTCCATATCAATTTTTTGCCATTGTGTGTTTAGCCAGGACTAACTTGACTCATATTTCCTAGTTTTACGTTTTTGAGGGTTCTTGCTTTGACTGAGGGGGTACAAATTATCAGTACCCGCTGTATCACTATTACTGACACTTTGTAATTATGTTGCACTAGGCTCTCTTTTTCTGACACTTGATCATGTTGTGCTACTCAGACAAGTCTTGCGAGTGGAAACATGCATTAGGTACTCCTGTACTTACAGAAGGGTTATCAAATTAATTCTTCCAATTTTTAATTAACAACAACAAATGTCACTCAATCGTATTTTGTTCTTTTCTGTGATTGTTTACATTAGCGACATTGTAAACCGATTGCGTATTGTCGTAAAAAATCATGTGTTCACTAATGAGTAGCAGGGTTTTTCCCATGCTGTTTTTTGAAAATTGCAATATCAGACTAAGGCTGCGAGTTAACATCAATTATATTAAATCAGGTATCCCCCTAGTGGGTAATTGAACTATTAGCATTCATTGAACAAAAACAATAATTTATTTTTAAATGAGAATGTTTGTTTACAAGTTTAATCCTTCGATTTATCTTTTCTTTGCGGACTTCCCGAAAGTTAAAAAAATGTGTCAAGACGTTCCGTCTAACAAACCATGAAAATCTGTCAGACCGAAATGAAATCTGTCAGACCGAATAAAATTAATCAAAATCAAATGAAAACTTGTGTTTGTATTTCTAAGACAAGTTTCGGTTTTAAATTTTTGCCGTAAAAATCGGCACAGTCCGTACAGCGCATTTTATCTCCTCCCTGTCATACACCAACGATTCACGGTCCTGCTTTCATTTTTCATTAAATTTTTTTGCATGTCTATTCTTTTCATCCTTTCACTGCTGTTCGGCGCTCCTGTGACATAGATTTTCATTTTTCCCACGTTTGGCACCTTAAGCAAGGCCATTTTGTATACATGCTACTTGGATAAAAGCTAGACAGTCGGACAGATCCGGAATAAAATATCGTCGAACCTAATAAAAACTTATCGGACATGTCCATCTGACCAACGTATTTCGGGAAGTCTGTCTTTGAAAGGGGTAATCTTTGCAAGAAGGGGAATTTTTGACTGTTTTTTGGGGAAAAAAGGTAGTAATTCAGACTTCCCGAAAGTTGAAAAAAACTGTCAGATATTCGGTCTGACAAACCACGAAAATCTGTCGGACCGAAACAAAATCTGTCGTACCAAATAAAATTGATCAAAATCAAAGAAAAACTTGTGTTTGTATTTCTAAGACACTTTTTGTTTTTTATTTTTTCGCCGTAAAAATCGGCACAATCCGTACAGCGCATTTTCATCTCCTCCCTGTCATACACCAATGATTCATGGTTCTGCTTCCATTTTTCATTAAATTTTGTCTCAGGTCTACTCTTTTCATCCTTTTATTGCTGTTCTGCGCACTCTTCTGACGTAGATTTTCGGTTTTTCCTAGGTTTGGCACCTTTAGCGACGACATTTTGTATACATGCGGCTTGGATAAAAGCCGGACAGTCAGACCGATCCGGAATAAAAAATTGTTGGACCTGATCAAAATTTATCGGACATGCCCGTCGGACCGACGTATTTCGGGAAGTCTGGTAATTCAGCTTGGGGAAGTAGCCAGATACCGGCTGCAGCAAAGAAGGGTAAAAAGGCCCTGATCTACATAATACTGCTTCAAAATCGTTTACAATTACACTAAGCAGGTATACATTCATACATTGTATAAATTAGATTGAGAGAAAGCTATGAGATACAAGGGAATCAAGGAACCATTCCCTACCTCTACTGAATAGAACCCTTAGTTCTTTTACATGCCCAGTGTATAACACTGATACATGCGAGGATTACCTGGATTTCTTTAATTTTCTTACCAGTACAACTCTAGGTTGGTGGGAAACGCTAATAGTGTCTCTGAAAAGGCCCAAGGATGTTACCTAGGATCGAACCCAGGACGTCAGGAGTGACAGTAGTCAGTGGTCTAACCAATGAAGCTATCGTGCCACATAAATTATACAAACGATGATTGGGTCTAATGATGTTGTGACCTTACCTTACTTTTCAAAGAAAAAAAAAACACAAACAAAGTGGACATGCATTTAACAGTGTGTAAGTTACAAAAAGAACATTCATTTTTTAACAGTAACACACAGTTAAATATTTAAATGCATGTTCTTTTTGTTTTTCACTAAGATATTAAGAAATTTTATTCCTTAGTTGACTGCCAGTATTAAGATGCTTTGTCCGTCTAATAACTTTACTTATGACCCTCTAAAAATAGCAGTTCATAAAACTTTTAATACAACCGACAAACTAGAAAGAAGTAATTAGGCATAACTATATGCACATAAAAATGACAAGTTCTCGTACCCCACCCATCTTATTTTTAATGTATACGAGTTGGGATATTTAATTCGCGAGAATAACTGCCTCTTCAAATTACCTTTCAGAATTTACTTTTCAAAAACAAATGTAGATCTACCAGGAATTGAACAACTAACTTCAAATTCAATCAGGAAAATCGAACGAATTTCAATCTTTCTGCTAAATTCTTACAGACCGGAAGTGATTATTGCACCTGCGCAGATGATCGTGGCAACGACTGGTTTTGCATATTTCTTCTCAAAATTACGCAGCCGCTCTAATGAAAGCAGAGCAGTCGCTCATTGCGTATAATAATATTTTATTGAATTATATCACGGATTTATATTATATAGTAAATCCGTGATTATATATACACATTTAACATCATTATCTTAATCATAAATAAGATGATACAAACAAAAGTGTTAGTCAAAAAGTTATACCAACATTATCTAATTAATAAGGTAGATCTATATACTTCCCTTTTGTCTTTTAAAAATGATTAGTGTTGATTTTAGAATTCGGTCTTTAAAAATTATTTCTCAAAAGCTTTTCATTTTTGGTGTGCTTTTAAAGTTTCCTAAAAGTTTCTCATTGGTCAATTACCTTAGCCATCTTTTCTGTGTCTCTATTTTGCAATTAGTACAGTTACAGTGATTTAGTATTTTGCATGGAAGTCAAAATACTTCGATCTTAATTTGTTTACATTTTGCTACTCGATCGTAAATTATTTCACATTTAGCGCTACTTTCTTCAGGCATGCTCTTTAAACATTATTTAAAGGTTATTCAGTTCAGTTGGCCCTTTCTAAAGAAATCAAATTGCAATCGTTTCTGAGGAATATATGTGCCTTTAATTTGGTTTGACATTGCTGGCTGGCTGGTTGGCTGACTGACTGACTGACTGACTGACTGACTGGCTGACTGACTGACTGACTGACTGACTGACTGACTGACTGACTGACTGTGACTGTGACTGTGACTGTGACTGTGACTGACTGACTGACTGACATAGATCATCTATAACAGAGATAGGCAACTTCCTAACCAGTTAAAATATCACGCGTGCCTACTAAACTTAAGCTTGAAGCAAGTAAAACTTATATTAACCAGATATCAAAATCATCGGTCTGAAAGCTTATATGCATTAAATTGTCTATGGCTGCAGGTAAAAATATTTACAGTTCCCATTTAAAATAATGATACATCAAATTTTAAAGACAACTACTTAATATTTTTTACCAAACTATTCATATGACGAAAAAACTGGCTCGATCAGCGGGTATGTTCAGCTATGTTTTTTTCTAAGTGAAAGGCATGGAAAGTTACCAATACTTTAACATGCAGCAATAGATAAAAGATTTAACTTTCAAATGGTATATACATTTTGTAATATTAAAGGAAAATGTACATCCATTAAGTTTTATTTGCTACAAAACGCCTAATTTTTGACTTTTTGATAGGCATGAGTGATATTTCAATGGAATATATATAGGAGTGCCTTATTCTGTTATCTATGTCTCTGATTGATTGATTGTTTGATTGATTGTTTGATTGATTGATTGATTGATTGATTGATTGATTGATTGATTGATTGATTGATTGAAAATAAGATAAAATAATTTATATCCTGAGACAGTCTTTGATTATATATATTTTTTGCACTCAATAATTGGCTGCATTATAGATGTGGTCTATGAAAAATACTTATGTCTGTACGCGATATTTCGTATAACTTGAGTTGGAAGATGTATTTACAAGCACTGGGCGAACCTACCGGAGCACATATAGAAATACGTTTTGAAGCACTAAATATACCACACCAATACAAGAATTACCTATTGACAAATTGCAGGCCACTTTTGACATGACTTTATAGTTGTAGTGCACAGCACTAGTTTAACCTTTGAAGTCGTGCTTCAGGTTTGAATTTTTTGCTTCGTTAAGTGTTTGTTTACGGAATTCCGCTTGTTTTGTCTGGCATACGATGACGCTTTCGCGTAACTTTTTCAAAATAGAAAATCTTATAATTTTATGTAAACTTATACATGAACTTAAGTCTTAATTAAAACCTTATCTTTGAGAATTGACACATGTTTCTTTACATGTATATAAAAGAAAGGGACTCCCAGCAATTTTGAAAGATAAGATATAGATTTTCGGGGACCTAGTAAGTAAGCAGACGGTAAAATTTGAATAAGTAAACTAATATTAATTTAATATAAAAAAAGACAGATACTTTTGAAATCATAAATACATTCAATCTCACAGTGTCTTTACTTCTGAAACGAAAATATAACGGATATTTATAATGAAATTTTGACGAAATGGCGGATTTGGATCTACTCATTGAATTTTCATTTAAGTTGAACCATAAGAAATTGTGATTTAAAGTTTTAAAACACGCTCTTAATATATGTTTTTTCTTCATTTTTGTAGGAATCGCCATCAAATATGTGTAAGTAGTATTTTGTTATACAATGTACTAGTAGTTGTTGGGATAAAATTTCGTGGGATCTTAAATTCGTGGTTTGACCTACCCACGAAAACCACGAAAATTCGTGCCCCACGAATAATAATGATTTTACAGTAATCAGTACGACAGTAACCTAGCTAGCTATAATAGCTAGCCTACAGCTGCAGTTTTATAATTCGATCATTCAGGAAAATATTTCTGGTCAGTGAACGTAACTCGAAATTGATATACAGAAACAAGGCTATTAATTTTCTTATTGCAATTGCCTAACACGCATTATCAGTAATTTTTTATATAATGTATGTAATAAGTTACAATTCTCGGAAGCATTTTGGCTAAATACTTTGTCTCAATAATCAAGGGAAATAATACCGTTCAAATCGGCAGCAGATTTACTTTTTAACATCATAATTACTTCCATTTCATTCAAGCAAATCACATTTCTGTAAACAAATATCATAGCTCTAAACTTCAAGAAAGAAACAACAAAATAACACCTTATTTACTATGATATAAGACTGAAAATGTCAGAAATGAAGCATATTGAAGTCGTAACACAATGTACAATATTCATCAGCTCTCGTGTTCGCCGTAAACGAGTTTTCATCGTATTAGAAAAGAAATTTCGTTTTTGAATATACATGTCTGTTTCTTTTATACATTAAAATACCCGGTACATCATAAATAAAATCATTTCATCAACGAGAAAAGTTAAAACAACTGAAGAAATGACGAAATTGTCCGACAGAAAAAGCTTAATTTTTCAGACGCACTATTCATAATATTCAGCTATATAAATTACATTTTTGGCTCCTTCTGTCAAATTTCGGATAAGGACAACTGTTTGTTTTTTTACTTCTCCTGCCCTTCTCTCTCCCTCGAATGTTGTATATAAAGAACTCATCTGGTGTTCGTATTATCCGAGTTCAGTTGTATAATGTTATATTTCAGATTACGTCACACTGTTTGTCTTGTCGGCATGTGCAATGTCAGGTTAGTATTGTTTCATATTATTGTGAAAAATATGTCATTTTTTTCAAACAGTAATTTTCTATTCTTTACTGTATATACAAGAACGTGAAAAACGTGGTGATTCAGGAAAAGTGAAATTTGGCAATAATTTCGATTCGATAAACCCTACCACAGTACTTTATGCATTTTTATTTGTTTGGGTCGTCAGACCAAACAAATAATGGTAGCGAAATTTCAGAGTCTAATGCTGTTAATTGCAAATGCCGAAAGTAGTCCACTTTTTTGAAGCGGTTACTTCCCTTTATATGTACACTAACGATGAAAAATTCAGGGGAGATCACTGCGTAAAGATGGTCAAAGGCAGGCGCATTAATTTTCAAGCAAAATAATTCACGAATGGTCGAATATTTCTAATATTGTTTTATTGTATTTTCTGATCGAAAATAAGTAAATACAAAGCGGACATTCAATCTCTGACACAGAAGTTTCACGACAAACCTAACAAGTAGTTCTCAAAACAGCTTAAAACTAGCGATTTAAAAGAAACTCTTTTGTTACAAGTATCCAACAAATTACAACGCATTCAAAGTTTAAAAATAGCGTTGGCTTATAGAATTGTCAATAAATGCACAATCACAAATTACGCGGATGAATATGATTTTATCAATGAAAATACTATTTTTAGCGATGTCGATTACCGAATACTACACAAACCGAGTAGTGGAATATATAGATTTTAGCGATGTCGATTACCGAATACTTCACAAAGAAATCTGACTGCCGAGTAGTGGAATATATAGATTCTACATGTCGGACTGTTTGGGCGAGAAGATTTTCTCTAAATTATTTACTTCAATTTTAAACAACAGGTTTATCGTGAACAAAATACCTCGAAATACCTCGAAATTAATAAACAAACCCGAAATGCAATGGAAGTTCTAAATTTAGAATGGCTTGATTTTATTCAGGCATTGTATGTACAACTTCTCTGTGGTGCAGGGGTAACGCGCTCGCTTAGTGAGTGAGAGGTCTGGAGTTCAAATCCCAGTCGAGGAAACTTTTTTTTTAAATTTTTTTTTAAGTGTCTTTGTTAAGGAAGTAGCCATGATATGCAAGGATAAAGTGTGGCTGTCATAAAAAATGAACATAAATGATTTTTTGATGCAACTCTAGATATACAAAATTCCGTATGTATCAAACTCTGGTGCCTTGCAAGATGAATTATAGTACATAAAAATAAACTTATACAGGAAAATACATACAGATATACAGCACGATTTAGATTGCAAAAGTCAGAAAATAGCACAGATCTTGCAGCCCTTTGATTCTTTATAAATATACATGCTTATAGTAAGCTCCAGGATTATTTACATCTGTGTTAAACAACAGTTAAAGTCGTTACAAGTCCTAATTTAGAATAATATGGTATTCTTTAGGCCGTTCACATATAAATTCACCGTTGCTGAGGGGTTTTCGCGCTCGCTTAGGAAGCGAGAGGTCTGGAGTTCAAATCCCAGTAAAGGCAACTCATTTTTTTTCCAAATTGTTTAAGTCAAATAAACATTGGATTGAATATCAGTGCAATTAGTCTTATAGCCAATTTATTACCATTAAAACGCTTGAAAGCATTGGTGGCACTATACATATAATCTCACAACCTGTACCTTTCTTACATTCTGAGACCCAAACAAATTCAGCGCCTTCTGTGCTTTGATTATGTAATGTGCTTGCAAAAATGTTACAAGTTGATTTGTATTAATTCATTCATAACACATTTTATCCTATAATTTGTATATTTTAAGATTTAACCTCACATAGTCAAATAATCGTAACCTTTCTTTATAGTATTACTATATATATATAGAGAGAGAGTTATCCATTTTACACATATCAAATTCAAAATATTTAATAAGATTTTTTTACAACACGTTTTTAGCGTATGCTGCTACAGTCCCTCCCCCGGCAAATGTTACAACCTCCAACATAAGGAGATGTCGTCAATGTAACAGAGCTAGTACCCTCTCTGACTGTAATAAACTCGTTACTTGTGACAGCACATTAGAGGTAATCTTTACATCATTTCATTTTGTTTTTCACTATTTTAGCAAATTAAAACGTAATTATTAAATTCTTCTATCGCATCTTTTTGAAAAAGATTACTTCAAAATGTAGTTCATGTATATAAATGTAATATGTAACTTATTTTCATCATTTTTAGGACTGCTTCATGGACGAGCTTATCACCGATCAACTTACTGTTGTTTATGTTGGTGGTTGTAGAGCTAAGACTGTGAGTAAACATTTTTATTATATACTTATAAACGAAATATTAAGAGATTTTGATGAAATAAAATGCATATTTTCATTTTCCGTATTTTCACTGCAGTGAAGAATATTTTCCATATTTTTACTGCAGTGAAACATTTTTTCCGTATTTTCACTGGTGTCTTGCAGGACAACTTTTTGCTAAATTCAGCCAATATACAAATTGTAAGGGAAAGTCTTTCAAACTGTGATGTAAAAAAGGGAAAATGAATATAATAAACAGAACATTCAATTTTTTTTCTATAAATACAGGATTTATTTTCACCTTGTGCTATGAAAATTATCATATTTTAATCGTAGCTACCGCCATTCATGAAATATTCATTTTCATACCATTGTTGTATTTATAGAAAAAACTTGAATATCCTCTGTTGATACATGTTTATATAAAAAGAAAATTAGCGGGGAAATATATGCCATGTACTCGTTTGATGCTCTCTAAAATGCTGGAAAAACACCGCATCGACACTATAGTAACTCAATAAAACGTTTTCAAAGTATATGTACATGTATAAAATTTGGCAGATTTAATAATTATTTGCGGCAGATAAATTGACACATAAATTCAGTAGAAGATGAATTACAATTTTTTTAATTATCATTATTAAATATACAAACAACACGAAATGAAAAACAGTTGTTTCTGTTCACTAGGTGTGCAATTCGTCAGGAAAGAAGAGAAGAAATGATCTCGTGGCTTGTTCAAGGTAATATTTCCCGCCCAATGCCGGTCTGTTTTCAGTTTGACTTCCTGTAAAGTTAACACGAATGGACTGAATATAAGAAGTTTTCATTGGTCATTTTAAAAATACAAAATGAAATTAGGAATCTCATTGGCCATTCTAATTAAAGTAAAATGTAATGGATACACATGAAGTTCTAGTTAACTTTTGTAACCTTCGAAATAGGATCTTCTGTAGGGTAATAACCTGTTTTACATTTTCAGTTTCAATTCCTTTTGAAGAAATACTTTATTGTGACTTAAGACTTTCTAGAGCTAAATGTCACATCAAGTGTGTTTTTATACAGATGTTAATTTCAAATTATCCGCGTTACAACGTATAGCGGTTAATTGTTGTCTTGTCCTTACCGTGTTAATAAAACTGGATTGGTCAGTTTTTTGCTTGACTGCGTCGGAGTATATATAGTCACAGGGCGTGACTAGTAATCCGTTTCTATCGAGTATCTCACAGAGAACAGCCATTATCTTTCACAAATTCAAATTTAGCCTTTCGAAATATTGATGACTTTGTAATAGCATCATGAACATTCTTAAAGCATTATTTGTTGAGGTTCGTAAAACTTTTATGCATGTTGTAATGGTTTCACAAAGTGGACGTGATATAAACCCAGAGGTTGATGAAGGCGACTTTATGACCGGACAAAGCATGGGTCCTCCTACGTCCATTTATTTGTTGTATTTTTATACAATATGTAATTCTTCCAGAAGGGTTGCGCAGCCCGCTCGCGGTTAACCTGGTTTGTCTGTAAAGTGTGATTGTCTGGCATATGTTTTTCATGATTGTAACTGTGGAAATGTTGTCAAAATAATATAATTTAGTTTGATAAAACTCAACGATTGTTAAATATAATGGAGCACTTACAAGTATTTGTTTAAATATCATGATATTATGTATACATTTTTATGTTTGATTCATGCATATAATATGCTTATGTCAGCCTTCTCCATGCTGTTTCTCTCAATAATCAATTCTCGAAATGCACAACTGTTTTGTTGTTTTATGATAAGGTAGAGATGAGACTATACCAGTACTGTATTGTCGTTCACGATATCAGCAATAAAGTGATGAAAATTTATGAGATAACTGTACATTGATTTGTTTTCTTCAGATGTTGTGATTTTGATGAAGATTGTAACAAACGTCTTTGTGGAATTAAAGACGGTATGTTTCAATTGTGTTTCATTTAGATAGTTCATTTCCCTGTAAAATTTCGTAAACATGGGTAAACTTCGCTACTTTTCCCTTACAATAATATATTGAAAAAATTATAAATATATTTCCAAAATATATATGCAAGATATATAATGGAGATTAAATTTTGAATTTATCAATATCCGGTTATATGAAAGATATTTTATGTAGTCCTATATATACATTCTTTTTTTTCTTTTTTTTTTTTTGGCAGACACACTTAATTCATCCCAGTGTTACTCTTGCGATCACAGAACATCTGAACAATCTGAAGTGAAGGACCCAAAGACGTGTGTAACCCTAGATACATGCCAACCTAATGAGGTAAAATATTGGAATTGGCAGATTTAATTTAGTGCCAAAGATTGTGATTCTTACTCATCTAATTTGTGTTTTTACAAGGTTTCATCAATATAAGATAAGGTAATAACGAGTATATTATGTGGAACCATTCTTATATAGAGTCAAAACAACACTATATAGTATGCAGAATTGTCTTTATATAGAGTCAGCTTAACACTATATGATATAATTTACTTCGAGTTTTCCCGCTGTTGACACGAACGGTGCATAGTGAGATATAACCCGGTAAATTTAACCCCATCAGTATAATGACAGAAGCACACCATATAATGATGTTTGCACTTCATATAAAGCAGCGGTCGTATAATAATAGATGCACATCGTATAATGAAAGATTGACATAATATATTGATAAGTTGACTGTATATAATGATGCAACCACATAATATATTCACAAATGCACACCGTATAATAATAGATGCACATCGTATAATGAAAGATTGACATAATATATTGATGAGTTGACTGTATACTTATATAATGATTCTACCACATCATATATTCATAAATGCACATCGTATAATGATTGGTCGACATCATATAAAGACACATTGACATCATATATTGTTCAGTTGAATTCATATAAGGATGCATCTACATAACATATTCATGAGTGCACATTGTATAAAGAAAGAGTGACACAACAACGTTCATTTTTACAATCATAAGACAGTCAAGGCTTTCCATAAACAAACACTCCCCTGAAAACACAACATAAATGTGGGATCTGTACGAAAGACCGGTAGATCTGTGAACAAGTGTTGACACCAAGTTTTAACTTAAACTCTTGTCATCTGAACCAGTGTCTTCTGTCGATGTGTGAATATCTTTAACAGGCGTTTTGATTTTTTGACATTTCTTGATTGGAGGTTATTTTTCTTAATTGTCTTGAAACCTTTACTATTTTTTTAATATTGTTTGCTTTTCGAGTCCTTTTTCAGCTCTTTTGGAATAATTCTGAAGTCTTTGGTGACTGATTTTATGTTTCTGTTATTGCCGTCAAACTGAGAAATTCTTATGATAAGCTTTTGTTCTTATGTCCAAATTGTGAATAATAGTGTTTCCGATATTTTTGAAGAGAAAGGACAATGTAGACAACTGCATTCTTCCATTTTGCCTGACAATAAAAAAATAAATACGTTAAATAATAAACGTTTTCTGCATTAAATCTTTAAAAATACTCACAAGTCAGGGTACAGATAAAATTTGTAAACTCACAAGTAGGCAAGTAACGTTCAGTGTACGTAATTGACCTCCTTGGTTAAACTCATAATTTAGTCTTCAAATTTTGCAGATGACTAGATTAATCGTGCGTTATTGATTATTTTAGTAGTTCGATATCACAATTCAATGTTTAACTAAATAATCCTTGAAATAAGAAGGATTTTTGTTCGTGTTCAGTGTTGATCACCTGAAAGCAGTTCGTTAGTTTCGATTATTTTATAGCCTTAATGCTAACATTTATATTTTGCATAACTTAGACGTTTAATAAAGTTTCTCTTCTACGATAACAAATAGATTTACTAACCTAACGTCCATAAGTATCAATATAAATACCAATATATTAAACAAGTTAAGCGTCAGAAAATGGCTGACATCACAAGATCCGGTTGGGGTTCAAATCGTTTATATACTGTTGAAGTGTTTGGATGTTCTTTCTCTTTTGTATTCATACACGTTCCCTGTTGTCACAATATGAAACCCCGGAGAAAATAAACCAACGAACAAGCATCTAAATATGATATTTCTGTCGCTTTCACTTTCTCTGCCGTCACAATAAGTAAACCCCAGCTAAAATGAGCCTATCAATGGGCATTCTCTGGAGTGCGGGTAACTAATACTTGCACTCCAGTTAACGCACGGTGCATGTATATTAAAAATTTCATATTCAGATAATCGTTCATTGGTTACTTTTTCTGGGGTTTCTGCGGTTCCCTCAAAAGTATTTAAACCAAATTTGCATAAATTGATCCTCATGCTCATTTCTGATGACTTTTTTCAATTTTGTCCGACTTCAGGTGTGTTATGCAACGACGACAGATATTGGTGGAAAAGACACGTTTTACTATGGTTGTTTATCTAAACTGGTAAAGTTTCGTTGACGATACAGATTCTGATTCTCGTAATATTTTTATACCCCCCCAAGGACGGCATATTAAAATCGCAACGTCCGTCTGTCTGTCTGTCCCCACTTACACAAAATTTGTGTACGGACTGTAACTTTGTCATGCATTGAAGGCCTTTAAAATGACTTGGCACAAATGTCTACCACATCTTGATGATGTGTCGACACATGACACTACCTCAAAAATCAAGGTGGTAAGTTTGCTATGAATGCTCTCTACAAAAACAATATTAAGCAATTTGTTACTATTTTCATAATAACTTTCTGTAGTACTTACGAAACTTTTTCGGGAGGATTCGTCACTTCTGTTTGACAGCTGTTGTTTCAGATCTTGTTTAATAGTTTTGAATATAGTTTTTATATATTTTTAGATGCTGTAATAAATTTTTATGACCAGAAAAAAGAGGCGGCGTCCTTAAATTTAATAACCAACATAAAACATTTAAAAATTTAAAAATTCATTCTTAACTACAAACATGTATGACCATCATTTCAGCAATGCGGATTCCTGATGGAAAAAGCATATAAAGATTTTCAAGATTGTGTGTCAAATAAGACAGCCCTAGCACCAGGTCCTGCACGGGATGCAGTATGTGGAAATGTTGGTCGTGCAACCAGCCTGTGTCACTCTTGCTGCGCTGATGGTGGATGTAACTATGGGACATGCGAAGAATTAAATAGTACGTACATGTATACCTCTTTAGATATTTAATGGGACTCCGCTGACGTCCTAAAGCTTGAAAACATAAAATTTGAACTTCTTATATAGATCAACTAGGGCCATTCAAACAGAAAGATGTGCAAAAAAAAACTATTCAGAATTATGCTCAGAAATAAATTGAAAATCGTATTTTTGAGCTATTTGAGTGAAAAGCCTTTTAAACTTTACACGTTATAGACAGAATCGACATACTCATTTGTTTATGAAAGTAATAATAAATGCGGTTTTTATTAATGTTATCTAAAGTCACTGCGGTATACTGTAATTAAAACTTTTCATGCTTATCTGACAGCAATTTTATTTAATATTTGTTTTTTTTCTTATTTACAGACAGAATATTTGCTTTGGCGGAGAACGGAAAGTTTGACATCAAAACTTTAAAAACAACATAGATATTTACCTTTTCTATAAATGATAAGTGCCAATTTGTTGATATTTTTATGTACACGGAATCGAAAAAAAAAATAAAAGGCGTCCTTCAGAAGTTTTTTGTTCAGGATTATCAAAGTGACCAAAAATACATAAACGGCCACAGAGCGATAAGTTCACTCATGAGATCAATCACCCACGCAGTGATCTCCTCTTACAGGATGAGATCTCTAAACAGTGATCCCCCTTACAGGATGAGATCTCTACACAGTGATCTCCCCGTACATGATTAGATCTCATGTGCAGTGATCTCCCCATCTCTACGCAGTGATCTCTCCTTACAGGATTAGATAAGATAAGGTTTTGCTCAATACAGTGCAGAGGTTTTTGCAAACTCCGCCCTAACGTTGCTTAAGCGGTGCGCGAGATAGTCTAGTATTAGCACATAAGAAAAGCACCATGATGGATCTAGATTTCTCACCTAAGACCAATTGATAAAAAGTACTGTATTTCTTCAATGCAGAATCAGGCCTTTATTACCCCTAAAATAGAGGTTCACTAGGCAATGCAACACTTACATGCCAAATATCTAAGTTCAAACCATGCACACAAGAAGATACAAATGCATTTTCCTAAGTAAGTCTGCAAACTAAGTAACCTAAAAAGTGTGCAGCTAGTGGTGTGATTTATTTTATACAACCTTTGTTAAGGGTCACAAGGTAATGCACAATGCACAAGCTAAATATATAAATATCTGGAAAAAAGTGATCCCTCAATCGGAAGCATTAAAATTAGCACTAGAACTCTGCGAGTCGGATGTGACGCCTTGTGAACAATATTGTTTAGGAGAAATGGCCAGGACAAAAATAAAATTTGAAAATCAACAAAGGGCAATAACTCAAAAAATAAGAAATGCAGAGCAGCAGTTTCTGTGCACTGCACTTCTTATCAATAAGATCTATCATCCTATTAAGTTTCAAGTCTAAAGCTTTTATAATTTATGAGAAATGGCCTGGACAAAAATATAGTTTGAAAATTAACAAAGGGCAATAACTCAAAAAATAAGAAATGCAGAGTACCAGTTCTTGGGCACTGCACTTCTTCTTAATGAGATCTATCATCCTATGAAGTTTCATGTCCATAGCTTTTATACTTTAGGGGAAATGGCCTGGACAAAAATAAAGTATGAAAATTAACAAAGGGCAATAACTCAAAAAATAAGAAATGCAGAGTACCAGTTCTTGTGCACTGCACTTCTTCTTAATGAGATCTATCATCCTATGAAGTTTCAAGTCAATAGCTTTTATACTTTAAGAGAACAGGCCCGGACAAAAATTAAGTATGAAAATTAACAAAGGGCAATAACTAAAAAAAAAAAGAAATGCAGAGTACCACTTCTTGTGCACTGCACTTCTTCTTAATGAGATCTATCATCCTATTAAGTTTCAAGTCCATAGATTTTATACTTTAGGAGAAATTGCCCAGACAAAAATAAAATATGAAAACTAACAAAGGGCAATAACTCAAAAAATAAGAAGTGCAGAGTACCGGTTCTCGTGCACTGCACTTCGGGTCATTATAAGAAGCATGCATACCAAGTTTGAAGTCAATCCGACTTATAATGACTGACTTATGCTCCGGACAAGCTTAAGGGGACGCCGACGCTGACACCGCCGACAAAAGTAACTCCTATATGTCGCCTTTTTTAAGGCAACACAAAAATTACATTTCAAATTGCAGACTGGTTTGAGTCTGTACATCAGTGCAACTTCCTTTATGCCCCCTAGCTCCGGCTTATACAGTACACCATTTTCAACACTTAAAAGTGCTGAATCAATGATCCGGAAGAACTAGAAAGATGTAACAACACTGAAGTGAAGTACAGGGCAACTTTTTACAGCTCTACTGTGTAATCTAGTTTTGGAAGAAAAAGTGACTTCCATTAAGGTAACAAGTTTTGACATTTATTAAACCTTGATATAGGTACAGTAAGCAATATGTTTACAGGCCACCTATGTAAGCATAGGGTTAACAAGAGCTGTCAGAAGGACAGCGCGCTCGACTTTTTTAGTGCTTGCCTATAAAACAAAACTTTGACAGTTAAGGGCACACAAGACTTTAACTAGGAATTTCTAAGTACAAATCAAGAAACATTTTCACAGAGTTATCTTCTCTTGCTTACAGATAGGTCTCATGATGGCACATAAGAACTCCAACTTCCAAAGTAATATCTCAAATGGTTAGGTCAACAAGTGGACAAGAATGAAAATTTTAACTGAGTTTCTAAGTCAAAAAGGGCCATAATTCAAATAAAATCCTTAACAGAATTACCTTCTCCTGCCCATGTTTGGGACCATGATGGTAAACAAGTATTCCAACTTTCAATTTAATATCTCAACCAGTTCAGTCAAAAAGTTGACTGGTACAAAAAACTTAACCAAGATTCTAAGTCGATAAAAGGCCTTAATTTTTAAAACAAATCCCTGACAGAGTTACCTTCTCTTGCGTACAGATGGGGTAATGATGTGAAATAGCATTAAAAGTTTCAAAGCAATATCTCAAAGGGTTAAGGCAATAAGTGGATTTTACCCATATTCAATGTATTTTCTAAGTCAAAAAGGGGCATAATTCTGTCAAAAACCTTGACAGAGTTATGTCCTCTTGTCTGTTGATGAAGGTCGTGATGGTAAACAAGTATGGTCAGTTTCAAAGCAATACCTCCAATGGTTTTGAAATAAAGTGAGGTGGTACAAAAAACTTAACCAAGCTCAATACACTTTCTAAGTCAAAAAAGGGCCATAATTCTGTCAAAAACCTTGACAGAGTTATGTACTCTTGTCTGTAGATGGAGGTTATGATGGTGAACAAGTATGGTAAGTTTCAAAGCCATACTTGTAATACTTCTGAAATAAAGTGGGGTGGTACGAAAAACTTAACCAAGGTGTGACGCCAACGCTAACGCCGACGCCGGGGCGAGTAGGATAGCTCCCCTTTTCATAGAAAAGTCGAGCTAAAAAGGAAAGATAAAGAAGAATACGGCCATCGAGTCACACACATATATAACTCGAAACAACGAAAGCACGAAGTTATGATAGTGAAAAGTCCAAATTATGAAACCACGATGGCAAAAAGCCGAACGTACGATGATAAAAAGTACGATTATGAAAAATCGAAAGTACGATGGTAAAAAGTCAAAACCGTGTAAGGTCGAAAGTACGATGGCTTAAACATGAAATTATACCAATTTTCACCATCGTGGTTTCGTTATTTCTACTTTTCACTTTCGTAATTTCATGCTTTAGTTGTTCTGTAAAAGCGATGTCCTAAAACAAAACCCACCCTCAATTGTAGGACATTCTACGGGGCACGAACAAGAACAGGAGATGCTTAAGGGCTGAGCAAGAACCAAGCAGGCGTCATGTTACTTCAAATGCCGGATCAGTTTTGATACCAGGTTATTTTTAGAACATTTTGAGATTAAAAGACTTTGGGCATTGTAATTACAGCAAGCAGTTTTAAATATGTTTCATACAAAAGGTTATGTAAACTTCGTGACCCCATGTCCGCGCCAGTTTTGATCTTTGGGGAATAATTTATCTAATTTAGTGGATCACTATGAAATCCGGCATGCTAATTACATGTGTATCAAAATTTAAAACATGTATACGTAGTTTTCACGGGTACACGCGAGTTCATTCTTAAGTTAGGACATGGAGAGGAATCCTGTAGACAATACATATTAGACCCATTACAATGTATAACCAATGGAAATAACACGGTCTCTCCTTCGGTGGTTCAGATATAACCCTTATTGTTATTCAGGATAGACTGTTCGTAAAGCAAATGTGTATGCTTCACTATTTTTGATGTATGCAAAGACAAACTCTATCAAAACAATTCATGGAAACATTTTTTTTTTAATGACCAAATGACGCTTGACAATGCCATATTTTGATTACATTTCAAAAGAATTTCATTTAGACCTTTTTTGCTCAACAACGCTCAGTTTTGGGGAATTGGTAAACAAAGTCATCATAGTAAGTAATGTTAAGAAGCTTCAATTCATTGATTATCATCATATGGACTGGGATTTCAATTCAACAAAATTTGCTTGTTCTCATGAAAAGAAAAAGATGATTTCACATAATAATTATTCAGGTGATGCTTTGATTTTGGAATTATTTCTTGGACTTGTAGCTTGGAAAATATTTTTATACAAATATATTTATTATCTGGATTGGATCTGATAGCAACAGTCAGACCCTTGAAGTATAAAAAACAAAGCTGACAATTATTTTGCTACTTTTATTAATTCATTCAGAGTTAGAATTTACATTCAGTCATTAGCATTCAACCCCATACAGAAACAAGAGCAGTCAGTAGGATAGCATGCTCAACTATTCTAGTAAAACAAGAGCCTGGATAATGTTGAAAGTTAAAAAACGCCATTATTCTGTCAAAATTCACGTCAGAAATATGGGCCTTGGACAGTGACCTCCTGTTTTGCTCTCAGCCTCTCATCCATTCTCTTCAGTAGTTCTGGAGATACCAAATTGCATGCAAAAACCTAACCAAAGTGTATTCCTTATGACAACACCTAGGTGAGTAAAATAGCTCACCCTATTCTTTGAACAGTTATCTATAAACTGTATAAACAAATCAAATTACCAGGGTCCAGCAAGGCAATATAGAGTCAACAGATAGAACATTATTAACATATTATAACAAGATCTGTCAAAAGACAGCAAAATCAATTTTTCTCAGATAAAAGCAATCAGGAGGCATAATTCTGCAAAAGTGCTTGGAAGTACATGCACTACCAATCCTTGATAATGATAATCAAGTTTTTTCAGTATGAAATCTGCTGTGGTCATAGTATTATTATTTTTTTTTACCATAGGTTTAGCTCTTAAATTTGGTTGGCAAATCATGGTCATGCAACTACATAATTAGGTAAAGAAGCAGACACTTGTTTTTGGTTGAGTTTATTATGTTTTGTTTAGGGGGTGAGTTGTCAAACACAAATTTACAATGTATATGCATTTATTATTTTGATATGATTTTTATTTAAGTTCGAAGTGCATATCTTGTGTTTGTTTTTTTTTTTAGAAAATATAGAAAGTATTTTCAGTAAAAAAAAAAGATATATAAGCAAACTTATCTTTTTGGGTTATATGAAAATTATGCTTTCTAGAAATGCATTCAAAAATATAAGTGAACAAGTTTACTGCATGTATGTTTAAAGTGAACATCTACAAATAAACCTTAAGAAAAAATCAACCAATGTTTAAAAGTGAACATCTATGACGGCTTTTCAGAAAAATTCAACCATAAAATTGTGGGAAAAGGGGCACAACTGAGGGAATATCAACAAGGAATTTCAAAATGACAAATATGCTCCCCTAGCAGTCAGAAAAAGTAACCTCACCTATAAGTAAATTGTTATGGTCATAAAATTTATTTCAAAATTTTCTTCAGCTTTAACCTACTGTTTTCATGAACAACTGAAAAGTACAGTGATCCTGTGCACAAGGAGTTTACATTATTATCCTATAAAATTTGGCAGCTATTGGCTTAATGTTCTTGGGAATTTATTGACACCAGTCACTTTATCCCAGACAATATCTTAAATCTGTCAAAGCTTTTCAAAAACAGTCGGTGAAAAATTATCTTAAAAACAGACTGTGTAAAATTAACTCAAAAACAGTTGTGTGAAGTTTGAAATAACACGTGTGAAGTGTGAAATAATAAACTGTTGTGGGATTAAAATTTTCTTTTATTTATTACTCAGAAAAAACAACGCAAACCCTTATTATCTGAGTAAGTACAGAAGTTGGTAAGTCTCAACATTTTCTAACCTAATCATCAATATGAAGATTAACTTTATCCTGTACACGTTTGCAGCCAGTTAATGAAATGTGTCCACTTTTTCCACCCATGTCAACAAAAGACAACTCTTCTAAAACAGATACAATCAATCCTTCATTTGGATCACGTCCCTTTTTTACAAAATCTCTTTCAATGCATTGTTTAACATGTACATCTGTAAGCGGTAAAAATGGAATAAAATGATCAATCAGCCCTTTGCTTTTCATTTCCTCATACCATTCCGATTTACTGCTTTCAAATATTTCATCAAATTCACTCTTTAGAATTAATTCTCTTTCCCTATCCACTAACATCTGCGAAAACAAATAATGATTAATTTGACTTGCCCTTGAATTGCTCAAAAATAATATTACAGTTATAGGCCCCATCTTCACGACACCATCTTTGACTTTTCTTGCATTTCTATTCAATGTTTCAATAACATATTGTATACCTCTAAGGTGATCTACTTCAGCTTTATCTATCTCATCAATAATTATTACATTGACGCCACATTTTGTTAAGTTTCCGAGAATCCACGACTTTATAGCAACGGTACCATTTTCTTGCTCCGTCCCATATCGTGAAATCAAATGTAAAGGTGCAAGATACAATGAAATTTTTGCATTATAGAATGCTTCCGATATGAATTTACTTATGTAGTTTTTACCGATTCCCGTCCAGCCATGGAAAGACAATACCAAGCTTCTTTTCCCGTCTCTTCCTCGAATATTTTTTCTGAAATTTTCCAACGCATCTATCACAGACTTTACAGCAATGTGTTGACCGAATACATTGTCTTCCAATTTATGCCGTAACTTAATTGTGTCCACGTCAAAAACAGAGCACCAGCCAATTTGAAAATATAAATAACCACAGATGCAGGTTGAGGCAAGAATAATTGGAAAAAGTATCAGGAAAGAGGAGTTACACTTATTATTATCAGGTTTCGGCTTTCTGGACTTCCCACCGACGGTGCTTACATTTGATGAACTTTTTAAATCCCTATAAAAAACTGAATCCTCAAGACTAGAATTTTGTGACAGGTTCTTGTTGATGTCCCTCTGTCTAACGGACTCTGACGAAGTAATCTTTGGCAGTTTTGTAAATTCTTTACTCTTCTGACTTGAATATGAAACACCAAAATCACTGTGCCGCTTATTTAGCTTTGAGTTTGTATTATTCAAATCTGAAATGTGAGATGTCAAACTATCAAAACTAATCTTATATTACAACTTATATATGAAAATAATCATATCTTTATGTGCAAAATTTAGGGCAAAAATTTTCATAAAGGAAGTAAAGTAATTGCATCTAGATAATATTGGTCAGTGTAAAGTAGCTATAACATTGGGTGTTCTAAATAGTGCAGACTATATATGTGAGGTCTATGGATTTTTGTTTTGCAAGTCCAGTCTTTATATTAATGCCTATTTAAGGCCATGTTTAAAGCTTTAGTCAATGCACTGGCACTAAAATTTCATCAGGGTACTAAGAATAGGAAGAATGTTTTCTCTCTCTCCCTTTTTACCAATTCTGCAAGGCACCTTTTGCAAGTATCCTGCTGTTACCTCAGCCATATATCAGCTCTGAGAGAAAACAGATGATTATTATCATCATGTGTAGATTCTAACAAGTATTCTATATCATATACTTGTTAAATATTGTTCCAAACCCTCTTCCTGCTGAAGTTATGTAATGAATTTGCCCTACTTTGAGTTTGAATTTGGAACAGTCCATTCAAAGTTTAAGGGATTTCAGTATGAAAATACAACAGTTAAGTTCGAAGTACATTGTAAAGATCTTGAAGCTAGCCTGACTCTATACTAGCGGAAAAGTCTAATCACTTTTGGTTCCAACAGGTTATTGAACTATGTAGTTGATGGTTAAAATAATGAGTGAAATATGAATCAATTTAACAGCGTAACTAAATGATTAACTACTCATATATATTTACCATTATTATGAAAGCTGGTATCAGAATGATCTAGCTCCATTGGCGAGAAACTACAGCTCCTATTTATCTCAGGTCTATCGGTATCATGGTAGGAAGCCACTGTCTTTTGTGAAACCTAAAATAAAGGTTTTATTATTAACAGAATAGTTCTTGTTTTTTCTAATTTGAATTTTAAAGTGGATAATTATGTCTACAGTGGGCACATTTTCCATAATTATTTCAAACATTGATAAAAACTGTAACAATGTACCATTTGGATATTTTATGAAATTTTGCTTGAAAAAAACAAAAAAACTGTAAGTGTTGTAGAATGAACATTGTGTATGATGAATGATAATATTTTGTTATAGAACATTTTATTATCTTCTATACAAATATTATATATGAGATATCCTATCATGTATCTCACGCTTGCCAACAACATCCATGTATAATTCTTGCATTGTTTGTTCATATGTCTGATAGAGCTGTAATCGATAGAGATGATATTGATGTATCATTGATATTTCTCTGTATATACCGTATAGGTGGTATTTTCTGCGGTGACTTTATTTCTGCGTTTTCTGCGGTCAATTTCAGCACCGCAGAAATAAAAACCGCAGAATATTTGTCCATGTTTTTTTTTGTTTTTTTAACGATATGTGTCCCACATGATGACCTGTTTCCTCTAAAGTAATAAAGACTTATGGATTATAATGATTTGTTGTCTGATTTACGATAAACTTCTATCAATTTATTAAATTAAAGATACTACCGATTATATATTTCACACGTCATTTCACGCTGATCAAAAGATGCATACTGTCTATTGTTGCGCATTATATTTGTTTGCAAGCAAACATTAATTATAATTGTTTGCAATTACTATATAATTTTGCGGTAACGATGATGAACAAAATTTTAATGCGAAAGTGTACATGCAAATAAAATAGGTAGAGTAATGTGACTTAGACTTTGATAAGATGAGCCGCAGAATTTAAATCACGTTTTGTCCAAAGAATGTGCCGCAGAAATAAAGTCCGCGGAAATAAAAACATGCCAAAATTTGGAAAAACCGCAGAAAAAACCACTTATAAGGTATACAAGAAATTAGGAGTATGCATTGATATATCGCCGATATTTGTCATCCGATATTGATGTATCGTCAATATGCTTTGCAATGAATCCATGACAGCTCTAAAGTCTAATACTAAATACTATCTAAGTAATTATTCAATACAGACCAATTCACTTTACCTCACAACCAGAGTTGAATTTTCATGCTTTACTGGTAAATACCTCAAATCTTCCTCCATGTAATATTTCAAGCATCAACTCGACAGGGATCAATAACCTACCATAAGCTAGCTGAACTGCTAACTCATGTGACAGCACTAATATAGCACACAGTGATCAGTGACATGTGTTTCAAACTCATCTAGCTATCTGAATCACCTGTGGGTCTGGCTGGTATGGTGCATGCACCTGTGAAGTTTGGACTGAAGCTGTAGGTGAATGGATTTCCGTGTTAAGGTTAAAATTTTATGACAAACAGGTTACGATATGCGTTAAAATAAAATATTGGTCTAGGGGCAAAAAAATCACAAAAATGTTAACAAGTCCAGAAGCCACTTTAATTAAGTAAACTTTCCAAACAAACCCAATTTACCTTCACTTTAGTCTGAGGTGAGAATGACTGCACTTTCTCTTTCAATGTCAAGGACTTCCAGCTACCAGGGTTTGGGGTTGAAGCCACAGGAAATCTTGCTGGAGAGAGTATATGGCTTCTATGACGTGGTGGACTATATTCTTGATGTTTATTACCCCATGATACATCAAAGCTAAAAATATATATATAGTTTAAAAACATAGCATACTAAAAACCAAACAAGGTCATTTCATTGCTCTTATTGGGTAGTATATATGGAATAAATTATAATATAGTATACAATTTAATTTAGGATCAAGAAAATGAACATGTTTAAATCAAACTTATCATATTCTACCTGTTTGTTTTCCTTCTATAGCAGGTACTATTTACACTAACATGAAGTTACAGGTGTCTTTCCCACAGGAAAAGTATCTAAAACCATGCAGTTTTCCTTTTTAATAAAATTCAATTATTTTTTCATTCCCCTTTATCAAAATCCCATGTTATTTTCCCCCACATTTAAGAAAAAATCCACTTTGCCTACCTGTGAAAATAGTGTATTTGTTTTAGTATGACACTATTAATGATAATTTATTTAAAATGGATTGTGAAATAAAATATTTCATCTCTTTATTTTAGCAGCAATAATTACTATGCTCTTAAACATGAGTCAAGTGATACTGGATTTCTGTGTAGTCTGACATTGGCTACTTAAATCTCATTTTCTTACTTTGAAACTCTTGAAAATTAAAATGGTTAGTTCCAAAGTCAAACAGGGCAAGTCCACTTAAAAGTCTGTAAAAATTCAGCAGTGTTAATGTTGTGCGAGTGAGATATTTTCTGTAAACACACCTGAAGTTATGTAAGTTTGCGATCAAATTGGATTCTCCAGATATTTCCATTGCTTCCTCTTCATAACTCATGTTGAACTTGAAAAAAAAAGATGATTAATATAATTGTCAAAAGTAAAAGGTTATTTGTAAGTCTAGTTTGAAATGCTGTTTATAAATTGCTATATACCATGTAGGGATTTTTTTGGCTTATTTTATAGCCGATATTCAGTCATATTCCCAATTGAAAATAGTATATTATTTTCCCAATCCACAGGAAAAAATTCCCAATTGAAAGTTACAAAATAAAAATATTGAATAACAAATTCTAAAATCTTTGAAAATAAGGGCTTCTTCACTGTTATGGTGCTTAAATGTTTGAAGATGCCATCCTAGACATTGATTCTTTGCATTCATTTAATCACTTTGCAAAATTTAATTCATGCATTTTTTCCCAATTTTTTAACAAAACATCGCTGAAATTCCCAATTCCATGGGTATGGGTCTGACATGTTCCCAAAATCCTGGAAAAAAATCCCCCTGCCATGGCATAATAAAATTATGTGTCTAGTAAGTAAATACGACATGCAATACTTAGTATCTTCTGGTATCTGCTTTACAATTGATGATAACAAGTAATGAGAAAGGGCCACATGACATTTAATAGACATTAACCAAAGTAAATGTATTATTCCTTAATTTAATTGCTTGACATCATATATAGTAATACAGCTGATTAAAAAATAACTATCAAACTGTATGCAGTAACCTGATTTATTTTGCAATAAATTTATTTGCATTTGAGTCATTTTCTTTTACAAAAGGAATGTTTTTATGAATTATACATATTCAGTGCAGATTAACAGACTGCATACATGTAGTCCTACTTATTAGACTTGTCAAAGAGACATCAAGATAATTTTTGATGGCGATGTCTTTTTCCAACGGTAACAGTTTGACAGTAAGAAAAAAAGTTTGTAAAATGGGTCAAGTCGTTCATGCCGAATTAATTAGGCTACCAATTTAATTTTGATTAAGTCAGAAAAATCTCTATGATTTACAACACACATCTCCAGGCCTTTCCCCAGGAATTTTGCACGGCACAGGGGCAAGTTTTCGCGAAAACGGGGGTGGGTGTGGGAGGGGTTAGGACCCCTGTCCAACGTTGGAAAATATTTGCTATTTTTATGTTTGCTACATCAAAATCTACTGTATTAAAGAGTCTTCGTAAACAAAAAAGATACCAGGTAAATGTAACATTTTAACAATTTATTACACATAATCATAAAATTAAGAAAATAACACAATGAAAAAAAAATCATTTTATAAACAATATATGAGCCGCGTCATGAAAAACCAACATAATGGGTTTGCGACCAGCATGGATCCAGACCAGCCTGCGCCTCCGCGCAGTCTGATCAGGATCCATGCCGTTCGCTTACAAACCCTATAACAAGTAGCCAAACTGATAGTGAACAACATGGATCCTGATCAGACTGCGCGGAGGCGCAGGCTGGTCTGGATCCATGCTGGTCGCAAACCCACTATGTTGGTTTTGTCATGACACGGCTCATATATATTAAACTGTTTATCTTCACAGTCACTCTTCATTGTTTAAAACTGAAATTAGTGTGAACATCAATGCAGAAACAAAACAAGATGCTGACCCATTGAAAAAAACAGCCTTACAGGTGTCTCACTAGGATTTTCAAAATAGGAGTTCTGAGACTTCCAAGCCAGAAAAAGTAGGAGTCCCAAATAATGTAGACTATGCTAAGCCATCTTTGTTGCATTTATGCAATTGATGTATATGATGAATAAACAGAATAAGGGATGAGGGAGTCAGAATTTGAACAGATAAAAAAGCTTATTTAGGAAAATGGTAATACTCCAAAATGGGAAACCCTGTTTCATAAAAGTGATAGAAAAGATCTGATATATAATTTCTAATACCCAACATTTTCAGATAATTATGCTGTTTTCTTCCTGATTCATCCCCCCCCCCAAAGAATGTGAAACTGGCAAATATCTCCATCTAAACTAATGTAAGCAATACCTTAAGTAATTTTAATTCATAAACTACATTTTAAGTGTTATTACACACATTCTAACCAAACATAGCTTCATTTTGGCCTACCTTTTTTAATTAAAAAAGCGACATCGCGAAAATATGTGACAAATGAAATTTTGTCTGTTTTCTGCAAAAACATTCACATTTCTAGTTGTTGTTGATTTGGATTATATCATATCAAATATTTTTTAGTATTTTAAGATTTTATGCATCGGAAATTTCAAGAAACATCATAAAACAAAAACTTAAAATTTGTAATATACGGCAAAATTGCTGATGTAACTTTTGGAAGAGACAGGTTCTTTAACAAATTTCTTTGCATCACAGGGAACTTATTATCAAACAGCTCATTGATATTTTTAGCTTCTTGAAATTTTATTAGAATATGAGGACTGACTGTAACGAAATATATCTCGGACAACTTGAATTTTATTAATCCATGACCGAGGACTGACGGATTTTCGCACAGACTGATTATTAATTGCACCCTATAAACAACCTGTTAATCTGTTATCACACGCACTGATTGATGACAGCTGTGTTGTTTATTGATTAATCATGGAGGCCGATTCTGCAAGTGCTATACAAATTTGTAAACAAGGATTGGAAAATCAAGCGCCGCGGTGACTTTTATGGCACAGCCGTCACATTGATTTGGAAATTAAGGCACAGCAGGAGCGCGGTGCTGAAAGCACCTGGGGAAAGGCCTGCATCTCATCTGGCAATTAAATAATGTCAGTTTGTCATTTATCAATTTACATAAATTAATATTACCTTATACTTTTCTTTACAAGATATTTTACGTGATGATTGACAGTACAAATGAATGACTAAATCACTTAATTTAACCAAGTGTATATATTTGACACTTTTTGTTATATTTGCCTTTCAATGAGTATATGAGGAATATCAAAAAGACATTAATAATTAATTATACAGTACACCTGTGCCCATCAAATGAAACTATCAGAAGATCATAACTATGATTTTATTTAAACAGTTACTCATCCAGGAGCTTTAGGATACACGTGTTACTTAAGGTCATTACAACCTGTGTAGCTAAAAATAATCATGATGAAATATGGACCAAAATTGATTGTTTTATTCCATGTTTATAGGGCATAATATGCAGCCTTTGATTTAATTTATACCATACAGTGCCATATTTATCAGCAGTTTTTCTATTTCTAAAGGTACATGTTACAAGGATAGCAAATTACCAAATGTGTATAACTTATTGACACTCTAGGTCACGCGTCAGTAAACATATTAATGACCTGCTGATCTGGCCGAAGACGATTTTTTTGTGAAAAAATTAATTATTTCCCTTGAAAATCATTTCAATTTTTTATACCAGTATCCCAACATCTTATTGTGACTTACGAAACAAGACGTCTCGAAACTATCCTCTAAATAACCGATATGTGGATTTTATTTAAGTATTACAAAACAACCTCTAACGGTGTAAACAACTTAATATTGGACTTTACTTTCAAAATCACAAATGCGGGAAAATCTTAATACTCCCAGCGCTTTTTAATTATCAAGCGTCTGTTCAACTGCCATTCGATCTCATTATACTCGACCCAATTGATTTTTGGCCCAGTTTTTCCAGTTAGACCATTTGGATTTTTTTTTCAAACTAAATAATTCACATATGATTAGAAAAAAAACTAGTTTAAAAAAAGTAATGAATCAGGTAGCAGATAATCTAAAATAATTTGAAAGACCATAATATTAGCTCTTCCAAACACTATTTGATCTTTTTTTTAAATTGTGTACTTAAACTACATAAAACATATGGTCAGTTGCTTTACATAAATCCATTATATCAATTTAGTGTCGCCCTGTCTGGGCGTGTGGTCTTATGCACTAGTAGTGCACATGGTGTTTTCATCTTGTTAAGATTGGGAAGTTAAGTATGAACTCAACGGTAAATTACCGTGAAGATAAACACGAACGTCAATACAAAGCACATACATTGATCGAGGATATTGGCGAGCATATTATTATTTTAGACAACGAGTTCAATACATTCAGTGATGAACCTACACGAATATAATATTCTATTTATCACATATCAAAAATAAAGTCAATTTAAAGTAAAAAAGAATCGTTTTTTATTGACGAGCTAATATACATGTACATGTAGTGTTATGATGACATTTATAGCGCGTCTTTATTACACTATGTTTGCATAACGCAAATGACGTCACGTACGGCCGTGCAATACCAGTTTTTACGGAGTCGCAAAAGTGGCACGAGTATGTGATCTAGATAGATGATATTGAATGAGTGTAGTTTAATACTAAATTTATTGAACGAGTTGAATAAAATCATATTATGCAAGCCTCTGGCGAGCATAATATTGTTTTATTCAACGAGTTCAATAAATTTAGTATAAAATCTACACGAATATAATATTATTTTTTATCACATACATAAAATAAGAATGGTTAACTTTTAAAAAATAGTAAAATTTTATTCAACGACACGCTTATTATGTAATGCTAACATTGCCGCGCTTTAACGCTATGTTTCTATATAGCACAAATGATGTCACGTCAAAGTGTTATTACATTACTGTAGTGTAATATCGTTTTTATCAAATGGCTTTATTACACTCCTGTGTCGCGATTTATGTGATAAAAAAGATTTAGACTATATGAAAATAAAGATTAAGGAGGGAGAAAAACGTTCACGAAATGCAGCCCCAAAAATATCAAATATCAATTAATGGCACTCATGGATGTGGCACAAAATAGGCAATTAAGGGAGCACAGGGCGGACCGTGCCAGGGCTGACTATATGTTTGGACGGGGCAGACCATATTTTGGGACAGGGCGGACTGTGAGACACTGTGGGCAGCACGAAATACCCAAATATACCCAAATACACCCAAATATTGCCCAAATATACCCAAATATTGCCTAAATATACCCAAATATTGCCCAATTATACTAAAAATAAATGTTTTATAGTAAAAAAGTGTTGTTTTAATCATGAATACAATATACACTTTCACTAAGATATAATCAAACATACCCAAATATACATTTTCCTATCATTGTGTTTTGAAATAAAATATGTACAGTATATGTACTCCAGTAAAGCTATTTTTTTTAATAACATGGACACTTGTATATGATATGAAATTTCAACAAAATTTAACCTTAAAAATGTAAGTGTAGACAACAAATATAACATCTTGATTTAAAATTGCAAGTAAATTCATAAAGAACCTATATAGTAGATTATAAGCAAATGTCACACCTTTATTTTCTTACAACATCTCAACGGAATGAATGAAAGTTATAGCAGGCTAAGTCATATTATTTTATAAATATTTATTTAATTCTCACTATAATCTATATTTTAAACAAACAAAAATACATATTGCTGTATTTGGGTATATTTGGGTATATTTGGGTATTTCGTGCTGCCGGACACTGTCCCTAATTCGCTAGTTTTAAACAAATACATGCATATTATTTATATTAGCACCAGTCCTTAATTGGGACTTCCATGAAGATATTATGAACTTTATTAAACTCTATAGCTAGCACTTAAAAGTGCTTAAAATTTAGGGAACTTTCGCTGTGTATATAATTTTCGCCCATTTTTCTTTTTTAAGTAAGCACAAGAAAAATGTTTGATTGGATACAAAATGGCGGCTAAGGTTGTTGGAATTTGTTAATTGGCAAGTTTTTTTAGAATATTTTGCTTAACAAGCTATGTGATTAACAATTCTTGTACTGTAAGCATGTGCTACAAAGTAAATATTTTAGAAAAATGGATACATTCAACGTTGTATTGCGTTAGAAATGCACATAATCGTACAAAAATGCGTGGATAACATATAACCTGATAACTGTAATTTAAATAAACGCGATAATAAATGGTTTTGAGTTGAACTGAAACACTTTATAACGGGTGTACACTGTTACTAGTGTTATCAAATTTATTACTAAATTAACGACTTAGTTGCATTCAAAGTAATTCCACTTAAAATTCCCAATATGAAAATTTACAAACATGTATGATAATTCATTACACTTGCATCCAACTGTCCAATGAAAGGCTAATTTAAGGCATCTCCCCAATTTCTGTATAAATCCCTGATGCATTATATATAAGTAATCAAATAGATTGTTGATTTTTGTAAAGTGTACTGTATTGATGTTAAAACTAAATATAATGTGGTATTTCACAGCTGTTTCAATAAATTCAATCTGGGAAAATTGATTGGCTTTACAAAGAAAAACAAAATAAACTTATCTTTAACAAAAAAAATTTTCAAAGGAGTAAATAATTCAAAGCATATTGCGATAACTTTTTTTAGATATGGCAATCACTTGATATGGACAAATTATTAAACATTTTAATATTGGTAGCAGACAGTGACAGAAATGGAAAATAATCAAGTCAATATAAAAAATTCCAGCAGGTTAAACAGAAAATACAAAAAAAATGTGTCAATCAAAAGTGTAGCTTTGATAGTAATTGGCACAATTGTATCTTCATTAATTGTTAATTCTTTTATTCAGGAATGTCAAATGTGACATCATAGGAGGTAGGGAATCCAGCTTCAGCCATGGATAGGGGTGGGGGCTATGGCCAATCCCTGGCCCACAGTTTTAGCTTACCAAGCTTGGTAGAAGGGTCTGAGCCCATTAGTGAGGCAGAGGAATTTGTAGAGGTAACTTTGTGACTTTATGATATTACTGGTCTGTTTTACAGAGAGGCATGTATTTTGCATTTTTAAAAAAAATTATGCAGTTTAAATCTATATAAGATGATAAATTATATTTTAAGCATATACATGTAGTCAGTTTTTAAATACAGTGTAATCTCTGTAGAATGGCCCACTGTAGAGCAACAAGTCCCTGTAAATTTTAATTGCTCTTCAGAAATTGTACTGTAGATACAATCATATTGATATCTATTTACCATTAAATAAATTAACAGTTTGATGCAGATGATGCTTATACATTATACATGTTTTTGGGTAAATTTAAACTATCTGTTAAGTTGGAGTTTTTTTTTATAGATGAAGTCTTTGAGAGAAAGAGGGGACAAGGCACTGAAAGTTAAAGATTTCACAGGAGCTATTAAATTCTATAATGAGGCGTTGGAAATAGATGAACAGAATCCTGATGTGTTGTTGGCTCGGGCAACTGCGTGTATTGAGATGGGAGATTATATCAGTGCCCAGAGAGATACAGAATTCCTGATTTCCCAGGACTCGGAAAATCCCCAGGTAACCTTAAGAATTTTATTGACCATTGTGCAAGGATACTCTTTTGTTCACCTGAAAAAAATTGTTTATCTGTTATTAGTTTTACATTTTGATTCATGTTTAATCAAATAAAGTACCCTTTATAGAGTGGCATATTTATTCTACTACACAGATGCATGTTATAAAAATGGTAATAAAATTAAAAGATTTCAGGGAAAAAATGAAAAATGTTTCATTTTCCACTTTCTATGGAACAAACTCACTTTTACTGAATGATTAGATTTAAGACTTAAGAATAAAAAAATGAAAAGTGAAGAAATTTCATTAGTTTATGTTCCAGCTAAAATAATAAATGTTGGTTCTATACACACATCTTCATGTGAGTGAAGTATGGTTGAAAATAGATTTTTCTCTTTTTGACAGAGTGAAATAAAAAGTTACAAAATGATTTGGCTATTGAAAAAGTAAAAATTCTTTGTTATTTATTCTTAAAATAAATACATATTATTTTTGTAGGCATACAAAGTTCAGGGTCTTGCCATGAAATACCTTCATCAGTATAAAGAAGCCTTGACCTCATTTCTCACTGCACTTGACCTTGACCCAGATAACACTGATGAACTAACTGACCTTATAGCAGATGTTGCTGCAACATTTTGCAATATACCTGAGGAAACTAGGAGTGCACTAAGAGGTAGGCTTTATTTAATTATGATTTCTCCCGAATTATCACAAGTAGTAAAGCAAGTTGTCAAACAAGTATTCTCAAAATTATGAGAGGGGTTTAAGTGGTAAAAGCTGTCACATTATCTCATTGGCATTGTCACTGAAATCACATTTGCTATTACTGCTGTATGCCAGACTCATGTTAGGGTCTTCAAATTTTCATGTGAAGAATATCTCACCCTGGTTTATGGATTGTTGCTAGTGCTACTTTTTTGCTTACTTGTACCTCTGGTAACTGCATAGAAGGTATAACACATCCTAATTATAATACACAAGTAAAGCTGGAAAGTTTTCATATTCATTTAAATTGTTATAATCTGCAAACTGCTGGCATATTTTTTTAAAATGTAGCTACTGCCAACTGTCTTAAAAATGTTCCAAACAATTGAATTGCATATAAAGCGTATTATTTAAAATGTTCTGTTTCTTATATTGTAGATATGGACTCATACAAAAAGTTAAGTGAAGTTGGTGTGAGTTTATTCCAAGCAAAAAAATACAAGATATGCATCAAAATACTTGACACTGCCCAGAAATTTCAGACCAATCAGAAGGGAATAACAATGAGAATCCTCCTTACTTCGGCAAATGCACACTCGGCACTGAAACATACAGAAAAAGCCATCAGTCTTTATCAAGAATGTCTTCAAACAGCTATCGCTACTCATGATCAAATTTATCAAACAAAAGCTTTGGTAAATATTGCTACACTGTACCTGGAAAACCATGACACTCATCAGGCAATAATATACTATGAGAAGTTATTGCATTTGGAGGCAGAGCTTATTTTGGAGACAGGAAGTGAAGATGTTTTGCCAGATTTCTGGACGAGGGAACTCCAGTGTGGTTTACATCTAAATCTTAGCATTGCATACAAGGCCATTGGAAACATGAATGCAGCAATTAAGCATGCCCAAAAATATGTGGTATTCATTGAGAAATATAATTTTCAAGGAAAGTTGAGGGCAGAGTCTTATCATAATACTGGGATGTTGAATGAAATTTTAGGCAACTATAACAATGCTATTAAAAACTATAACAAATATTTAGAGGAGGGGAAAAAGAATGGGGATAAAAAAGGCATGGCCCAAGCATATGGATGTCTTGGTAGTGTGTATGCAGCATTACAAAACTGGAAACTTTCTTTAACATACCATGAGCACTACGTTACCATGGCAACAAGGTTCGAAGACAAACGTATGAAAATTATTGCCAACGAAATGTTGGCTGATACATTAATGTTAAAAGGGGACTATGAAAAGGCTGCAAAAGCTTATGAAGAGATGATAAATAGTTGTATCAGAACAGACTACAGAACTCGTGCAACTGGATTGTGTAAAATAGGTCACGCATATCGTGCTTTGAAGAAAAATCAATATAGTTTATACTTTTATGAACAGGCATCAGAGCTAGCGGAAGATTTTGAATTTCCTGAAATCGAAACTTTGAGCCATTACAATATTGCTTGTATTCACCAGCAATCAACTCAAATGTTGGAGTTGGAAAAAGCACTGAAATATTTTCAGCAGCTGGTTCCGTATTATGAGACAAAAATAAGAGAACATATGGTGGAAGGTAGTCACTGCCCAAAGGAATACGGGGTCCAGCTAAGTGAATGCTATGATGGAATTCAGACAGTTCATGCAAAGCTGGGAAATAAAGATGAGTGCCTGCAGTTTGCAGAGGCGTACAGAAAACGTACGTTAACAACAACACATAATTACCAGGCATCGGCAATGACAAGTCAGAGTCATACGGCACCATGGGACATGTGGTCTGCCGAGAGAATGGGTCGTGTCGTGTCTCAACAAAATAGGTTATTTTATATTGTTGATGTTTTTTGTTTAAACAATTTTGATTTTTGCTTTAAATGTATAAAGCTGTACTAGGCTGTCAGTGATAATCGTTAAAATGTTTGTGTGTAGTTTAATCAAACCAGTTAGATAGGTTGTGATTTATTTTTTTATCCTTTAGATAAGCTGATTTTTTTTTTTAAATTCTTACAACTGTTTTGTTTCCAATTATTGATAATTTTTCCCTTTTTTAATTCATCTACATGTATAAGATCTACTAAAGATGATTGAAAAAGTCTTTTATTTTATTTATCTAAATGTATTTTAACAAAAATTGATTTAAAGATTCTTTAAGAACTTTGATGAAAAATTATACATATATACTGAAAATATTCATGACATAATCATCAAAAATTATTTTGGAAAAATGCAAATTCAGAAAATTTAGTTCTTTTCTCAGTCACTGTCACGATAGTTATTCTTGATCATTTGTTTAGACGATTGAAACCCCATCAAGAATAATAATTATTTATAATACCATATTTCAGCACTGTGCTGTATTATTCACTGTTGTCAGAATACCTGTTACTGTGGGTACTTCAGCCAGGGACGGGGCTTGTGCGCTTCTACTCCAAGAAGGCTGGTAAAGAGGAAAATATGATTGAGACAGTAAGTTTGAATCCTATATCCTAATGTACATATATGTTTCTGATGATTGAACCTTCTACACCCCTAAATTAGGTTTCTTGTGGTTGTGATAGTAAGTTTAGAACATTCTAGACTCTAATATATAAAATGTATATGTTTCTTATGGTTGAGACAGTTAAAGTTTGGAGCATTCTTTAAGAACCTTTAAAAAGTTTTCTTGTGCGTCATAATTGGGTCTACTTTTAAGTTTGCCTGAAAGAAGATTGGTGTTTTGGTAGAGCACCACATTTAACTGGAAGTTGTGAGCTCAAATTTTACTAGAAGTTGATCAATAGTAAAGCTTGTTTTAGAATGGTCTATGTACAGGGTCAATACTTATTATTCTTTCTTGTATTTCATTTGCTGAAAAGAATGTAGGTAATCTATTGTTCAACCAGTATTTCTATTATAAAACTAAAGTAACTGTAACTTGGCTTTGTTAAAAGTAAATGATAAATTTTGAAACCTTGTTTCTGAATGTAACTATTTTGTTTTGTCAGGTTGAGGGATTATTGAAAGAAGTGAACAAGGGATGTAACTGGAAGCAAATGACTACACTTTGTGAGAATAAAGCTTTACCGCTAAAATCAGGCGAGCTTGAGATGACCAGAAGGAAGTATCTGAAACTTAGTGAGTCATCTCAAAAGTCTGAGGATACAGCTGAGGAAAGCAAAAAGCTTGAGAACGAGAAAAAGTCTGAAAAAACTGTTGAAAGAAGGCTTTATGATTTATTGTTTTCACCTATTGAAGATATACTCTCTAAACTGCCTAAAGAAAGTCCATTGATAATCGTACCTGATAAAGCGTTATATAGATGTCCGTTTAACTTACTTCAGGACTTCCTTAATCGATATGCATTTAAGAGATTTCGCATCACATACTTGCCAAATTTGTTACTCCTAGATAAGGTAGTGGCAAATGAGTTGAATCATCTACGTTTAAAAGACGAGCTGGATTTTTCAAGGCAGGTTCATAAAAAGGGAGGACTTCTTAGCTTGACAAATAAATACTTAGGGACGGACCTAGGCGGTGCACCTTCAGTCAGATCATCCGGCATGGTTGCGGACATAAATGCGAAGCATCTGTCACATCCTAGGTTGCTGACTCGACCACCTCGGACACCAATGGTGCCACCAAAACCAGGGCATCTACCAACTCAACGGACCATGTATGAGGAAGATTTCAAGAAACACTCACAGTGGAAATCACCAAGGACTGGCAGAGGTAAACAATTTGTTTGCAATCAAAATAAAAAAATCATGTGTGAATTCTGTCCACCATTTAGTCATAAACATTTATAAAAGTAAACCCAGTATCCTAAGTTAGTATGATTTTTACTTTTTATATGATTTTTTGTTGAAATAACATGATTAAACTTTTACAGTTACTTTAGATTCAAAACTTCACATGATAAAACTACGTAAATAATATTTGTGGTTATTTCACGATACAAAAAATATGGTGCTGGGAGACAGACATTACATAAAGAAAGAAATAAATGTGAAAGGTGCCTTCTTTTCATGTATTTACAGTTTATTTTATCATTAATCTATCATGCTGTGTTTAATGCCGTTCTTTGTATCTTAAAGCATTATTTATTGCAGCACCTCTAGATTCTTTCCGTGACTCTTACCGTAGTTCTCTTAATACAAACCGGACACTAGCTGCTCAGCCAACATTAGACCGAATGTTCAGTATTGGTTCATTTACAACAATCACCACGGAAACATCAACAGGAACTGACATAACAAGTTCAACCTGCACAGTGACGAAGTTTCAGCAAGTTAGTTGTCAAGATCGTTGTCTTGTCTTCGCCAATCCAAAACTGCCAGAAAGGTAAACCAGTCTGTTGACACTTTAATAAAATAAAATGAGGTTTGGAACCAGTCTTTGAATTTTAATTGGTTGAATGGGTAATTAATTTTTAAACATTTTGGTTTTATGACGAAATTAAATTTTTCTCCTTCAAAATTAACTTCGTAGTTATAATCATGACTGGTCTGTGTAGACATACCACAACCTGTACACACATCTTGCACATCTTGAATATTCTTTTTTTCCATGAAACTTGCTAGTAATATGAGAGATAGTGAGTTACAGGTAGTTATACATTCAATCATGAATTTTCATGAATATATATAATTTCAAGGTATTTAGACTCTTAAACAGGTAAATAAACAAAAATTCTGTGTGAAAGGAAATAATCTGTCTGTAAATGCCTACAAAATATTTGTCAAACCAGGCAATGAAAACTGACAGTGTATAAAAAAAAAACAGAAAAAAGGCGTATAAAGCTATATTTCTGCTACCAAATTATTTTGAATATTCCAAAATACCAATATGAAAGAAATATGTTTGTATCTTTCCATAGAAGCACAAAATCATTGCTAGAAAGATACAACCCTACTTACAGAAGTATAATATTTTGTTATGGAACATTTTATACTGTGTACATAGAACAATTTTTATGCGGGTAAAATTACAGAGAAAATTTATGTTTCAACTTTTTTTTAGCTTTAACCAAAAGATAATAGAAGCAACATAATTTTACTGTTTAAAAATTCATAATTTTTTTTTAATTAGATATAGCTTTATACCCTTTAGTCAAAGCTATTATTTAATAAAGGATCTATTTGTCAGCAACCTATCTATCAAATAAGGTATTTAAATAATAGTAATATATTGAATTACTAAATTTCAGCCTAATGTTGCATGATAAAGTATGGAAGCCGAGTCTGGAAGAATTATCCTCGGCAAAAAGAGAGGCACTGAATGTCGCCACATTATTAGATGTTATACCAATATCTGGACTGGATGCTACTAAAGAAAGGTTCCTGAAAGAAATAGAGAGAGCTTCTGTAGTGCATATTGGTCAGTGATAAATTTATGCTTTGTTGATATTGAATAAGAAGACTAAGGGTCCTAACCCTGTCTTAAATTTCATAGTTGTTTTCAGAATAATGTGATATAAGTTCTTAAACCTTGACATGCTGAATTTATGTAATGGGTTTGCCCAGCTTTGAATTTGGAACTGTCCATTTAAAGTTTAAGGGATATCAACATCAAAATACAGGAATAAAGCAACCAACTGTATAGAGGCTGGTCATAAACTTCCTGGATGTTAATGCTGAGTTGACTATACTAAAGGCAAAGGCTTGATTTCAGCAGATTTAGGGGTATAAAAATAAAGGATGACATAGTCTGCTTATGTCATTGTTCATTAGAACCTGTAAAAAAGATAATGTTTATATATTTTTATATAATAGCTTTATCTCAATTTGAACAGGTACATACGGATGTTGGCACGAAGGGTTGATAGCATTTGCACCATCCCCGGTAGATGCTGGTGAAGGTATACCCACGGAGGACTCGTATCTGATTAGTGCTGATGACATTCTGGGACTCAAACTTACAGCCCAGCTTGTGGTACTCAATATGGGCTATAACCCCTACAGGAAGGAATGTATACAATCAGGATATCTTCTACCCAGTGCATTTATTGCTGCAGGTGAGTGAACTAGACATAGCTCAATGTTACACCCTCAACAATTGAGAGTGTTATACTTACTTTTTTCACAACTTTAAACCCTTTCCATTTCATTAGTTTTAACATAAAATGATAAATTTATAAATCCATCTTTTTTAAGGACTGGGTCTCATTAGAAGCATATGACTTACAACTTCATTAGAAATTTTAGTGGGAAAGCATTTTGCTAGGGATATTTTACTTATTTGTCATAGATGATTTTTTTTAGCTTGTGATAGACAGATGCTATTTCGAATGTTCTTACTTTATTCCTGAAATAACACATGACATCACATCATGACACAGGATATGAAAATCTTGAACGCACACCACTACTGCCATTTGAACTAAGCAAGATTAATATGACCTAAAATGCAGTACGGAAAATATTGTAATAATTTTGCATCAACTGACGCTATTTATAGAATAAATACTTCACAATATTGTCATGTTTGTTTCAGGTGCTCAGTGTGTTCTCACAAACATGTGGCCACTACCGGACATTGCGGTGGAGAAGTTTTACACCAGTTTTTATCTCGCCTTACAAAGTGGAGCTCAATCTGCCACGGCCATCTCTACTGCCATTGAAGCTCTTAAAAATGATGACAGGTATATATTTGTAACAAATTTCAGTATTGTACTTGTGATCAAATAAGGTTTTTATGCTCCCCGAAAAATTTCGGGGGAGCATATAGTCGGCGCCTTGTCCGTCTGTCCGTCCGTTGTCTTGTCCGGAGCATAACTTGAAAACCCTTGGAGATGATTTGTTGAAACTTCATACAGTGGTAGAGGGCATTGAGGGGGAGTGCAGTGTCAAAGAACCATAACTCTATTTTGCCTGGTTTTTGAATTATCTCTCCTTATAGAAAAATCTTGTCCGGGGCATAACTCTAAAACTATAAGAGATATCAACATGAAACTTTGTAGGTGAATAGATCTCAATAGGTAGATGTGCAGTGCATAAGAACAATAACTCTTTTTGTCCTAATTTTGGAGTTATTGCCCTTTATTAATTTTAACACTTAAAACTTTGTTCCGGAACATAACTCTAAAACTATAGGAGATATCAAGATGAAACATTGTAGGTAGATAGATCTCATTGAGTAAAGGTGCAGTGCAAAAGAATCATAACTCTGTTAAGCCTCATTTTTGAATTATCTCCCCTTTTAGAAAAATCTTGTCCAGGACATATCTGTAAAAGTATAAGAGATATCAACATGAAACTTTGTAGGTAGATATATCTCAATGGGTAGATGTGCAGTGCACAAGAATCATAACTCTGCCTTGCCTAATTCTGGAGTTCTTGCCCTTTGTTTATTTTTACTTTTTGAAGTTGTCCGGGACATAACTCGGAAATCATAAGAGATATCATCAAGAAACTTTGTAGGTTGATAGATCACATTGATTAGAAGTGCAGTGCAAAGAACAGTAACACTGCCTTGCCTAATTTTGGAATTATTGCACTTTGAACTTTTTCCGGGGACATAACTCTGAAACTACAAGAGGTGTACTTTCCTGTGTCCAAAACCTATTCGGGGAGCATCACCCGGCTCAAACCGGGCTCTTGTTTGATTTATTTTTCAGGCATGTGAATTCTATGAAATGTTCGTAATTCAAAATGTATGAGAAACCCAAGTTTTAAAAATATTTAAACATGAAAGAGTATATTTTTTTCTTTTGATTTGTAGGTACAATGACCCGTTGTATTGGAGTGCCTTTGTTTTGATAGGAAAGGATGTGTATGTAAACCTGAGTGAGATTAGGCATGCAATGTTAGATCAAAATATTGACCAATCAGAGGCTGAGATTGAGGAGGAGACTGGCAAAGAATATTTGAATCCTAAACCAGTCCTGGCACCAGGTACAGTTTTCCTAATTTAAGGTTACCAGAACACTGGATCTTTGTTAAAATGTTTGTTTCCGTTGATAAGATGGAACTAAAACAATATTTGACTTGATTCCTGATTTGTTTTGGAAGCATATGATAACTGTCTGTTGAGAGTTTAAGGGATTTAGATAACAGTTTAAATTAATGATGTTATTCAGCCCTGTCAGACTGTATAGATTTCCTGTCCTGCCATACTGTATACCAGTAGAATAGACTAGTCACATCACTGCAAATACAAGGGCAATAGGATTGTATAAATTATGTTTGGTTTTTATCACAGGTTCTTGAAAAGTTTTATAGATAATATGTATGTTTTACTTGTGGAAGACAAGGACCATTTCTGATATGTTGGATTATAAGTGTTGGCAGAGAATCCAGCTAATAATTTTTTGACTGAATAGTGTTATAAGTATAAGCTTATATCACATAAGCCACGAAGCAGGAATGTAATAAACCAATTTAATAAAATAATTTGATGTCACTTGTGATGCCATTTTCATCATATACAAACATAGCATTAAAACACGCTAATAGTAGGGTAACGGGTGCGTCAATGAAAAATGAATCTTTTAGCTGTAAACCGAAGGCTTGCATAATATGCTTTATTCAACTTGTTCAATAAATTTAATATTAAATCTACACTATTCTACAATATTCTCTATATATATTATTTATTAGTCCCCTACCGGTTTAACCGGAGGGGACTTTAGGTTTACCCTCCGTCCGTCTGTCTGTCCGCACTACCGAATAGGGATAGGGGGCCATCTAACTGTAAACAGAACAAAAGAGAACAATAGAGTTCATTCCGTAACAATAGAGTAAGGGGCCATTGGCCCTCTATTAAACAGTAGAAAATAACAAAAGAAATGGCCCCTTATTCCATTTCGGCCGGACCTCCGTCTGTCTGTCAGTCCGTACAAATCTGGATCCTGCGATAACGCAAAAAGTACTGAAAATACTTTTATGAAACTTGATATATGAATAGATAGCAGTATGGAGATTATGCACATCTTTTTTTTTCTTCCTATGTTGAAAATTCTGGTTGCTATGGCAACAAATAGTCTGAAAATAGTGCAAATTTAAAACATAAACTGGATCCAGTGATAACTAAAAAAGTACTGAAAATATTTTTATGAAACTTGAAATATGGGTAGATGGCAGTCTGGAAATTATGCACATCTTTTTCTTTTCTTCCTATGTTGAAAATTCTGGTTGCTATGGCAACAAATAGTCTGAAAATATGGCAGATTTAACACATAAACTAGATCCAGTGATAACTCAAAAAGTACTGAAAATATTTTTTTTAAACTTGAAATATGGGTAGATGGCAGTCTGGATATTATGCACATCTTTTTCTTTTCTTCCTATGTTGAAAAATCTGGTTGCTTTGGCAACAAATAGCCTGAATTTCAAGATTTCTGATTCAAATTTTTCAGCTTTTTCACTATAAGTTCTTTATTTCTTATGGTGTTTACTTCAAACTTTAGATATAAGTTTCTGTTCATCAACCACATCATATGTGACAAGGTTTACAACTCTAGTACAAAAATTATCAGTATTACCTCCCTTGAACTTAGAATTTTTATGAAAAAAATGTTTTTTTTTTTTTTTAAAATAACTTCTTTATTTCCTAATGTATCTACTTCAAACTTCATATATATGTTTCTTATTATCACTCAACATTTTTGAGAAGGTTAAATACTCTAGCAAGACTATTTCCAGAATTATGTCCCCCTTGAACTTAGATTTTTTTCGAGAAATTGGTTTTTTTCACTCCAACTTCTTCATTCCTTATAGGATTTACTTTAAAATCCCACATTGTAATAATATGACAAGGTTGTATAAACATAATTTCCTTACTAGGCAGGGAAACTTAACACATTACTGTGATATAGACAAACTTAGAACTCGAAAGATTTATAAGTTCATTCATGTCATTCATTCACTGGTAAAATTGAATGGCCAATGGCCCATCAGAATGTTGCTGGGGTTCTAACCGGTAGGGGACTTATGGATTGCTTGCAATACTATGATAATTGCTTGTTAGTCCCCTACCGGTTTACTGGAGGGGACTTTAGGTTTACCCTCCGTCCGTCTGTCCGTCCGTCTGTCTGTCAGTCCGTCAGTCCACAAAACTGGATCCCACGATAATGCGAAAAGTACTGAAAATATCTTTATGAAACTTGGTATATGGATAGATGGCAGTATGGAGATTATGCACGTCTTTTTCTTTTCTTCCTATGTTGAAAATTCTGGTTGCTATGGCAACAAATAGGCTGAAAATATGGCAGATTTTACACATAAACTTGATTCAGTGATAACGCAAAAAGTACTGGAAATATTTTTATGAAACTTGACATATGGGTAGATGGCAGTCTTGAGATTATGCACGTTTTTTTCTTTTCTTCCTATGTTGAAAATTCTGGTTGCTATGGCAACAAATAGGGTGAAATATGGCAAATTTTACACATAAACTGGATCCAGTGATAGCGCAAAAAGTACTGGAAATATTTTTATGAAACTTGACATATTGGTAGATGGCAGTCTGGAGATTATGCACGTTTTTTTCTTTTCTTCTTATGTTGAAAATTCTGGTTGCTATGGCAACACATAGACTGAAAATATGGCGAATTTTACACATAAACTGAATCCAGTGATAACTCAAAAAGTACTGGAAATATTTTTATGAAACTTGATATATGGGTAAATAGCAGTCTTGAGATTATGCATGTCTTATCTGTTCTTCCTATTTTGAAAAAATATCAGTTGCCTTGGCAACAAATAGGCTTAAAACATGGCAAATATAACAATATTTGTGATTAGTCAAAAAGAGCTGAAAATTTTTATGAAATTGCATCTTTAATTCTCCTCTTTAAGAATTTTTTGCTTTTAAAATGTTATATTTTGGTAACAGGGATGTTTCAAATATTAACTTTAGAGTGTCCTTCAGTCCGTCTGTCTGTCTGTTCATAAAAACTGTTTCCTGTGATCACTTTTAAAGAACTTTTCCAACAAATTTACTTAAAATAGAGAAAAATTGAAACATTAGTGAATGGCCAAAATTGGCCCCTCAGAATGTTGATGGGGTTCTAACCGGTAGGAGACTTATGGATTGCTTGCAATACTATGATAATTGCTTGTTTTAACTAATTTGTGATGAGAACCACTGGTGAGTCTGATATTAGGAATTAACCTATCTTGGTGTCATATAGATAAGGAACATGGTTCTGATGATGGTACTGCTCAAACTCTTGATCCCTGGGTTGAGAGGCAGACACCTAAACCAGTAGACCACTACTCCCCTTACCATAAATGTGGGGAAGACCAGTTAGTTTATGATCTGATGGTGTTTTCTTGTATTGTCTTGTTTGTATGCCATCTTGTCAAAAACAATTATACTTTCCAAAATGTCATGTTAATTATATTAACATTTGATTTTTAATGTCATACTGAAAGAAGCAAATAGCAACAACAACAACAAAATCCATAAAATGTTGTAAACATTTCATAGTTTTTTGTAAATTTTTTCAGTGAAGAAAAAGGATGAGAATCTTCATGAGTTACAGCGCCACCTAGGAACATTGTTACGTAACCATGCCAAACAGCCACAAGTCTTGTTTGATCTCGTTGACTTGGTAAGTACTTATTTCTTGAAGAAAAAAGATAATCAACAACAACGAATACACGATACAAGGTAATCATGTGTAAATATCGCCTTTTTTGAGACAACTAGAAATATATGTAGAAGAAAATAATAACTGGCAATTATATATACAGCCAAACCTGTATTAAGGACCACCTCTTTTTGTTTTAAGGTCTTTTTGGATCTCTCAGAAACTGTAACAGTCATATGGGAATTTTTCAGTTAGATAAAAAAATGCCTGGTGGTCAATGCCTTGAAAATAAAGGCTGCTCACAGAAATTCTGCATTTCTTTACTAGCATTTTTTTTCGTGTTTAGTTTTTACTTGAGCACACTTATAGTATTCGAGAGTATCTGACAACATGTCCACTTTTGCAATTTTTTATACTGGTCTATAGATACAAGTTGGACAGTATTATGTATTTTTTCTCTTTTATTCTGTTTTTCATCAGAAAATATTAAATGTTCTAGTTATTTGAAATATTAGTTTAAATTTAATATTGAAGTATAATAAGAATATATGACTTTTCTTGTAGTTATAATTTAAAAGCAAGGAGTTGTGTTGTTTGTTTTTAGCTTGACAGCTCATTAAAGAGACTTCATACTGAGGATAACAATAAGCAGACGACACTTCTCACTGATAATATTATGACTGGAGAGGGTGCCCTTGACCTTCTTAAATTGCTTGGCTTCCATTTCCAATCTAAAGGGACATCAATCATCAATCCATATGTGATTTATCCTCATTGGAATAGGGATGAACTACTTATACCAACATATGATGCTCTAAGGTCGTTGCTTGGTAAGTTCATAAAACATTGTACTCTAAAGTGTTTAAGATGATTCCTTGGTAAGTAGATGAATATATATGTGGTCATTGCTCTAGAGTCATTGCTTTGTAAGTTGATAATGCTGTAAGGTCCTTTCTAGATAATTTGAGGATTCTGTAAGGTCATTGCCAGCTAAATTGATGATGCTGTAAGGAAATTGGTTGGTAGGTCAATGATGCTGTAAGGTGAGTGCTTGGCAAGTTGATGATGATGTAAGATCATTGCTTTGTAAGTTGAGGATGCATTAAGGCCATTGCTTGGTAAGTTTGGGATGCATAAAGGCCATTGCTTGGTAAGTTTGGGATGCTCTAAGGCCATTGCTTGGTAAGTTTGGGATGCTCTAAGGTCATTGCTTGGTAAGTTTGGGATACTCTAAGGTATTGCTTGGTAAGTTTAGGATGCTCTAAGGCCATTGCTTGGTTAGTTTAGGATGCATTAAGGTCATTGCTTGGTAAGTTTGAGATGCTCTAAGGCCATTGCTTGGTAAGTTTAGGATGCTCTAAGGTCATTGCTTAGTAAGTTGAGGATGCATTAAGGTCATTGCTTTGTAAGTTGAGGATGCATTGAGGTCATTGCTTGGTAAGTTTGGGATGCTCTAAGGTCATTGCTTGGTAAGTTTAGTATGCTGTAAGGTCATTGCTTGGCAACTGGCAAGTTGATAATACTGCAAGGACAGTGCTTGGTAAGTTGATGATGATGTAAGGTCATTGCTTGGCAAGTTGATGATAAAGTGATGGTAAATTGTTATTGTGACATGAATGTCCCAGACTGAAGGGCTCTGTCACCTTAGTGTATTTACCATTTACTATGTTTATATTTTCCTTGTTATTTTCTTCCTTAACTGTCTTCTAGTTAAACATATGTATTTTATTGCCTGCTTTTGTGTAATTTCAGAAATAACTGATTGTAAAGAGTTGGTTCAGAGTGTTTGTGGTGTGTTACCTATAACACAGGATAACATCTCTCTCATCATAGATCTGGTAGGTACAAATAGTTGCACTTAATTTTATATGCTATACTTTTACTTCTTGAAGGAATATCCATAAATAAGTTGCTTTCATGTGCTATAGAATTGCTTGAAGTTATAAGTGCAGTGACTATAGATGTTTTGAATTCTGTGTGAAAATTAGAAAAGTATTTTTTTCTGCCTACAACTACTAATGGGGTCCATGTGGGGTCATATGACACTAGTAATTATCAGCTCCAGGAAGCTAGCTCTAGAGTGGTCCAGATATAAGCTTCAAGCTTTTCTCATAATGGAGCTAGAGCAATTATTTACAAACTAATTTCTAGGAAATTCTACAAAGATTATTTCATTTTGCATGATTGTTATTTCACTATTCTTTTCTGAATATTGTATGCAAATCATGGTTATTTAATCTTTACTCTGCAAAATTTGTCACACAAACCTGTCCTGTTCAGTGTTCTGAATTTAAAAGTAACCATTATGAAAGCAAGGGGTTTTGATATAAAATACTAAAATTCAGTTGTCAACAGTGTATAGCTTGATCAAATAGTACAGATGTGCCACCTGGCCTGTTTCTTTATTGGTGACATGTGTATTCATGTGTAATGATCAACCTACGAGCGTTCAGAGAATTACAAATGATTGGTATTCCTGTTGTACTTTAATGTAACATACTGTGTAATACTTCTTTTAAAAGGTTTTACATTGTGTGTACAATTCCTCTGTGTTTATAGCTCAGTGTGACAAAGCATGCTCCAGAGATTCAGTTGAAGGTTTCGGACCTGTCAGTGCGGCCTCTGTGGGTAAACATGAAACTGAAGAAAGTTCTGATTGCCACTGGGTTTCATCAGATAGGCATGCTGCTCAATTTTAACAGAACACCAGATAATAGGTAACAATTTAAGTAGGATTTATGTATATTTGTTAAAGTAAACATAAATTGTCAGTTTTTACCAGTGCACTAAATGCACACAGAGATTATTTCTAAGGTTTTGATTTTATAATGAAATTTGTATGGTTACTAAGGCACTTCTTTGCAATTGTCTGGGTATCTTTAAACCTTTCAAAGCTCAATATCTTAAATGAACTTGTCCATTTTCAATCTAGTATAGACCGTTTAATAGAATAGCAAAAAGTGCAGGCCCTGATCTGATGGCACAGGTGTGCAGGCTGATCTTGGTCTGCACTGGTTGCATGGGTATAATCTGCTGCCACAAGCAGGCTAAGATAAACAGTAAATAGATAGACAACAAATTAGACAAGTAGCTTTATAAGTTTGCCAGGTATATTTTACATGTATTACATGTATTTGACAAGAAGAATGGGTAGAATATACTAAACAACATTGTTTCATAAATAATGAGGATGTTTCATGAATAGCAAGTCTCATACCGACATACATTTTGTTAACTTTATTAACATTTATCAATATTTAAGTATCATTCAACGGAGTCTATAACTACATAATTCTAAACAAAAAGAACTGGCTGGCATTCTAGTGTGAAAAAATAGTATTTTAATAATGTTTTTATAATAATGCAATATCATTCACTATGAAAGTTTATGTATGTAAAATAACAATTTATGTTTGTAGGAAGTTGATGTCAGGTCTATTCCAGTTGTTATTGTCCGTCAGTCAGTCCAAGAGTCAAGTTCTCCTATACAGACTGGATGTTAACTTACTGGGCAATGCATCAGAAACAAAGGTATTTTAGTGGTCATTTGATCAGTTGTTAAATTGATTGATAAATTAGAATTTTGTGAAATACCACAATATTGGTCAACAAAATCCAGTTGTAATAGAATAAGGCTGTGAATTTATATGATATTGTATACAGCAAGATATATTTTATGTAACATTGTACATTGTATTTTGTGTAGTCATACCGTACCTTTCTTGAGGCCTCTGATGGGGGGGGGGGGGAATCTGAAGTCTTTCACCTCCAGTAAAACTTAAAATGGCAATAACAGTGTTGGTGTTATTAAAATTCAATTAAAACATTTATAGGGCTAGCCAATTATAATAATCATTAAAAATAGAAGTTGATAATATTTTAAGTGTGTCAAAAAAACATTTACAGACTTTCCTCATTTCACCTGATTACATTTTTTCCTATGAACATAAACAGTGTTTTAATGTTTGCCCATAATTTGTCAATACTTATTATTCAAATCCCTATAAAAAGGCCAGTATAAATAAACTTAACATAATTTCCTGTCAACAGAAATCAAATTAATTTCCAGGAAAAATTTTAAAATCCTAATTTAATGCTGTACATACTTATATTAAAATATTTTACTTTCGTTTTGTTTTACCTACATAAACTATTATTATTGTTTACAGTCGATATCTGATTACCCGGAGATTACTAGATTGCCATCACTAGCCCCATTAATATTACCCAGGAACCAGTTACGTATGAGCACACCATGGCTGAGTAAAACAGAAACCCATATTGAAATGGATGAGAAAATAAAACTGGCCAGAAAGTAAGTATATGTACAATGAACCTGGTTTTTTTTTAATTAAATTTAGAAGTTCTCAGAAAAATTTGACACTGGTGATCTCCGAGAAATTAAAATTTTGAGTTGTCTAATCCCAATCATTTTATATACATGTATGATTGAACTTACTCTTTCCAATGAACAATAACATATCTGGATATTTCTAAAATCTCTTGTTCATAGGTTTTGATAACTGCCCGATAGAATAAAAGTTTAGAGTAGAAACCTAAATTTGTAAAATTTACATCAATTGGCTTTATTATTTTCAGTCGCTCTGATTTGGATGAGAATTTTAAGGACTATCTAGAGAGAGCTAAGACTTGGCATCAGATGACAGTAGTTGCACAGGTAAGATCTAGGGGAGGAGCTATGTGATTTCAATATTTAGAGGTGATGCTTTGCATCTACTTGCCCCTCCCTAACACCTTTGTTTAATACTCCCAAGAGAGGAAATTCAATATTTTGTAGTTTTTCTGTATTCTCATAAAAAAATTAGTGTGCTGAATACTTGAATATACTTTTTATGATCCATTAAATATATTCTAAACTGTTCAAAGGATAACACCAGGAATTCTAAACCTTACGGCAAAAAGAATTTCCCTTTGTGTAATTCTTACAAAACATTGAATATATTTAATTTTTCAGGCAAACGAATCACTGGATGAATATGGCCGGCCAAAATCCTCCCCACAGAAGGTCAAAGTGTTGCCAGGGGGTACAGCATCTAGAGCTCGGGTACCAGTAGATGAGAAAGTGGTCCTTTTGAACCCAGAGGTGGATCAGCGTAGAGATTACGCTCACTATGTGTACAGTGAGAGGGTACAAAATATCGGCACTCGGCATAGAAACGAGGTCTTGAAACTTTACCTGCCATATGTAAACAGCTGCTGAGATGTTTATTCATCGGATATAAACAGGAAAAAAAATTATTAAGATAATTTCTTAAAATATACAGCTTTTCACTGCTAGCTGAAGGAAATTTTACAATCATTTTTCTTTATCACCTTTCAAATTATGTTTGAACTGAGATTAAAAAAGTGACTTTTATTAATACTATAAATGTTAAATGGTTATTGTTGTAATTGTGTTATCTTGTTAATTATTGTGTTTATTCCTTAGACTGGATTTAAGAAATCTGTGATATTTTCAGTTTTGTATTGAATGTTTATGAACTTTAGATTCTGCTCTAAAAATGTGTAGCGTTCTATTTTTGGTGCAGAACTGAGCTTTCCATTTAATGAATTATTTATTTTGAATTTTTTTTTTACCAGATGTTTTATGTTATATATATTTTGTCCTTAATCTGGCTGTGATAATCATTATTAATGTGATATAAAGATTGTAGAAAAAGTATTTCTGATTTTTGAAATTTAGTACAATATATGCTTTTTCAAAAGGAGTTGTTTTAAACACAAAAGCACAATTTTTTAATAGCACCCACATGCACATGAACAGATATATATATATTTTATTTTTGCTTGGTTTATACAAGGACTGCTGTTTATAAACACAAATTTAGCTTTAACTGCCGTCTTTGTATTAATGGATACTTTATACAAAATAAAATTTGTATTAATGTATACTGTCAAGCAACAAATGAATGAAAGATATTTGCAGAATTTATTACATTTGTATACATGTTAAATTATTGTGTATGTAAGAAGGTATTAAAATTTTTTATTTAAACTGCAGTTGTCTTTTCAACATAAGTTTTAGACATTAACATTAATTCAAAATTACATGCAGATAATTCCAATTGTTGCTTAAAAATAATTTTAGGTTTCAGTCTTTTGAAATGTTAATGGTTTATAAGTTGACCATAGAAAAAGGGAGCTAATTTTGCACATTTTATTCTATATATGTAATTGTTTTTGTTTTGTTATATTTTCTAAAGATTTATCAATAAAGTTATGCTTTACTGTTCAGTAATTTTAGTGTCTTTTATTTGTATCTTATTGCCAAATATTGGAATAGTTATCAAGGAGTCACTGGTTGGATCCTCGGGCAGGGCGAAATTTCTTCATGACAATAAATCACTGACATCAAGACTTCTGGTGATTTGTCTATCACAGCTGATTCAGAAATCATGTGGTATAAGGAGACACTAGCAGAGAAATTGGTAATTACTGGTTAGTTATTCAGGAATGCAGGTAGAGATATGACCCCGCCATTTTAATTTGTTAATTCTCGACTTTTCGCTTGGCAGGTCTTGGGGCAAAAACACGAATGGAACAAATCAGCCTACATAGTTTAAGGTTAAAAGAAAAACCAGTCAAGTTTTTAAAAAAAAACTGTTGGTAGCCACAATCATTTTTGTCGCATAATGCGAAACTGGGCAATTCAGGTCGATTGAATCACATAGTTTGAAACTGGTCAATTCAGGGGACTTTTTCAATACAGCCATCTTGCTACCATTACGTTTCTTTCCCATTTAACTAGAGCACAAGTAGTCTTGGGTTCTCGAAATTTCAATGAGGTACAGAGAAAAATTGAAATAGGCTATCAGCTTAATAGAACCTCTGGGAAATGCCACTTTTCAAAAAGTAAGGAAAATTTACAAGCACTGACCAAGACCCAAAACTGTCCTCTTGTTGAACAAACTATCTTCTTGAAAGGGTTTCCAAAATTTAACGTTGTGTACATAGAGTAAAGATTATAAACTTTTTAATCACTTTTATTCAAAAACAGCTTACATGTACGTGGAATGTAAAAATATCACAGATGTAAAAATACACAATTTTTTTTTAGTAAAATGCATCCAGGGACGGAAACTTTATTCTTTGACATTGAAAAAACGAGAAGATAAACTGTAAAATATATCTTAATATGACAAAATATTTTATCTAAAAATAGTATCAGCAGATAATCAAAACTATCACATGTACAATTTTAATGGAACTTTTGTGAAAAGAAAATATATATAGGAAGTCATAACTATGTTGTTTTTTTTTCTATGTTCTTAAAAAACAACAACAAAGAATCTGGAATGTTCCATAAGAATGTTGGAAAATATCACTTTAAGTTTCAAAACTTTTTCAACAGTTTTAAGATACATGTACATATATATGTAATAATATTGCAATACAATTTTTACAAGTACATGTATATAAATCATGGCTATTTTTCAATTGTTTAAGGTAAAAATTACACTTCCATACTTAAAACAGCACATCATTCATTCAAATTAAACATAAATAATATATTTTTTTCGTATCACATTTTTTATAATGTCACATATTACAAATAAATCAGTATAGCTCTTTCACTTTTTCCACAGATTTATTCCAACTATCCATCCAGCGTTGCTCGGCAACCAGCAGACGCTGCTTTTCATCCTCTATCTGCTGAAGAGCTCTTTCAAATTGTGCCTTATATTCCTGAAAGAAATGAAAAATTAACATATTTAACAAAAAGTGATTTCAAAAATGTCTATTAAGATTTTTATGCCCCCACAATGTGGGAGCATATAGCGTTGCACTTGTCCGTCCGTCCGTCCGCACTCACAGGAGAGTAATTATGTGGCTAGAGGGACAATAGGTAACTGTTCTTTCTCTTTTGATGTCATTCATTCCGTAATGCTTTTATGTGGCTATTTTCTTTTGCGTGGCTAAAAAGAACAATAGAGAGAACAATAGAGTAGCCACATAATTACTGTCCTGTGAGAATGTCCGTCCGTACGTCCCGAAATCTTGTGAACCCAACTCCTCTTAAACCGGATGGCAGATTTTGATTAAACTTACAGGGATGAACAACCCTAATGTGTAGATGGTAGTAAAGGCAGGAATTTTCGCTGCGACCAAATTTAACAGAATTATGGCCCTTTGTTGATTTTTTCACTAGATACTATGTAGAAATTTTGTGAACGCAACTCCTCTTAAACCGGATGGCAGATTTTGCTTAAACTTCCAGGGATGAACAACCTTAATGTGTAGATGGCAGTAAAGGAAGGAATTTTTGCTGCAACCAAATTTAACAGAATTATGGCCCTTTGTTGATTTTCATTATATACAATGTAGAAATTTTGTGAACGCAACTCCTCTTAAACCGGATGGCAGATTTTGCTTAAACTTCCAGGGATTAACAACCTTAATGTGTAGATGGTAGTACAGGAAGGAATTTTTGCTGCGACCAAATTTAACAGAATTATGGCCCTTTGTTGATCTTTAGTTCTCAACTTGTGGCAGATGTAGTCCAAAAAATATTTGACCTAGAGTCATAAGATTGACAGAACAGTGGCGTGTGGGGACATCCGTGTCCTATGGACACATTTCTAGTTTTTTAATATATTGAGGAAAGTTTGCCTTTGTATTTAGTGTGTCTGTCCCTCAACCCAGGACACTGGCCCCGTGTCCACAAAGAAAAAATCAGGATCATGATCAAATGATCCTGATTGTATTTTCACTGTTTTATGAAACTATAATTGATTGTTTTATGCTAGAATTAAATGGTACTTAATAGTAATGTAAAAAAATGTTGATTTGCAAAGAAGCAAACATATTTTGGGATAAAATTGACGAATAACAAAACAAAGTTAGAAATAATCAGATCAAAATAAGGATCAGTATTAGGATCAAGATCAATATTCGGATCAACTGTAAAATGCCCATATCTTGCAAAAATAATAATAAATTTATTTTAAAATTTCATAAACATGCCATTTTAAGTCCAATTTTATCAAGTTATTATTAAATATTTAATCTGTGATAATAAACAATGGAGAATATTTGGGTTTTTAACTTTGACCCTGATCCTTAAATCTTTGTGAACACGGGGCCTGGTTTCCAACCCTACAGGCTTCATTATATGACACATACATTCAGAGGTTCCTCAGGGGCTAATCATCTTCTGACCTTTCTAGAACTGTGACATGTAATGTAAAATCAAGCAAGAATCTTAAGTTGTGGAGTGGCTAATATCGCAGAATTCAAACCAATTTGTACAATACCTCTCTCAGTAATGGGACTTTTTCATGTGAAGAACCTATCCAGCTAAGCCTACATGTATGATAGCTAAGTTATTTTACCAAAAGTGCCATCTTTTGCCAGATACATGTATATGTATAACACATGGAGGGTAATCTGAATCCTTCTTTGATTGACTATAATCATTATTGTAATATTGGTTACGTGTTTGAATAAGATCAAAATTAAGTTACCTGGTATGCCCCATCCCTAGCCTTGATCGTGGCATTATGACCTAGTGCAGTTTTAGCTGTGGTAACAGACGCTGTAAGTTGTGGCTTGTCTGGTTTAGGACCAACAACCAGTTCACTGTTTGCTAGACCTGAAACAATTTTTGATTTAAATTTTTTGTTTGTTAAAAATATAAGATAAAATAATTGAAAATAATATAGTCTAAGCCCAAATGGAATCTTTGATTTTTTGAACAGCAATTCCTCTTTCAACAAATCAAGTATAGTATTGAGCTATAGAATTGTGAAATTGACTGACACAGACTTTTAAAAAATGTGCAATATATATAATTATACATGTACTTGATATGAATGCTGAGAAAACATCATTAAAACAAATCTTAAAGAGAGAAAGAAAATGCCCATTGGTGGTGAAAATGAGCCATTTCAACCAAACTATCAATATATCATGGTATCTGGGTTTTAAAACATACCTGTCCAGGTGTTTTTGCCACGAGGTAGAGCATCTTTATCTTCACTGTCCTCGAGGGGTTCTCCAGCATTCTTTCTACGTATCAGCTCAGTTGTTGGGTATTTGGTCGCATCAATACCTAAAACATCATATCCATATGTTAATTGAAGATTTATATAACAAGCACTTTTAATAAACTACAAACAAAACGTAAGAAAACTCAATTGTATATTTTTAACTTATTGTTTTCAAACACATGTATTGTCCATTTAAAATTATTTCTCCTTCACTTCTATGATAATCAAACTGACCTATATTCTACTTAATCTCTTGCATTTTCCTTTCAGCAATAAAATCTTTGTGTACATTATTTTAAGGTTTCACAACTTTTCAATCAAACTAGCTGTCAATTTGCGCAAAAATACCACCTTTGAGCAAATAATTATAAAAAAGATTATTAAACCTTTAAAGTAAATTATCTAAATATAGGAACATCTCTGTCCCTCAGTACCAGCATCTGCTATATACACCAATACAATGGAATGGAACAGTGACCTAGTGATCTAGATGTCTGCCTCTCAAGACATGGATTGTTGGTTTGACACCTACTGGGATAAGGACAACTTTACATAAAATGTCACCAGTACTGGTTAATTCCAGTAAGCAGACTAAAGAGACAAGCTCTTAGTTTAACATAATTTAAGCTGTGCCATGACAAAACAACATAATATGTTTGTGACCCGCATGGGTCCAGCCCAGCCTGCGCATCCACACAGTCTGATCAGGATCCATGCTGTTCGCTTACAAACCCTATAACAAGTAGAGAAACTGATAGAAAACAGCATGAGTCCTGATCAGCCCGGATTAATCAGACAGTGTGGATGTTCAGGCTGGTCTGAATCCATGCTGGTCGCAAATGCAACATGTTGGTTTTGTCATGATGCGGCTCATTTATCTAAGCTTGACTGAAGTACACAAGTACAATGCATAAAGATGATGTGTAAAACACTTCAGGTTTTACAGCATAAATATCGCAGAACCTCAAGAAATTCTGTAATAAGCTTATTTATTTTTGCAAGTTTTCATCACTTACGTCCTTTTTCTACGTCGTCAACAACAAGTTCATTATCAAATTGAAGCAGTTGATTCTCTGACATCCTGGCTAGAGCATCTAAGAATTTTCTTGCATTATCAACAGCATTATCCTGAAAATATAACATTAACACGTTTGTTTACTTAGATCCCTCGATATCAATACGAGGGTTGTTCAAAAAGTAATAGGACTGGGAGTCTTGCGTATTCAAATTTCATTCAATTTAGAATATTTTCATATGTACAGCAATCGTAAAATGTTTTCTACAAATCAAACATACGTTTTTTAATCTATTGTGCTAAACGCGCTTTTCCTTTGCTATTGAATAACCATGGTAACACGCACCCGGCGCAGCACATAAATATAGTTATTGGAGCTAAGTTCTACTTCTAATTTATTCATAAATAACTATTTGTTTTCCCCTGTATTCCATCAATACGTTGACATATATTAATGTGACATTATGTCCAAATTTGACGTCATGCGGACATGAAATGGCCTATTTATTAAGTTTTGAACAGCAGCGGTAATAGCGTTAGATGTAGAAATATGACATTTGTTAACAAACAGAAAATGTGTGCCATCGTTAAATTTTGCCAACAGATTGACTATAATCATTCAAATACACACAAAATGATTAAATAAACTAAGGACAATTATCCTGCCATCAGGACACTTGTTTTCAGCTTGCACAAGCAATTCAAAAACTGCAAATACAAGATCACTAACGAGAAAGGGCGAGGATGAAAGTTGAAAATTGACGGGACGTTAGTGACGTCAATTGCAAAAGCGCTACAAAAGAATCCACGGTAAACGGTACGCGAACTGTTTATCGTTGTTTGTATCTGCTTCGGGTCTACTTATTTGGTTTAAACAAAGGATTGTAAATAGGAAATTTGTTATAAACACTATTTTATTGTATTTAACTAGATATACGTGGAATCAAAAAATAAATGTAATAGTTAACGGTAATAATTAGTAGTGTTTCCCGAAAACTTGTTTTAATAAACGATAGACTGTGCTAAGTAGAAAAGGATACTTTTCAATTGAGAAATATCTTTATTGTTCTGTATACAATCATATTGTTTTAAAAACATACAATGACATGAGTAAATTAATAAAATAAATTGCTTTTGCTTTAACATTTTCAGTCCTATTGAGTTCCAAGGTTACTAAAAAAAATACGAGAAAACCCGGAGAATGGCCGGCTATCGGGCATTTATTTTATTTTGTTTTTTTGAAACAGTGAAATGAGAATGTGATCGCTTTTTTCTTGCTTCGTCTCCACATATGAGGCAAAGTAAAAATTACATGACTCATACACCTAGAGACGAGGGATACTACTTTCAGAAAGAATGAGGCTTATTACAATTTCGATTTATTTTACGACGTCATGAACGTCAATTATTGTATTGTTAGCGTGCGCCGCGTTTCGTACCCCTTGTCATTTGAAAATTTCACAGAAATTTCATTTGTTTACATTTTGTTTTGATTTTTTCACTGTATATAGAGAACATGTTCCGATATTTGTCTCATGTAACATTTTGTACGTAAATTTAAAAATGTGAACAGTAGAGCTGCAGTCCTATTACTTTTTTAACAACCCTCGTACAACAGTCAAGCATTTTGTGAAAAAAATTGTTTTGTTTGTTTGTTTGTTTCATTTTACACCTTTTCCCAAAAGTATTACAGTCATATGGGAGGGTAGTTTCCTAACCATCGTTCCTGGAAATTTACACTAGTACTAGACTACCTTCCTCTGTGCTAAACTACTAAAGCATCTCCCGGGGATCGAACCCATGCCAGAGAGGTAACTGGATTAGAAGTCATCAACTCTTAACACCTCGACCACGAAGGCGGTAAAAAATAGTCTTCAGCCAATCTGTATAGTATTTTACATCAATTGTTAATATTATATTTCTTTCTTTCATATTAAATGAATGGTATCATGTTTGTTCAGTAACGTCATGTCACTACATTATTGTCACATATGAAGAAATAAATGGAAAATATAAAACGGCTGTTGGTGAGTTAATCACATTTTTCCCATTATGTCAAGTTTTTACCTGTAGATTTTTGGTATGATTTTCTACAGCATCAAGATACTCCTGATGTCTGTTCAGCTCTGATTGACATAGAGACTCCAGTTTGTCTTTCTGGTGAGGATGTCCTAATGCTGGTCGCAGTAAGTGCTGATGCTCCTTCTATAAATAAACACAAAGAAGAAAACTTTGTTTGTAACGTCAGAAAAAATTATCAACCCCCCCCAAAAAAGCAAACTTATATGAGTCTCAAAATTAAATATGTAAAATTTACACCCCTGACTTATAAATGAACAGTCCAAAATGTCAGTTAATATGGTAAAGGCGATAATAACTAATAACTAATAAATGCACTTAAATTGCAGCATAAAATTTATTATTTCACCACTTCAGAAATAGAAATCATGTAAGTGATAATAGGCTGCCACTTGGATTTATGTTTCTATAAATTGTTAATTTTATTTTAAATGATAAAAACTTACTTGTTTTTGTTCAAGATTTTCTTGTATCTGTTTAAAATGAGCTTCGAAGCCAGTTCTAGCAGATTTAGATAGATCAATATGTTCCTTGAGGAAATCAGAGACTACAAGCTGAGGTATATGAGCCACTAACTTCTCTAGCTGTGTTAACTGATGTCTCAACTCTGTAAAACAATGTTGAATCATATGTTTTTTGTGTTAAAATAATTTGACCTTTGACCTCAAAATCAATAAAGGTAATCTACTGGGTTAGGACAATGTCCCTACCAAGTTATGTATAATAGTAAAAAATTGATTTTATAAACAAGAAGTAAAATGAAATTAAAAATGTCAAGATAACCTTGACCTTTGATCTCAAAATCCACAGACATCATCTTCTGACCATGATCAATGTCCTTAACAAGTTATTTAAACCATGCCGTATTCCTTCTCTATTAATTATTAATCAGGCAATGAAGAGAATACATACATATCGAGGTATATTCAGACATACCTTATCAGACTTTTATCAGGCTTAAAAACAAAAGAAAGATGATGAAGCTAAGTTATCGACAACCTAACATCAGACCTTACTAATATGATTACATACCTTGCAGACATTGGTTATGATATTCGTCTGATTGTTGATAGTAGGACTGAAGTTTTTGTACTACCACATCCGAGCACTGTTCAAATGTCTCCTGTAAAGCTTGGGGCCTTGTCACAGTACGACTACCTTTCTGTCTGTAGTAAAGCTGAAAATATAAACTTTACTCCATGTTTTCTCGTTTCAAAGTTGAAACATTTTTCTTAATGTTTCTTTCCTAAAATTAGGAACTTAAAATTCTACCCGTTTTACCCATTATACACTGTTTGTTTCAAAATAATCACATGTGGTGAAATGATCGGAACTGATATATTGTATTTATCCACCTATAAGTCTGTCCAGCTTTAAGACAGGGGCAATATTTTACACTTAAACCAACAAGAATAATCTGCTCTATTTCTAATCTTTTTCCATAGACTTTTTTTAAACAAAAAATTTAGTATTATTCTCCAAATTATTAATGAGAACAAAAAGTCCATTTTATAATTATAGGCAATAAATATGGGCCACAGTTTGAACTTAAGATTATTGAAGTCTGTAACAAATAATTGATATTTTTTCAAACCTCAGCAGCAGCCAATAATCCATCCAAAGCTTCTTTAAGACTTTTCCTGATAATACCAAGGAAATGATTGGCGTTATCTTCCTCTTCCATGCCGTCTCCAAATATAACCGTCTTCTTCTCGTACTTACTCGGCTTACTGCTTGATCTACGGTTCCTGATAGAATAAACCAACATCACAAATAAAAATTTCATCATGTAGTTTCAAAACTAAATTTTGTTTTCCTTTTAGAATCTCAAATTTACAAAGTTACATTAATATCAATCTTGACATTATCATTTTGCTTTGTAAACCTCAGAAATAAAGATTTTACTATGTACTTTCTACTGATTGCTTTTTTTAATTTTTCAAAATTATTCTTGACATTAATGTGTTGCTCAAAGATTGTTAGAAAAATATCAACTTGTAGTTTCTTATAAATAATCAACTATTTCAATATCAGTTACATAAAAACTAATTTCTGCCATCAATGTAATTATTAAAACAGTTTGTTGTATAAACCTTAATGTCATGTCAAAATTGACATAGATGATAATGTTGAATTTGCATCAGAAATATTGACTTCATCAAAATAATTTCTTAAATATTTCTTACTTAATCAAACTTCTCCAATATTAACAGAACCAAATTCATAATTGAAAAAATAGAAATGACATTAGCTCATAAATCAATAATCTGAAAAGAACATAGATATTACATTTATTTAAATCACAATAATGTCAGTAACAGGACAACTTTTAAAATTTTAAATATTACAGATATAACTTTGATTTCAAATTGGTGTAAATATTAACTGTTAGTTTAACATATAATTCCATGCAAAGAGGGAATTAAGTTAATGTAAGAGCTAATAGATATAAGAGCTCTTCCATAGGTCAGTTTAAAATCAGTAAATCAGAATCTATTTGATTCTACAGATCAGTTTCAACATGTCATATGGTTAGAAATATTAATTTTTAGAAGATTTTTATCAAAATAGCTTGCTTTTATCAAGTCTTTTTTAAAAGATAAATCTTACATAATAGTTAGAACAACAATTAGTAATGAATCAGAAAGGTGGACAGATTGATCAACCAACAACATTTGGTGACTCCCATAAATTATATACACTCTAAAACTTGTTTGTTGGAGGTTCATGATTCAATGAAACAACAAACATTAAGCCCCTAGAAACAAAATATATACCGGTAAATGCAAATACACAACAATAATTGAATTCCTGGTTTAAAATTATTATTTATGATAAGACTACTTTAAGTTTTCATTTAAATCTAACTAGCAATAGAAACAAGATAAGAAAGTTTTAACAAGAGGTGATAGTAATACCCTGAAAATATGTTATAACCAACACAGGATAATTTCTTTAATCAAAGTGCTGAAAGCACTGATGGGGGCGCAATATGTTGCATACAAAAATTCGAGATTTGTATAGCAATCTACTTTAGGTGTTCCAATCTGATATCATTCTTCTTTCAAAGTTGAATAAGTGCCCATTTTGTACACAATATAATAGTATCGCCTCCAAACTCTAGTCAAAATTGAAAATCATGTACCAAGAACATACTAACAAACCCAGGCAAAATGCATAATTGATATCATATATATATCATGAATAAACATTTTAAATTATGACACTGGATTTTGTTGGGAAAACTATAGTTGTTTAACCAATTTTCATGTAAAGTACTTCCTTATGTGAGTGTATAACACATAAATCAGTGTACTTACTATATTTATTCCAAGAAATGATTATGCAGATAGAAAATAAACAGAAAATTTAACTGTCTTTAAAATATTTCTAAAATAAAACCAGGACTGTAAGAACAAACTTGTTTTTTGTAGAAACCTTTCAAGCACAATAGATAATACATGTGAGAATGTAAATTGGAATGGATACATATAATCAAGTTGGCATTGAAAACAAGAGCCACTATCTAGACTGGGCCATGCTCGGCTTTTTCTTATATTGGAAGTCAAACACATCAGTAGGAGAATATTGTAATATCTATTAGAGTACTCCTAGAAAACATAATATAAATGTATAAAGTAAATTTCAAATTTGAATAGTAAAGGTCATAGTTGAATGATAATTGTTCTTTTGTCCAAGAATGAATCAAATCATAGACAAAAACAAAGTTATGACAATGTGATCGAATTTCAATTGTTTAACCTTGGAGGTAATGGTCATTTAAATGTCAAAGTTATATCAGAAAAATTCAACATGTTGGTTTTGTGTTTGTTTGTCCAAGCATGAATCAAATCTGTAAATAATAACAAAGTAATGACAATTCCAGCTAACTCCAGATATTTTATATCAAACAAGCAATTATCATAGTATTGCAAGCAATCCATAAGTCCCCTACCGGTTAGAACCCCAGCAACTTTCTGATGGGCCATTGGCCAGTCAATTTTTACCAGTGAATGAATGACATGAATGAACTTAAATCTTTTGAGTTCTAAGTTTGTCTATATCACAGTAATGTGTTAAGTTTCCCTGCCTAGTAAGGAAATTATGTTTATACAACCTTGTCATATTATTACGATGTGGGATTTGAAAGTAAATCCTATAATGAATGAAGAAGTTGGAGTGAAAAATACCAATTTCTCGAAAAAAATCTAAGTTCAAGGGGGACATAATTCTGGAAATAGTCTTGCTAGAGTATTTAACCTTCTCAAAAATGTTGAGTGAGAATAAGAAACATATATATGAAGTTTGAAGTAGATACATTAGGAAATAAAGAAGTTATTTAAAAAAGACAACATTTTTTTCATAAAAATTCTAAGTTCAAGGAGGTAATACTGATAATTTTTGTGCTAGAGTTGTAAACCTTGTTCACATATGATGTGGTTGATGACCAGAAACTTATATTTAAAGTTTGAAGTAATCACCTTAAGAAATAAAGAACTTATAGTGAAAAAAGCTGAAAAATTTAAATCAGAAATCTTGAAATTCAGGCTATTTGTTGCCATAGCAACCAGAATTTTCAACATAGGAAGAAAAAAAAAGACGTGCATAATCTCCATACTGCCATCTATCCATATATCAAGTTTCATAAAAATATTTTAGTACTTTTTGTTATATTTGCAATATTTTAAGTCTATTTGTTGCCATAGCAACCAGAATTTTCCACATAGGAAGAAAAAAAAAAGACGTGCATAATCTCCATACTGCCATCTATCCATATATCAAGTTTCATAAAAATATTTTCAGTACTTTTTGCGTTATCGCAGGATCCAGTTTATGTGTTCAATGTGCCATATTTTCAGGCTATTTGTTGCCATAGCAACCAGAATTTCAACATAGGAAGAAAAAAAAAAAGACGTGCATAATCTCCATACTGCCATCTATCCATATATCAAGTTTCATTAAAATATTTTCAGTACATTTTGCGTTATCGCGGGATCCAGTTTTGTGGACGGACCGACTGACGGACTGACAGACAGACAGACTGACAGATGGACAGACGGACGGAGGGTAAACCTAAAGTCCCCTCCGGTTAAACCGGTAGGGGACTAATAAAGGTCAAGGTCATATATGAACTTGAAGGGCTTTTGTCACAAAAACATGTCTCCCAAAACTGTGTATGGTTCTGATCACTCTTTTGAATTTTGGCAGTTTTACATGTGATAGATTTTTCTTTTTTTAACTCTTGGGCCATTTTGTGCAGAGAAACAGAAACATGCCATTGTCGGATACCCACGATTGATAAACATGTCACATAACATGCAATCAATGATGAATGTTATTATGTTAATGGTTCGGCCGTGGGTATCTGACGATGAGAACATGCCAACAATGTGCACAACTAAGGATGGCACTGTACACTCCTGTTTAGTCCTGTTTGAAATCTAACCAGCAGTTTGAACATTACTTTTATATAAGTTAAAGATAGAAAACATTATCAATTTTAATCCTATACTTATTATAGGTATTTATTGGATTCATTATTCAAAATTAAATGAAAGAGCATGGAACAAAATATTTTCAAGATCTAGTAAAATCTAAATGTTTTTAAAATCTAGTAGAATCAAAACTTTACAATAAATTTACTATAAAGTACATTTATAACAATACATGTATTTTGGATAATACACTCTCAGCTGAAATACTTTTAAATGGGTATGGTATTATAAATGTTTGTAAATATTGTAAGTTATCTAATCAATAAGTCTATTCTTAATAAAAGAAACTTGCACCTTGATATTTTCTGTACAAACTAGAACTGCCATTGTCATGGTGTGAAACCCCCCACATACCAATTTGTCAGAATCACACCAGTAGTCATTTACAGCTCAGACAACCTCCCAGCCAAATCTGAGGGAAGTAAGCCAGTGCATTGCTAAGTTATGTATTTCTACTGTTTTAGTGGAAAAGATCAAAGTGAACTTTACCTTTGACCTACTGACCTCAAAACTGAAACTGCCATTGTATGACTTCAATAACACCCCCCCCATTTCATGCAGCCTTGCCTGGAGGTGTTTTATGATGAATATATAAGACCATTTGAGCAGACAAAGCTAATTGTAATAAAAGCCCCTGTGACCTTGACCTTTGCCCCAGTAACCTCAAAATCAATAGAGGTATTCCACTAATCTTGACTAACCTCCATGCCAAAATATGAAGACTACGGTCAAAGGATTCTTAGGTAATTGGAGGACAAGCTTTAATTAGCCAAGGCCCCCTGTGACCATGACCTTAGACCTGGTGACCTGAAAATAAATAGGGGTCATCTACTAATCATGACTAACCTCCATGCCAAAAATGAAGACTGTGGGTCGAAGGATTCTTAAGTTATTGGGCAGAAAAGCTTTCTTTAGTCAAGACCCTGTGGACCTTGACCTTTGACTTGGTGTTTCTCAAAATTAAAAGAGGTCATCTTACTAATCATGACTTACCTCCATGCCCAAAATATGAAGACTGTGGGTCAAAGGAATCTTAAGTTATTGGACGGACAAGAAAAAAACTGACAAACTCCCCGACGGCCAAGACAAGCTGATTCCCAGTATACCCCCCTTACAACTTTGTTGTTTGCGGGGTATAACAGATTTCAAACATTGATAAGTTAGCTCATCTTCTTGGTGATGAACTGGCGCCTCTATATACAAATGTGGTTCTGTTCATTATTATAACATAGGTTATCTCATGTTCTTTGTGATAAAACTCTCACCTTGAAGTTGATAGAGTTCTGTTTCATACATATTTCAAAAA